AATTTGCATGAACATATTTCCATTGCTTATGAAACAGATGACTTGGAAACGATTGCCAGCCAAAGCTCGCAAAGCAGTCGAACGACAAGTTTCGAAAGCTTGGCAAGTGTTGACAGTTACAACAGCAGTCCTTGGAAGCCGACATATAACACAGAGTCTAACTCATCTTTACGCAAACTGATGTCTGAGTCTGCAAGTTTGGTTGACAGTAAAAAATCTCGTATGCTTGCACATACAGAAACATCGAGGATCATTTCAAGAACCGATTTAGATAGAGAAAAAATATCTGCGAGCGTAGCTGATACTGAAAAGAGGCGAATGATGAAGGATAGTGATAGTGAGTTGAAAAATCTAACAGTACATGATGCAAATGGTGTGAATGTCATAAACAATGAAGAACGTATCGTAACCAAGCATTTGGTTAAGGGAAAAACAATTTGTCTAATACTTGATTTGTTAAAAGAGTCTTTAAGCAAAATCGTTCATTTAAAGTCGGATCACACCGTGCTACATGGAGGTATGTAAGCATGAGATATTTATTGTGTGGGTTTTTGGTGTTAGCATAAAAAATATGTAAACAACTCATTTGTCTTTCCTCCAACTCGTTGCCCGGAATGTTTTTGCACAATCTTTGCGTTATTTCAGGTTAATTATTCTGTATTTTCAATGATAGCTCAGACTGTTTGGATGAAAACGTCCATTTCATTGGCCTCCCTTGATCAAAGAATATCCCGCCTAGCTCAATATTTGAACGAGGCCCAATGGAGGTATCAACTGGTGTCGACATGTTGTGATATTGATGACGTAGAAGATGATGTCAAGTATGATCAATCGATTGTCTATTCAGATGAAAGTGAACTTGATACAGACGCTGAAGAATGTGAAGGTATATTTACAGTTTTAACCGCTCATCGATGTTCTATCTTACAGATAATACAGATTATTGTCCTTTATTAAATTTTTTCCCTTTTTTACGTACACTGAAGAAATTTTTTCAGTTGTTTCCATTTACTTTCGTGAATTCTTTTGTGTAACAGAACGTGTTTCCACTTAGAATGAAAAGGCATGCTAGTACGCGTGCTCGATGCACATCTTATCTGCACGTGGAGTATTGCAATGAACGCCTTTATAAATGAAATGAATGGGTACCCCCTACCAATTCGTCTCATCAGACATGCCACTCTCGACTCAGACAATCCCACCACGCCAAATAGATTAGTTGGTGCATTCTTTTAAATTTGTTGAGTCCTTAACATAATAAACCATGCAGCTTTTTCACAAATTCTAATACTAAACTACCTGATATGTTAGTCTCGTTTTAAAGTGACCCTGCAAAGCCTTGTGAATCATATTCATACCAAACAATACCTTTTCATTACTTTGTTTTCAATATCTTTTCACGTTATATAGACTTAAGGCGATTCAACGTTTCTTCAAAGTTAACTGGACAAACTTTATGTGGAGTTGACAATGGTGAAAAGACTTCGCCTAAGATGGTTGGCAACGAAACTAGCATTCCTTTTCTACTATCTTCTCCCAACAACCTTATATATATGTGTATGAAGAACGACAACTATACTCAGGCAAAGGAAATTATGAAACTTTTTAACATAGAAGATGACAAAAGTTCGAAAGCAGCTCGCTTTGCCGAAGAATACGAAAACTCGTTTCAAAAGTTAACTTTAAGAGAAAAAAGCAACCTTAAAACTTCTCCCAAAACAATAGCAAAGAAAACCTCTCGTCTTTCCGTGCTGAAAAACGTCGCGTCTGTCGCTGCTGCTGGTGTTGCCTCTACCTCAAACTCAAGCATTGTCGAAAATCTACTTTTGTCTTCAAATGCTAACCTTAAATCCTCGGATTTTTTCAACAGTTATGTACGCGAGCATTTTGTCCACGCTCTTGTATGTTTTGATTTTTTATGTACAGGCTGTTTTACTAAGGAGTCGAGCATCAACTTCTTGGTAAAGGCGAGAAACAAATTCAATTCTACAACTGGTATGTTAAATAGATAAAATATTTTGTTATTTCTTGTGCAGCCATGACCCTCGAATTTTCTTCGAGAGTTGATTTATTAGAAACATTTTTCAAACAAGTCACCTAATAGAGGTGAATCGAGTCCCAAACACCATAATAAACATGAATGAGATATGTTTCTCTTGAAATTAGTTTGCATGAAAGCGATTCAAATAACTCAGCACTAAGTGGTTGTTTCACCTACGTAAAGTCTATTACATGTGAAGCAAAGAAAGCAGTGCTGTCCTTAGATCACTATTTTCACTTTTCTTGCGCTTGAAGACAAAAAGCTGTCTGTAACTGTCGTTTGTGTTGTAATTTTTTTTTGCATCATATATGATGAATTGATGTGTTTTGAGTAGCTAACTAAATGATATGACAAATAGCTGACATTGCGACAAGTTATTTTATAATGATCGATTGAATCTTTAATTTACAGATGATGAAGCCTTAAAGCTTTACACAATTAAACGGTTCGAGGATATGCTTACCAATTTAGACACATTATTGAACGAACAAGATAACGCTAAAGGAGTGGTTAAATTTTTTACGTCAGTAACATCGTTACAATCTAAATGTGTAAAGAACGACCAGGACATACAGGCTCAACAAGATAATGCATCAGTAAAACTGGAGGCTGCTATCGACGATGGCGATACGTTAATTGAAAGTCTTAAGGAAAATTCCGAAAGAGATTCATCGGCTGTATTGACATGGAAAAATAATGGACATAAAACAGCAGTTCGAGATGCCATGAGGGATTTACATTTGGCCTTTGATTGTACGCGCGATTCTATTGTGTCACTAGTGGAAGGCGGCCGAACGGTCAAAAAAAGCAAGATGGACTACATAAAAAGTTTATATGTTCATGTCAATAGATTGAGTACTTGGGCATTGTACTGGAAGCCTGGTCGTGAAAGTAATTTATTATTCACAATCTTTTATGTTCTATAATTTACACATGTGCAAAAGTTTCTCTAGTTCTGGTTAAGATTTTTATGCCGCAACAGATGTCTTTTTTAGAGTTTATGTTTCTCATGAAACAGCTATGTGTTTAAAGTAGTTTTTGTTTAAAAAGCAGTGGTGGTTTTAGTTTCAAGTTTTATTTGCTAATTGTTTTTTGAGATTCTAGAATTCATTGAACTTTGTTGGACTTGCACTGATATCAACTATATGCTTTGAATATAGAAAGCAGTTCATCAAAGGATCATTCGCAAGGGACAGTATCCAATAAAGCTACCAATCCGTTTGTTGTTTTGAGTCAAAAGTTTGATGATATCGTTGGTAAACCTTTATTTGAACGAAATGTGACTCCGAAAAGGTATACATGATCAACACTTTTAGAATAATCGAAAATCCTTTGCAAAAATCATTTCTTGTAGATTTTAGGTGGCTATCTAAACAATAGGAGATTTATCGTATGAATGAAACTTACTTATATATAATTAAGTCATTTACCTTCACCGTAACTTACTCCTTGTGAAGAAATGCATAAGTTCAACTTAATATTTGTTCTTCGAATTTTTTATATCTTTGAATCATTAGTTCCTAATAGTTTTAATGGCAAACTGCACAAGAATTTTTTAGGGGAAATTAACTAATGTTTAAATGACAATGTATGAACGTAATTTTCTGTAGCTGTTAGTCTTTTCGTGACAATTTCGTTTACGTCTTCCAATTATAGACTCAAGCAGTTGTCATTTGTCTTTAGGATGAGGTGGATATGTCGTAAAATGAATGTCAACCTGATTCGAATTATTATACACAATTGTTGTCCATTTGTTCCGGCAGTGTCTTCTGCGAATCATTTGATAGGTTAGATTATTTTCATATGTTATGTTTTTGCGTATCATGATTTTATGTTATGATTGTCACTAATGATCATTGCTCTGCTTTTCAATATTTTTTCTCTTTACATATTGCATAGACAGTGTCTATCTCCAGTTGGTTATAATTATGACAACATTGTTTCTATAACAAGATCTTTTTCAACATCTTTTGGGCTGTGAACCTAGTTACTTAAACAGACAGTTACATAAAGTATACATAACAAATCCAGTTACTTATATGGCGGCAGTTGCGAAGCCAGCCCGCAACTTGCGGGCTAGCTACGCAACTGTATGACGGTATTTATTTCTGTCATTTTTATCAGACAAATATGGAATTACATAGGCATATTATGGGGCAGGGAATGGTAGCCCCTCCAAAATGTTTGCCAGACAAGGCCAGTCGGGCATTATTTGCTAGAAAGTTGAATGAATTGGTCATTTAAGATTGACCGACCGCCCCGCAAAAGAATATTGGTCCACACGCCCATGTGTCAAAATTTGTTGAACAAAATGTCTACTCAGTAGCCATTGTCTTATAGTATTAAAGATTTACACTATAGCTGCATGTCTATTTCTGGCGGTAACTTCAAAATTTTTGCATGATTTTTTTTAGCTAGTTTGCAGTCTTCCCAGTCGAAAATTGCGTTGAATTCATCACAGGAAGACATTTCAAACTTTACAGAAGAACCTGTGGAGTTTTCACAAAAGCTTCTGACAGAAATGAAAGAACTATTACAAGGTATTCATATTCTTGTTGTGAACATTGCATCGTCCGTATCCAGGTTATTGTTACTAGCTTTTTGCCGTTGACTTTCAATGTATTTTTTGAGTGTGCTGTCACTGGAGGTAAAGCTAATTTCTATCCGTCGATTTGGGTTTTTCACCTAACCGCCAAACTTAGAAAATTACTTGATGGTCTTTCGCTTCAATTTTTCACTTTGCTATTTCATCGATTTTCTTCTGTTCACTTATCATTATATTTTATCTTTTTCAACAGGAATGAAAGATACAGTTTCTAACGTTGTTGATGCTCCCTCATTATTGACTATTTCTAAGTCGTCAAAGTATATTTCGTTGTTGAATAAGTTGAATCAACTTTCGTCAATTGATTTGGATGCGTTGAGAAGTGACGGCGAACGAGTATGTTTCTTTGCAAACATTTTAAACGTTATGCTATGTCATGCTGCCATAACTGAGGTTGTAAGTCGTTCAATCTCAACTCGCACTTGTCAATCAGAAAATGTTGGTGTGCGTGACCTGTCGTGGGAAAAGGCTTTGCCGAGATTTGAGTTTTCATACTGCAGAACAGCGTATTTAAAAAATATGGCTGTCACATAGGAAAATTAGGATTTGTAAGGTAAATTGATTCATGTAATATAGCAATATCGCCCTGCTATAGCAACGCCTTATAATGCATATTTGTTTTATCCTGTCGTTCATCTACTCAAAGTTGTACAAAATACGCGTTTTTACTTTGCAGTGGCTGTCTATTGTCGCTTTGGTTTAACAACTTTTATTTCTATTTTCATGTAGTGCGTATGATTTGTGGTTCTCTATATTGCGAGCTGACTCGCCTATGCCATCTAATATTCAAACTGTGTCATCTATTGACGATGAAAGTAAGTTTTTAATGAAATAGACCACGTAAGTTTGAAGTCCAGTTTAGTTTACAGTATTGTACTAATTTGTGTGATAAATGATTTATTTTGCATTTCATGTTATTTTGGACGAATTTTACCAATTCACAAATTTCAAAAATATTTGTAATCTTTAGTGAATTACAGATATGAGAACTATAAAATGAAAGGAAATGATTTTCGTTTGACGTTTGCTATTTCTGATGCTACCATATCTTCTCCGGAAATGAAGGTAATTGCTTCACAAATTTTCTCTCTCCATGTGCATTCAGAAAATCTGTGTAAGGTCTGACGTGATGATGGTAAATACATCTACTGGCATTGCTAGATATAACTGATGAACAAATCCTATACAGTATCGTGTGAGATGTTTGACTTGTTGAAATCAATAAAATAAATGACTATAAACAACAGCAATGATGTAAGAGATCGAAATGACCCTTTTTTGACATTTTAAATTGTTAATAAAAAATGAGTACCTCGGTAATGCTTTGCGCGCTTATGTTTACTTCTTGTATTGAATTTCCGCCATATTTAATACGTAGTTTATAGGGGTAGTATAAACCAATTGTAAAATGACATCTTTCTTTAACTTAACTCGAGCTGTTTTTTCTTCAATTCTTGGCCAACCGTGCTATGATGTTAATAGGCCGGACTTGGTAGTATAAGCAGACATGTTGCTGCAATATCAATCTAATGTGACATCATTTTTGGGTGACCCTAAAATGGCTATCTATGGCTAAATAAGCGTCCAAAGCATTATCGTAACACTTATTCTTTAAATTTCTTTGAACTGTATAACCATGTTTGCTCCTCTTTTATACTCTTGCTTGCTCTTGTTTCAAAGAATGGCCAGGCATGTGTTTGCTGTATTTTCTCTCTTGCTTTTTTTTAACTTCAAGGTATTGAATCCAGGTAATATCCATAATCAGCTTGATGATGCAGTTTCCTCGTATCTTTGCGCTAATATTAAAGTAATTCAAAATAAAAAGGTATGTAAGCGCTAACTACAAAAACATTGCTTGTTCAATTTAACGTCGTAAGGTTCAATAAAATGAACAGCACACTATTTCCTTAGTATTTTTGTATTTTTACTTTAGATGTCTGTATTTAAAAGTTCATATCAATACTCTTGCCATTAAAAAAAGTGATGAAAGTTATTTACACGTTGTTTTACATCCCCCTTACCAATGTTTCAATAAAAAATAATTTAAAAAGCAAATAAGCAAATAGAATATTAACATTCATTAGCTATTTAAATCTCTAGGGATCAGAAGTTTGTCCATTCTGTTTCGTTTTGCTTTGAGATTGTTTTAGCTTGAGTAAACCTAGTATTTCGTCAGTAGATTCATTCATTGGCCATTTAATTCCTTACTTTTCAGATACTTCTTCCTGAACTCTTGAAATGGTATCGCAAAGATTTATCACCTGACTTGTCAGCTCCAACAATGAACGTGGAAAATTTAAATGACGATGTTAAATGGGTTGAGTTTTTGTTGAAATTGTCTCCTTATCTTCGCGGGAAAGAGTTTTTGAATATTCATGATCTTGCTTCACAGTTGCCATTTGCTTTTACTCCTTATAATTGGAAATTAGGTTTTCAATTTTCGACAAACAAGGCGCATTCAATACACGAGAAAGCTTTCTACAGTTCTGCTACACCAAAGCATGCACTTTCTCAAGATTTATCTCGATACTTGGCCGGCCAGTCCTCCCTTGTTGCATCACTTGCCAATCTTGCCAGCTCTCAAAACTATGGAGGTAGTGAAGAACAAGAAAAAGAATCAAAAGTACCCTCGCTGACTTTGGTCAGCAATTCGCAAACACGTCGCTTAGAAAGTTCCTCGCCTTTTGTTCTAGCACTTAATCAATCGGCAAAGTTTCCTGTTTTACAGAGGCACATCACGTCTTCGTTTTATTTTCTTTCCAAGTATCTGGTTTTGGATGGTATGGGACTCGCTAGATCATCAGAAGTCATCTCTCAATCTGAAGGATTTCCTGTTGGCAACCCTCTACAATATTTTCTTTTTGACGGAAGAAGTCGGGAAGTAACTGAGATGTTTCTACAATCTGTTGACTTTACTTGGCGTAATGGTGACTGGAAGCTGTTATTTAGCTTATTTAATTCAGGAGGATTAAATCAATTCGGGGCTTTGGGTGGACCGGAGGATTTTGCTATTGAAATTGCATTCGTCGATGGATTCAATTTGGAAAACGTTGATGACATTGCTGTTGAAACAGATGAAACTTTACAAAAATTCGGTATTCCTATGCCAAGCTATAATCTGAACTTTATAAAAGAAAAGACAATGATTTTGTATTTCGTAAAAGATAATTGTACCCGTGCTACTTTGGTATTGCAGAACCTGCACAATATGGATGACATTGAGCAGTGCTTGAAATTATTGAAATTTTGTTTATCAAAGCCTCCAAGGGACATAAAAGTTTTGCGAAATCTTAAGAATAAATGGCAACAACTTAATTTTTGTAAAAAGGTAAGCCGCATCGACCTTTTGAGGAAAATCAATGTTTTCGTAATTTTAAAATGTTAGTGTAATTGTATACTTCATATAAGAATCACGAAAGTGTGTATTTGAAAATCTCACTTGTTAAATATTCCATACGTGGAAGATTTTACTTGAAGGGTCTGTTTTCAATTTTATATTTTAAGAAAAGTTCGATGTTTTACGTTTATAAAAATTTCGATAGTTTCAATTTGTATATTTTAAGAAAAGTTCGATGTTTTACGTTTATAAAAATTTCGATAGTTTCAATTTGTATATTTTAAGAAAAGTTCGATGTTTTACGTTTATAAAAATTTCGATAGTTTCAATTTTTATATTTTAAGAAAAGTTCGATGTTTTACGTTTATAAAAATTTCGATAGTTTCAATTTGTATATTTTAAGAAAAGTTCGATGTTTTACGTTTATAAAAATTTCGATAGTTTCAATTTGTATATTTTAAGAAAAGTTCGATGTTTTACGTTTATAAAAATTTCGATAGTTTCAATTTTATATTTTAAGAAAAGTTCGATGTTTTACGTTTATAAAATTTCGACAGTTTCAATTTTTATATTTTAAGAAAAGTTCGATGTTTTACGTTTATAAAATTTCGATAGTTTCAATTTTTATATTTTAAGAAAAGTTCGATGTTTTACGTTTATAAAATTTCGATAGTTTCAATTTTATATTTTAAGAAAAGTTCGATGTTTTACGTTTATAAAATTTCGATAGTTTCAATTTTTATATTTTAAGAAAAGTTCGATGTTTTACGTTTATAAAATTTCGATAGTTTCAATTTGTATATTTTAAGAAAAGTTCGATGTTTTACGTTTATAAAATTTCGATAGTTTCAATTTTATATTTTAAGAAAAGTTCGATGTTTTACGTTTATAAAATTTCGACAGTTTCAATTTTATATTTTAAGAAAAGTTCGATGTTTTACGTTTATAAAAATTTCGATAGTTTCAATTTTATATTTTAAGAAAAGTTCGATGTTTTACGTTTATAAAATTTCGATAGTTTCAATTTTTATATTTTAAGAAAAGTTCGATGTTTTACGTTTATAAAATTTCGATAGTTTCAATTTTATATTTTAAGAAAAGTTCGATGTTTTACGTTTATAAAAATTTCGATAGTTTCAATTTGTATATTTTAAGAAAAGTTCGATGTTTTACGTTTATAAAAATTTCGATAGTTTCAATTTGTATATTTTAAGAAAAGTTCGATGTTTTACGTTTATAAAAATTTCGATAGTTTCAATTTTTATATTTTAAGAAAAGTTCGATGTTTTACGTTTATAAAAATTTCGACAGTTTCAATTTTTATATTTTAAGAAAAGTTCGATGTTTTACGTTTATAAAAATTTCGATAGTTTCAATTTTTATATTTTAAGAAAAGTTCGATGTTTACGTTTATAAAATTTCGATAGTTTCAATTTTATATTTTAAGAAAAGTTCGATGTTTTACGTTTATAAAAATTTCGATAGTTTCAATTTTATATTTTAAGAAAAGTTCGATGTTTTACGTTTATAAAATTTCGATAGTTTCAATTTTATATTTTAAGAAAAGTTCGATGTTTTACGTTTATAAAATTTCGATAGTTTCAATTTTATATTTTAAGAAAAGTTCGATGTTTTACGTTTATAAAAATTTCGACAGTTTCAATTTTTATATTTTAAGAAAAGTTCGATGTTTTACGTTTATAAAATTTCGATAGTTTCAATTTTATATTTTAAGAAAAGTTCGATGTTTTACGTTTATAAAATTTCGATAGTTTCAATTTTATATTTTAAGAAAAGTTCGATGTTTTACGTTTATAAAATTTCGATAGTTTCAATTTTATATTTTAAGAAAAGTTCGATGTTTTACGTTTATAAAAATTTCGATAGTTTTCAATTTTTATATTTTAAGAAAAGTTCGATGTTTTACGTTTATAAAAATTTCGATAGTTTCAATTTTATATTTTAAGAAAAGTTCGATGTTTTACGTTTATAAAATTTCGATAGTTTCAATTTTTATATTTTAAGAAAAGTTCGATGTTTTACGTTTATAAAAATTTCGATAGTTTCAATTTTTATATTTTAAGAAAAGTTCAATGTTTTACGTTTATAAAAATTTCGATAGTTTCAATTTTTATATTTTAAGAAAAGTTCGATGTTTTACGTTTATAAAAATTTCGATAGTTTCAATTTGTATATTTTAAGAAAAGTTCGATGTTTTACGTTTATAAAAATTTCGATAGTTTCAATTTTTATATTTTAAGAAAAGTTCGATGTTTTACGTTTATAAAATTTCGATAGTTTCAATTTTTATATTTTAAGAAAAGTTCGATGTTTACGTTTATAAAAATTTCGATAGTTTCAATTTGTATATTTTAAGAAAAGTTCGATGTTTTACGTTTATAAAAATTTCGATAGTTTCAATTTTTATATTTTAAGAAAAGTTCGATGTTTTACGTTTATAAAAATTTCGATAGTTTCAATTTTATATTTTAAGAAAAGTTCGATGTTTTACGTTTATAAAAATTTCGATAGTTTCAATTTTATATTTTTCTTTAAACGTAAGGTTTGTGCTGAGTTCTTTGTTCAATATCATTGTCTAGATAACCTACTGCTTATCAAGTGAAGCATTAGGGGGGATTGATGCGCTGCACATGACGTGGAATGATTTGATGGAACACACCCTCCTGGAACCGGAGGCGATTTTGGATGAGTTAAAAATGCGTGGACGTTACGACTTAGTCAAAGAATGGATTAATGTTTTTGGACGTGAAAATAATCTACTTGATGTAAGTTGCGCTGACAAAGTTTAAATTTCTTTCAATACTTCGAGTCCTTAAAAAGCTAAGCTTATTCTGTAATTTTTCTCTACAATTGGATGTCTCCCTTGTCCGTTCATAACGTACGAAATTGTGAATAATTGAAACATTGGATATTTGTGAGTTTATTAAAAATCTCTAATGATGAGAATGATTCTGCACAACAATAGACCCCAATTTCATTGTGCATAGAAGAAAAGTAAGTTGAAGTGATGCAATTACAAAAAAAAATAAACTGACATAATACATGTTTAAGTTACAATCAATTGCAATGTAGTCGGTTATGAAATGAGAAAAGACTCAGACATAGCCATGTTTTAAAAAGATGATAGTGTGAATAACTTTTTACTTCATCGTAGAAAACTCGCGAAGATTACTTGATCCATTTATTGGCGAGAACTCCAATCGACGTCGCAGAAGTTCATCTCTTTCTTGAGGAAATAGGAGATCCTGTGATTACACTGAAAACATGCGAAAGACTTCTTTCAAGGGAAATTCCAATTCCTAGCGTTGTTTTTATGATAGATTTCATTCTAACTGAGCTTCAGTTATATGTAAATGCGATAAGAAAACGTGAATTATTTCGACACAGACTTGGAGCAAATGCGGCTATGTCTATCCCACAAAGAAGTTGGATTAGTTATGAGCGTTTAACAGCTAAACCCTTTTTATTGCTGGAACAACTTTTAATTGACATTAAAGTGGAATGGGCTGGAAAGGTTTTTAACAAAATGCAGACTGAGCTTGCCACTGATGAGAACTATGATGAGATTTTAAGGAACGAGTTCACGGTGGAGGCATTTGACGATTTATTGAAGTGTTATGCAACGAAATCGCTGGAATTCAAAGTTGTAACTTACGAAGAACGTGGTAAACAGCTTTCCTTTCTTTTTTTTGTAGTAGACTATCATTGAATAAAAGGCAATTCTTGTAGCCTTAAAGTAACATATGTTACATATTTCGCTCATTCTTAGATGTCAATGATAAATTTCTAGATGATTCCTCTTCGGGGAATTCCACACCCATATTTGGTCAACGAAGAAAATCTAGTCAAGGTGTGTCATTTATTGAATGTATGTTAGGTTACTTCCGCTACAGATTATCGAGCTTTCACTGCAAACGAGTGATAGCATTTTATGTATATAATGGAAACTTAAAGGCAGCTCGTGAAAAGACTCTCAGATACATGTGTTTATAAGTATACTTGTTATACTTACATATCAACCTAAATCTTTACATTTGTTACATTTTTCACAACATCTTTGCAGACACTATGAATGCAGACATTATCCGTTCAAACAGTATCTGTGCAGACACTATCTGTGTAGACACTATCTTTGCAGACACTATGAATGCAGACATTATCCGTTCAAACAGTATCTGTGCAGACACAATCTGTGTAGACACTATCTGTGCAGACACTATCTGTGTAGACACTATCTTTGCAGACACTATGAATGCAGACATTATCCGTTCAAACAGTATCTGTGCAGACACTATCTGTGCTGACACTATCTGTGCTGACACTATATGTGCAGACATTATCTGTGCATACACTATCTGTGTAGACACTATCTGTGTAGACACTAAACACCAGCAAGTAGGTCATTAAGCCATTTAGTCTCTTATTCAACCTCATTTTATTGTGTGACCAAACCTTAAAAATACGTAAATTGAAGCAATAGAAAATACAGATTTTGTGAATGGCGCTCATTGTTATAGTATCTCATTTACAGAGAGCTTGCGTAGTGTCAAAGGGTCTTTCAGTCAACGGCGTCAAAGCAATGGATTTGTCATTCCCGAAAATATTCCAGCTGAGGAAGACTGGGAACCAGACTTTAAACACAGGGTTTGCATGGTTTGCAAGGAAGTGACATTTAACATGGTTAGAAGATTTAAATATGTACCTTACATTTGATCCATTACCACAATTGTTCAACTATTATTACTGAAAAAATTTAGTTCAATATCTGTTGGAGAATCTACCAGTTCTCAAAATTGTGTTTGGCATTTATTGGTCGGATGTAGCTAGCTAACTTATGAACATGTTATATTTTTATAGTTTGTGCGTCGTCATCATTGTCGTCGTTGTGGACGAGTTGTTTGTGATACTTGCTCTCCATTCAAACGTATTTTATCAAATTTGTCTTCAACACCTGTTCGTGTTTGTAAAGATTGCGATAAAGCCATGTTTCAACAAAGGTATCAGAGTTTTAGTTTTAGGCTTGTATATCGATGTTAAGTATTGCATTTAAGGAAAATTATATATTGAATCACTCCGTATTGGTATTGCATAAGTTTTCACCTATATAAGATAATTGCATAAAAGATATTCTGCATTTCTCGATATTTGATTAACATTTTTGTTTTCGTCATTCAGTTACAAGAAAAACAAAAATACCACAAGTAGAAGCTTGGAACGCCAAGGTAATATTATTGAATGTCAAAAGAAATGTTAAGCGTTTCTGAAAACTTTTGATTTATGCAGCCAATGATGAATTCCAAACAAGACTTGATTCAGCTGTTCTAAAAAGCGAGGAAGAGTTTAATTTTGGTAATTCTCCACAAGAGTACAGACTAACTTTAGACGATGATTGTAATCAAGCCATTCGAGATATTTTCTATTATAAACAAGTAAGTAAACGATGAACAATTCGAGAAAACTCCCTCTTGGAAGACTGTCACTAAGAAATGAAAAAATATTGTGCTTAAGTATTTACTATAACAAATTGGTAACGAAATCCCTTTTGTATAACATGTACATTGAGTTCAAGACTTTGTTATGTAAAAAGTGAATTTATCCATGCTCTAGTAATTTTTGTTGAACTGGTGAACTTTCATGTTGTTCATAATGTATTTTTCTTTTGTACTTTAATAAAGGCACCAAGTTCATCATTATGTACGGCAATCCTTGCCCTTCACGGAAATGATAAGACATGTGGCGAGTTGTTGCTGAAACTTTGTAATCTTCTTTCTGAAAAGCTTGCTGTCAGTGAAGAAATAGATAACAATTTGATCATTAGGTGAGCACGACTTTTACATCAACTACTGCTCCATGGACTTATTTCAAATTTTTTGTATATAAAGCAAGCGTTCTTTTTGTTTTACTTCAGCATCATGTGTCAGCTGCTTTATCATGCAAAGTTGAAATTTACCAAATGTGGAAAAACGCATGGAGTGGAGTTATGTGATACGTAAGTAACCATTGGAAACATTTTTTACTTAACTTTGTTTAAGACATAAAACATGCATTTTATACTAATTATGGTTTTACATCTTTGCAGTGTTTCTTTCTCGGTGCTTCGAGCCTTCATCAGAAAGATATAGGAAGTTATATACAGTTGTTTTTCATTTGTAGACGCTTAGAGCGTCTAATTGGATTAGCGGGTGGATTAATGTGATTGGGTGAAGCACCGAGTTGAAAGCTTAATAAAATCATTTTATACAATCCGGAGAAACTCTCTCTCTCTATATATATATATTGTTGTTTCTGTAAAGTCAAAATTTGTATTTTTACGATTGGTTTCATCCATGGGCGTAGGAATGTCAATAATTGATGGAGAAGATCATATACATTTATCTATTTTAAAGTTCGTGTAAAACATTGGAACTTAATGCGGCATATCATACACATGCACATACATAACCCCCCCCCCACGATTATTTAACTTCCCTACGTTCACGGTTTCATCGGACAAACGGATAGTATTGGTGAAGTTTGTTTACTTTATGTTAGTAGAACACATGTTTGTGAACTCCATTAACTATGATTTTCTTCATGTTTACAGTTTTCACCGCATGACCATCATTATTGTTTCTACAAATATAGGTACATGAGTCGTGTTGAGTTGGTTCGATTTCTTATTGAATCAAATTTTTTTGAAATTCCTTCCATCGAAGACTTAATGTCAAACCAAACATCCAGGTCTGTGTTTTATGGTTTTATGAATGATTGTTGTACAGATTTAAAATATTCTTTTAAAAACTCAGATATATTTCTTTTAATAATGTTGTTGCTATAACACATACTTTTTGCAATAAATGAAGTATTGTGTATTCTGTATCTTAATTTTTATATGGGATGTGAAATTAATCAAATTATTATTTCACATGATGGCATGAAAGCATGCCAATTATCTCGACAAATGTTTTTTAAACATAGTCCAGTAAAGAATAATGCAGATTTTTTGATTTATCTCAGTTGTTAGTTACATCTATTTGCATGTAACGTGCATGTTGAAACGATGTAAAAAATTAAAAACTAGAAATTGTTACAGGAATCATGCTATATCGAGTATAAAAAACGATTCTCTCAATCCGATTGGCTTTGTCTAGACGATTTCGTGATAGATTAATCGAGAGTGAAAATCTATCTTTGGCAATGGAAGTAACGACTAAATGTGGTCTTGATCCTGCTGCGGTTTGGGGGGCTTGGGGCTTTGCATACCTTCAAGCAGGAATGTATCCGGAAGCGCGGCAAAATTTCAGCAAAGTTTTGAAGGTATTGTAAAATGGCTCTTAACCATCCACATTCTTACTGTGGAATGTTTTCAAACCTATAAAATACACATAGCTAGCGGTATCAAAATTAAAATATTGTGTGGTCTAGTTTTGTTTATTCTGTGATTCTGCATGCTTAGCAAGTAGTTAATTCTCCTTGTCTTTACCTGACTAAAAGATCGTCTGGTCAGTCAGGACCACATTTAATAATGCAAACCGTCTTATCGACGCCTTAAAAGAAAAATTGCATAGCACGAGTAAGTAAAATGGACCTGTGTTTGTTTTGCAATTGTATATCAAATGAAGTAAGTGGAGTGTAGGGAAAGTGCTACGATTTGTAGGAATTCTTATGGATGAAAAAAATTCCTGTAGTTGGACAATTTTCTTAAGTGCCCATGATCTAGAGAAGCAATCTTTAATTTTTGCTTGAACACACAGTCATTGATCAACTTTTTTCTCATTTCAGCCTTCGGATCTAGGCAAATCATCTCAGATCAACAGTTCTTCTGTGAAAAGGATCATTGATATTCTTGAAACGTCGTCTTTGATGTCGTTGGATAATTTCTCAATGGTAAATAGATTCGCTTAGCACAAATGTTGATATGCTTGTTTAACATTTGTCATCAACATTTATGCAACAGCATGTGCGTAGAAGAATAATTTTAGAACAAATTTGGCCTGGCAGCAAGTCAATGAACGTATCATTTATATTGTCTTGTGTTTCGTTGGTCGAGAACATGTCACATGACTCTCTGACTAGCAGTTGAGGAAGACAATAGGTTGTCGTCCGGAAAACAATGAAAATTGCAAGCTTTGCTTTGCAACAATCGATAGGGAATAGTCAAACTATCATGTTTTACAATAAATAAGCCACTGCTCAAAACGTTGAAAATTTTTGCTTGTTTTTTTTTGTTTACCTTGAGTCAAATTTCCATTGCATTGTATAATCTGTTTACACTGCATAAAACTGTTAAAGATTAAACTACAGTTGATTGCTTAATTTCTTAGGGTGGTCTCTCTGAAAGTTTGGCAAGTTTACGAGAATCTGTAAAAGTAAGCAAACGCATTTTCTTTTCGTTATTTTTTGATAGTGTTGCAGATATGCTTTGATACAACTTCAATCTCAATCTCAATCTTTTTTTTGGCAAGGACAAAATTTGATTTCTGACATCTCCATGTTTAACAATTGATCTACAAGATTTTCGTTTTTTGTCAAAATATTATTGCTATTGAATGTGATTTATGAGAAACCTTTGCTGATCACTTAGTTATTTAGTGTACTGTAGAATAAAGAAAATAGCATGATTAAAACTTATGTGTTCATAAGCAGCAAGCTAAATAAACACATAATAAACTTAGATGTTGTAATATTCTTATATATATAGAATACAACAGGAAAATATTTCATGGATTCCAAACGATATGAAGAATGCATATTCTACTTGAATACTTATGGTTCGAACGAAAGAATTGTTTCCTTCTACGTGAATCACAATCAATTAAAACTGGCCTGCAGATATATTTTGGAAAAGGTACTGAAACATTGGTTTCACTCTTTAATATCACATTTGCAATCTTTTTTTATTCTTCTTGCTCTTTTTGAATATTTTGTTTGTGTTTGTTAGAGATGTAATCCTGATATTTTCACGGAAAACCTTCTCATGCCTTGTTTTCGTCGTGGAGAGTTCTCAGAGCTTTGCGAGCTGCTTAAGATGTTTGATCCGTCGCTAGATGTGTGGATCAACTATTTGATTGGTGCTTGCAGATATTTAAGTCGTTCTAATTGGTTCAATTTGCTTTATCGTGTTCAACTTCTCATGAAGGTATTTTTCACAACACATTAGATGATAGAATTTAACTTTAAAATTCTAGTAAATTGATCATTTCAATGCTTATAAAAATTCTCATAAAATCAAACTTTATACCACATGGTTTTCTAATTTCAATGCAAAAAGACCATTTAAAATGGATGGCTTAATGACTCGTTCAGTAGCTATGATTGTGTTATTTTACTTCTCTCTAGAGCTATTCAACTTTATATATTGTGCAAACAACATCATGACATCACACGACATATTAAGAAAATAGCAGTTTTTGTGTACAGCGTTCTCGTAAAATATCCACCTCGGTACTCTTCCAAACAATCATGTATATCTTCATATACAAACTGTTTTACTTGCAAATAGTTTTTGTGTACAGCGTTGTCGTAAAATATCCACCTCGCTACTCGTCCAAACAATCATGTATATCTTCATATACAAACTGTTTTACTTGCAAATAAACTGTTTTTACGATGCTCAAAATTAAGTCTTTTGAAATTTTCTGTGCAAAACAGTCAGAAAACTGCATTTGAAGTATCGTTTCGTAAACATTTTAAGAAGGACTTGCATTTTCCGCATGATGTCGGAAGAGCTACGTCAACCGTTTGCTGAAGTTTAGTAATATTGAAAATAAGATAGAAACGAAATTCATATTCTCATACTGATGTTTGTGATTTTCAGGATTTCTTCCGGGCGGCTATGACATGCATAAAATTTTACCAGGGTTTACCAAATAATCCTGCCAAAAGTTATGCTGATCTGTATATGAGGTTAAGTTTTTTGAGGGATGCTTTTGCTCATCTGGATTGCGTACGCAAACATCAACAATCAAAGAAAGGAACCTTGAAAATAGGGACTAGCTCACTTCAAAGAACCATTGAAGAACCAAATGAAGATAGATCGCGTATATCAGTAACGCCAACAGAACTTAACACTTATATGAATACCGTAACTCTACAAATTGACGTGACAAAATTCATGCAGAATTGCTTAACCAATGGAACGTTCTGGGAAGAACGGAATTCATCAAAAAAGAAATTGGGTACATTATTTGATAATGCAACTGTCAAATGTCAGGTTGTTGCCCAGGTAAAAAAAATTGAGCAATTGTTTTCTGATGTAAAATTGTTTGAATTTTTTTTGAAATTAATATTTGTGAAACATTGGATTTACGATTTGCGAAAGATTTTGTGGGTTTAATATTATATTGATTAAAATCTGAAAAAGCAAGTTTTACCTTTGCTTCTATTTTTAAGTGAGCGTCAATGTTTACATCTGCATGCGAAGGGATACGCTCAAAACGTCTACAAGCAATATATTATTCTTTGAGGATGTCATGAGTCTTGCATATGAACTTATGATTCAAAAGCTTTGCTTCTTATTTCCAATGTCAAAAATTCTTTCAGATGTTGCTTTCTGGGAGTTGTGTCGAAGATGCCTTCACTTTGTCTGCCCGGATCATACAAGTACGTTTTATTAAGAACTTTCTTTTGAATGATTCTTGGGTATGCAGGCTAGCTTTGCACGACTTTTTCAATCGATGCGTTGGAAATTTATGCAGTTTACATACAGGAACAGCGGGAAATTGATAATTGAGTGCTCGTGTTTATATATTCATGTGTCAGAATCAGTAACAACAATCGATTTCAACAAAATTGATATTGCAGAACATGCAAGTATGAATACTATCCCCCCTCCTCCAGTTATCACTGTCCCGCCGTATAAGCAAATTTAATTATCAAAACAACCGCTTTTCATGTTTATTACTGCGATGAACACGGTATTGACATTAATTTACTGTTAAAATATGAATAAAATAACCCATGCTTTCTTTTGATGCAGGATTTTCGTTTGCCATCTTTGAATGTCTACAAAAAAGTTGCTCAAGAGCTGGAAATCGATCAGAAATATGAACAAATTAACGTGTTGTTGCTGAACGCCGTTCAAACAAGATCGATCAAAAACAGAGATCATGACGCCATTATTCTGGAGTTATTGGGGATGTTGACTGATAACGACAAAAAGGTATAATAGTTCTTTGGAGTAACCACTAGTCGCCGAGGGCATCTTAAAAGGACATCATGTGATCACATGATGTGTAAACCCCGAACGGCCACCCCTCCACAGAAATGCTGTTTTTAGCAAAATAAAAGTTTCGTTTCTCACCGTTATCGTCATGATCATAACCAGTCCACAAAGTTTTTCTCGGTTCCAATTCTTCAACTATTCGTTCTATTTTGGTAAACGAAAAATATGACGTTTAATGCGCGCTTTTTATGTAAATAAAGTTCCATCCTCGATGGTGCGAAATTGTATTGTATTTCGTACCATTGATCATTGATATTTTTATATATTTTAACGAACGTTCTATGATGTGACGTATCATTGTGAATTAATGACAAAATGTGACCATTTTTTAAATTTTTAGTGGAAACAGGCTGAGTTACTCATAAAATCTTTAAAAGATGAAGGGAAAAAGGTAAAAAAGTTAATGAAGTAGTATTATTTATTGTATTCTTCGCATTGTAAGAAGTTTATTTTACAATGCTGTGGCCAAACATGAAAAACTATTCCCAATAAAAAATTCTTAATTTCTGTCGAATGGAGGAATTATTTTAGTTTTTAGGATTGTATATGACTTTTAAAACTATAAATAAAGTATTATGTAACCACTATTGCAATGCAATCATGATCGTGTTGATGTCAAGATATATCTTGCTAAATGATTGTGGGAAATTTTAATAGTATAAATGGTGTATTACCTTTCTAGGTTGCAGCTTATGTACGATTTGGACGGTTAAAGACGGCGTATTTGATAGCAGTCTCCAGTGAGAGAGTAAATGATGTCAAAAACATCGCAGATATCGCCAAGGAAAAGGAACAGGATAAGGTGTACAACATTTGTAAGAAATGGTTGGACAGTAGACAAATGAGAGATGAAGGGTCATGATTACGTCATTTTGGAGGATCATGACTACGTCACATTCGATGGACATGTTTACGTCATATTCAAATAAAACTAGCGCAAACAAGAGAAATAATCGTTTCAGCGATTTGCTGTGTTTAATTTCACTTATCAGCTATGCGCCAAATTGAAAATATTAAGAACTATCAGTCATAAAAATATACTACGGGAAAATAACGGGAATTTTGAAACACAACCAAATAAAATGAACGATAAAAAACATGACCAAAGTGCAACAGAAAATTTAATGCAAACACATTCTTCTAAAAAAATAGCAGGGATTTGTATCACGAGGCCTCTATTGTGTGGATAATTATTATTCACTATTGTTCTCACAAGTTTTCAACAAATATTTCGAATCCTGATTTGGATAAAACATACGACCAGGAAACATTACAAATCCAGTGAATAACAACTCTTGGAACGAACTCCAAGACTGTTGGGTGAGGATATGTCATGGTTGTAAACTAATCTTTCACGCCATCTACGGAATTTTTTCTGTTGCCTTGTGGAGCTGTGTGAAATGCTTTCTGGAAATATATGACTCACTTGGTTGTCTGAGAATTGTGAATTGCTTATTGACGAGAGTTTGCATTTAAACGAATGATGTAAACATCTATAGATAGATAAACAGTTAGATAGGCAGGGAAATAGGCAGTACATTGCTTAATTTATATGTAAGTCTTTCTTTTGTTATACTGTAGCACCGTGCGGTGTCTGGTGTGTAGAATAGCACTGTGGTATCCCTGCCTGTCCCTATCCATTATCCTTTTACCGTACGGTGACCGGTGTGCAGAATAGCACTGTGGTATCCCTGCCTGTCCCTATCGACTCTCCTTTCACCGTACGGTAACTGGTATGCAGAATAGCACTGTGGTATCCCTGCCTGTCCCTATCCATTATCCTTTTACCGTACGGTGACCGGTATGCAGAATAGCACCGTGGTATGATTGCTTGTCGTAAAAGGCGACTAAAAGGGTTGTCGTCAGGAAGGATATCCGACTGCAAAAAATGTCTGTACAAATTATGAAGGTTGATAAGCACTGATGTTACGTCATACACGGAAATCGACGCACAGGGACATCTTCTGATCTCTGTGAAAAATAAAAAGTATATCATAGCATGTTAGCAACCACAATAAGAATAACGAAGAGTTTGAGAAATATGAGCATATGTAGAGGGAATATGACTGACAATGACTGAGGAATTCTAAATGTGATAAAGAAGAAAGAAAACAACTTTGCACGTTATATTTGTCTTACACAAAGTTTACCACGTGCAAATATAAATTATGAAATAAAAACGTTAAACTTGTGTTGTTAAAATTGTTGCAGTCCATTTTATTCTCTGGCCTTTTCAGATGATTACCGTACAATTCTTCAAAGAATTTTTTGACTGGATAAAATGACGGAATAATTGCCCATACATTATCTTTAACTTTGGATTTTGATAAATGTAAACCATGGCTTATCAGTTCACCGTGAATGAAGAACTCGACTTTGTGGACAAGATAACCATACGAGTTGGCATTTGTGCCATGAATAAAAAGGTGTCTATATCAGCAAATAGTTGCCTCTGTTTATGATAAGATTATTTTGTTAAAAAATTGAGGAATTTCGAAAAACATGCATTTTAAAAGCAATGAAATTTAGACGTGCTATGACTGATATCTCTCCAAATGTAATTTTACATCCGGAAGATGATACATTGTTGAACTAAATTAAGCAAAGTTTTCTTTTCCCCTCCCCTTGTACCTAATTTCAATTATGTTTCCCCCCCTCATGTACGTGAATTTAATTGTTTTCCACCCCCCCTTTTTTCCTATGTACCTAAATTAAATTATGTTTTCTCTCCCCCCATTTTAATCCAATGCACTTTTTTGTCTGTTTTGTATTACTAACTTAAAAACCCCAAGCCCTGGATTCTGATTTTTGACATTACAAATTTGACATTTCACTTATAGAGCCATTCTCGGCCAATGAGAGAGATTCTTGATCGTCTTGAAAAATTTGAAATGTTTGAAATTGTTGTTTTTTCTGATGATGTAATACTGAATCATCCAATCGAAAATTGGCCAATATGTGATGCATTGATTTCATTCTTTTCAAAAGGTATATGTTGCCTGTATGTATGTATAAATATATGTTCCCGAGTGGTAGCTTAAGAAAATTGATGATAAAAGTTATTATACCTTACACTCCCTGTGATGTGGCAAGATGCTATGTCTTATTGACTCCAAAACATAAGACTTACTGCACATGTTGTATAATTAGCATTATTTGAACTTTGTGATTTATACATTATTTGGAGTCAGAGTATTTGGGAATAATACAATTAGCTATTTAAGCATAATGAGTGTTGATTTTCGAGTTCTGTTAAGTTCATTTCTTCTGGTAGTTTATCTCATGATGTCTTAATCAATTTATTTTCATGTTTTGGGCAGATCAATTAGATCATCTTGTTGGTCGTGTCTTAATTGCATAAAAAATGTTGTTAGTTAGTTGTGTGGCTTATAGTTTAATGACGTTATTTGATGCTGTATATGTGGACATAGTACAACGATGCCTTTAATCTCTGCAATAAATTTGAAACTTTATTTATATATTGGTTAATGTGACGCTCTATGTATTCCTTCCATTCTGTTTTATAACTTTGGATCTTATATGACGTAGCTACGTCGTGTTTTCTATAACTTTTTTTCATGTCAAACGCCTCTTTATTTGTCAATTTCAATGCCTTGACAGAGGAATATTGATTTATCTTGCTTCCATGTTTCAGGCTTTCCATTGGACAAAGCTATTAAGTACAGTGAATTGCGTAAACCTTTCTTACTCAATGATTTGGAATCACAATATGTTTTACATGACAGGTATGTTGACGTGTTGTAGATTTTTATTGAAAAGTGAATTATCTATGTACACAATTTATGCAAACGTTGTTGAATGTCTTCAAATCTGAACTCATTGAACTGTGTTTGTTAGATTGTATGTACTCAGTTGGTAGGAATCGTGGAATATTTTATCCTATGCATGGTCCTATGTGTTATCGTCTTCAAAGCTCAACATGTTGAGAGCGTTTGCACACATTGGTTAACACCACTAAACAAGTGTAAGACAGGTTTAACGAACGTCGAGTCAACATGTTAAGATCGTTTGAGCAGGGTTTAAACACAAATAGTCAAGAGCCATATTTATTTGGAGCTCGCAGATATCAGTTGTTTTCATTTTCGATATTTTAGGTTAAAAGTTTACGAGATGTTACAAGCAGTTGGCGTGCCTGTTCCTCGTCATGCTGTTCTTAGAAGAGACATAAACAATGTCTGTGACGATCCTAATTTCCAAGAGAGTGAAGATACGATTCGCGTTCACGATAAAGTCTTTCACAAACCGTTCGTGGAGAAGCCGTTGAATGCTGAAGATCATGATGTATATATCTATTTTCCGTCACATGCTGGGGGTGGCTGTCAACAATTGTTTAGAAAGATTGGCAGTCTGAGCAGTCGTTATTGCGACCAAAGTCGCGTGCGCAGAACTGGATCTTTTATCTATGAAAACTTCATGCCAACTGAAGGGGCAGATGTTAAGGTTCGTGCGTGTATGATGCTTTGAACGTGTGCACGATGCTTTGAACGTGTGCACGCTTATGTAAACTTAAGGAGAGAAATTTGTGTGAATTGAAACTGTCAACCGTCGGTCTCAGGCTTTCACTAATCATTTATATATCACTGATCAAGCTATAATGCTCAATTTGTGTTTTTTCATGATTGCAAAACAATAACACGAGTCTAAGTCGTGTGATGACCGTTGATGATGACCGAATATTTGATGAAAATATTTTTAGCGAAATAATGCAAAATATAGCGAAAGAATAGGTACGTACGTGTACGTATAAAAACATTTTTAGTGAAGGCCCATGCAAATACATTTCCTTTCCCCTCACAATATCAAATATACTGTAGGTTTTAATAACATAATAATAATTAAAAATACGTATCACTGTTTTCAAAAGGATGTCATGTGAATATGCTTACATGTTTACATTGGTTGCATTTCCCCATGAAATTTAATGTATTATTTAGGTATATACTGTGGGTCCCGAATACGTACATGCTGAAGCAAGAAAATCTCCATCGCTTGATGGTAAAGTTGAACGTGATTATCAGGGAAAAGAGATCCGTTACCCCATTATTCTTTCAGCTTATGAAAAGGAAATCGCCAACAAAGTTTGCAAAGCTTTTAAGGTCAGCGAATGTTCATAACCGCTAGTTTTCCTGCACACGAACAGCAGTAAATTTTGATAATATTCAAATTTCAAGTGTTCTTAGTTATCTGCTTACTGAGATTTTCCAATTTTTTATCAGCAAACCGTGTGTGGTTTTGATCTTCTGAGAGGCAATGGAATGTCCTATGTTTGTGATGTGAACGGATTCAGTTTTGTAAAGACTTCTCAGAAGTACTATGAAGATTGCTCGCAAGTTCTAGGTCATATGATCTTACAGAAGATTGCCCCACAGCTCCCTATTCCTGATCTTGCCATTGATGACACGCCATTCGTTGATACGACTGAGGAGTCAATGCTTGAACTACGCTGTGTCATGGCAATCATTAGACATGGTGACAGAACGCCCAAGCAGAAGATGAAAATGGAAGTGAGAAATGAGAAGTGAGTAGAAAACTTTATGATCAGTTAGTCTTTATGGTCGCTTCGTATGCTTTATGATTATATTATGATGCAACTTCCACAAATGACCTTGCTCTTTCACGGAAGAATTTACCAGAATTGAATTTACTTGTATGTTCATGGTACAGGTTTTTTGAACTGTTCAACAAGTATGGTGGTACAAATGATGGTAAACTAAAACTGAAGAAACCAAACCAACTTCAAGAAGTCTTGAACATCGTGCGTTGTTTGTTGGAACGCGCAAAGGAGCAACATGATCCCGAGAAAAAATATTTGAATCCCAACATAAACTTGAACAACTTAAAAGTGTTCTTGAAATGTAAGTGCATGAATGACTGAGGGTTAGGTACGGTTTTATCTATTTATTGTGTTTGAAATATCATGTTTAAAAAAGATTGTTGCAAAAATCTTTTATCAATTTACATGAATGCGTTCACAATCAATTGCCGCCATCTTGTTTCACGGCAGCGCGTTTTTGGAAGTGGTCCGAGGATTGGGGATAGGTACCCTAAAATAAACCTTAAAAATGCTTGTATTGAAATTTGACGTAACGAATAATACATAGTTGCCTTATGCGACTTTGAGATCTATCCTTGATTCTTATGGTTACTGTTGAGATCCATGGTTTATAATATGGCATTTAAAGGAGTCTAAATGTTTTTCAAATTTCTCTACTGTTCAAGAATAGTGTACAGCTGTAAAGAACAATTGAGTAATTGAGGAGAAAGTTTACTGTCTTGCATTAATTTATTGTTTAGGTATGGCCATTTCTCTGGCATAAATCGTAAAATTCAGTTCAAGTTCTTAGGAAACTCACGCGAAAAACATGAAGTATGTCTCTCTGAGGATCGCGGGCGTCATGGTTATTCTTCAGGTATAAGTATTAACACTTTACCCCAGATAACTTATTGTCTTTACCCATCAAAAAAATTAATGCCCAACAAAATAAAGCGTCAGTTTGAAAAATATAAGCAGTCTATCGCAGCAAGTTGCTCTATGACTTTTTACATAAAACTGCTGCCAAAAAAACGAGCTCTTTTTGTGAGCAAAAATATGAAATATTATCTCTTTATCTGTGTAGGCGCTGACAAATCAAGCGATGAAACAGAAGATGATAAAACGTTGTTCGCCATCCATCATTATTATTGATTATGAAATGGGGTGGTGAATTAACACCGTTTGGACGAGAACAGGCTGTTGAAATGGGCAAAGCTTGCAGGTCACTTTTCTTCACTCTATTTCGGCCTTTATCGAATGGAAGTCATCAATTGACTTTCTAGTGTGAGAGTTTTACGTTGTTCATTTAAGGAGAGCTCTTTATCGTGAAAAAGTTTTCTATGTTGACCTATGATATCGGATCAATATATTGCCTGCAGACTTTATATTTGACCTATGTTCTTTTTTTCCTTCTAAAGGCCCGTTCACACGATCCGATTGTTTCGAATTCGACTTTTGGTTGCTTGCTCAGACGGTCCGATAATTTTGTTGATATTTATATTCGTTTGGATATTTATAGTCGTGTGAACAGCCATTTGTGTTATCCAGTACATTTATCGATATATTTTTCGTATTTTTGTTCTTGTTTCCAGGTCTTTTTCAAATTTATGTAATTCGACTAGTCGGATTCCTTTGATCATGTCAGATAAAAATAGAGCAAGTTCTATTTCCACCCGATTTTTTAGATTAACGGATCTGACTATCGAAGGCTCACTTTATATGTGTTCACTCGATCCGTTTTTTAGGATCTGACAAAATCGGATCGTGTGAACGGGCTTTAACCACGTCTTTATCAAGTCAAGTCAACTGGTTATTGCTTTATTATACTTGATGAAAATCTGCTATTCAATCATGCCGGTAATATTTCAGGTGTATGTATCCTGGTGGTCGAGGGGAGTATGCCAGTTTACCAGGGTGTGGTCTATTAAGGCTTCACAGCACATACAGACATGATTTGAAGATTTATGCATCTGATGAAGGAAGAGTTCAAATGACAGCGGCTGCATTTGTTAAGGTACAGCAACAATAAGCATGAATTGTGCTTTTATATTCTACGCATTATCCGTAAAGATATCGTATCCTGTGTAATGTCCACTGATGTACTTTGCAAAAATTTACCTTAATCTTCTTCATTCCTGTGTTTTCATTGGAAATAAACTATTTTAAATTTGAGTTTCCTTTGTATTGATCTGTTTGTTGAACTCGTTGGTACCTCCATTTTTGTTTCCTTTTCCTGTATATTCATGTGTTGTTACTTACGACATGTTTTCTGTGTGTAAAGGGATTGTTAGCCTTAGAAGGTGAGCTCACTCCAATTCTGGTTCATCTCGTTCGCTGTGACAAACATGCGACTAAGATGCTTGACACTATTGCCGATCCACAAAACCTAACGTTCAAGTACGTTCTCATGATGTATTATTATTTAATTTTTTCGAACCAATTTCTCAATGCTTAATATGCTGAACCTCATAAATTTGACTAAATTAAGCAGACTTTAGCAATGTCTCACTGTTGTGAGTGAGACTAACAATGACTTCAGATAAAATATAATCATTGGTATGTAAAAAGACAGTTTTTATTTAATTTTCATAAATTAAGTATAAGTTCTTACATATTATTATTTAGCGCTGCTCACTTATTGCACTTTTTTGAATTGCTAGTAAAGAAATAATGTCTTAGGTCAAAGACTAATCATGTCATAACCATTTTTCGTGGCTATGGTTAATGTCAAGACTTAAAACCATTAACGAACCTCGAATTTCATTAAAACTAATGTTGGAAAAGTGCTTTCATTCTTGTATCCATTCTGGTAATTTTTTCTCTTAAAAAATTTTTTTTAGAATAAAAGGTCGTCTACACGAGTTCTTCAATATGGATAAAGATTTGGTGGAAGAAGATTATAAAACGGTACTTTAGTGAGTAAATAAAAGAAGATAAAAGAAAGATGGGAAGATTGAAAACATAGAATATTGTGAAAAGTGAACTTAGGAAAGATTAAAGAATAAGACGGGTAAAACATGCATGAGAAACAAGAAAAAGAGATTTGAGGTGGAATTATCCTTTCAGACAAATACTTAAAGAGCAGAAACGCAGAACTCCTTTTTGCGCGAAAGAGATAAACAGGAAAATTTTATTGGTTGTGAGTGAAGTGCGAGAATTGTACTTCGAGTGTAGACACGAAAAGAGTTTAAAATTGGCTTTTGGCGACTTTTCGTTTTCTTATTTGCTCTTCTCCATTATATACAATAGATATGATTCCTCTGATTAACTAACTAAAGAGAGAATAGTGGGTATAGGAATAAAACAAAAGTTAGTCATCCTCTAGCGTAATTGATGATCTATAGTTGTGTCGTAAATCGGAAGAGGAATTGGAGAGTTTAATAGATGTTGTTTTGGCGTTTTCTAGAGATATTAAAATGGAGCTTAGGTTGGATAAGTGTGCTGTGATGGTACTGAAAAGCTGTGTGGGGAAGAATGCTTGTTATGACAGCGTAGACACTGGAATGAGTGAGCTACATAATAATACATGCAAATCTTTGAGTGTGTTGGAAGGAGTATTATGCAAAAGGAGATGAACAAAAGATGAGGAAATCAATGCATGGGCGATAGGAGTAATGAGTTTTCTGTTGTTTATGAATAAATAAAATTTGGACGATTGCCATTGTAAACTGCCAAAAAACATCTTTGATTTCTTCATACGCTACATCATACGCTATTCGTTATAAATAAATTTAATTGACCTGAATTTCTATGATAGTTTATATACATCTTTTTAATTTCCTTTTTAGATAGTCCCTACTTCTTCTTTGTCGCAAATCCAGGCTCTTAAGTTCATTGAGAATCCGTACAAGATGTGTAAAAGATTACATACTCTTGTGCAATCATTGACTGCTCAGCTTCGTGAGAAGATGAAAGATCCTAATGTGGATCCACAAGGTACGTATTGATTTAAGTTGCTAAGATGATGTATTTTTGATGTATGGGCGTTACTGTATTTCGATGGTCATCACATCATTTAGGATGATTGAAAATATGATGGTGAAATTTTGTAGGATAATGCATAGTACTGTGTATTTGTTTTATTGAGTGAATAAATTGACATCGATTTTTTTCACAACGCTTTGATGAGCAAAAGACTGCGCGTTCTTAACATTTAATATTTTTCACAACATATTAATTTAAATTCTACGTAGACTACATTCGATATTTTTGCCTTAGTTTCATAACGTTTAGATTTTATTGTTTTTAATGTAGTTGGTATATTGAAATTTTATTTATTGTTAACATTGTCTGATGATAAATACTAAATTTGCTAGTCCTCAATTAAACAGTTAAAATAATTATATATAAAGTCTTTCGTAAAAAATATACTATTATTTTTTTCATTATTTCTTTTTGATGCATCTTTTGTAAGTGTCTTTTCGATTATCAGCCAGACAGTTATTTACTTAATTTATACATAAATATTGTAGATCCGTCGCTTTATCACAACGAATGTTTGGATCTGATGGTCCATCGTTGGAGTAAACTGGAAAAGGTATCAATCCAACAAACTTAAATCCAATTTAGAAAGACAATTTATTGTTTTTGTGAATCATTTCTCTCTGACTTATTCATCATGTTATAAACCATGGATATTGTACAGCCATATACTGAAAAAAAACAAAATGCCTGCCTATATAAGATGCACGATACTTAAATCATGAAATACAAAATGCTAGTATCTAAGCCTGGAAATTTGCATGATTTACCGCTCGAGTTTTTAAGGCCGCAAACTCGTACTTTGTGCTACGAAGGATTTGAGAAACGGGCTTGAAACTATGGTAGTTATTATTTTTAAAGATGTTGAAAAAATATTTTTTTGTCAAAGGATTTTAGACTACGAAATGGAAAATTTGATATCAGTTTGATTCCTGATATTTACGATTGCATCAAGTATGACGTTTTTCACAACAAGTGAGTTTATGTATATATTTCACAACAGTTAAACGTTTCTAAAAAATCGTCGTTTTAACTTCCAAATTGCTCTAATTTTCTGCTTGTAATTGTTTTCAAATAAGGGCATGTCGCTTTAATCTGGAGTAAGATTTACAGTTCTTAAAGGCATTAGATCTGTATTACAATCTACATCCACAAACATGTAACGATACTCCTGGGTTCAAACCATTTACTTTATTAAGATTTGTATTACGTTAGTTTTTCACAATTTTAGACAGCTCAACTTGCGCGATGGACAAGAGCTATTCAAATGTGCAAAAGCTTTGGCAGATGTTGTTATACCTCAAGTAAGTACCATAATCACAAAATTTCGATCTTTCGTCATTGCATGGGAGCAGTAGTTCGTTTCTTGTGACATGCTATAACGGTCTGGTTAAGTAAGATCTGCAAGCTAATTGTACTGCATTGTGCTGTATGTTGTAAATGCTTTCAGCTTAGGCGCAATGGTGTAACCTGCTAAAAATCGTTTTTCCTGCTCTGTAATACAACGATAAAGAGATTTAGGGCCACTTTAAATTTTGGTCGTCCTAGGAACAAAACATGACAAATTAATCATTTATCGTGTTTGTTCATGATACATGAAACAGTAAATGTGAGAGTTTAGTCGTGAAAGATATAAACGAATCAAAAATATATTAGACATGTTTAAGGTTGGCTTAAATTTTTACTTTTTCAATGATTTGCATGTGTTTAATACCGCAAATGATTTTTTATTCAGGAATATGGCATTACAGCAGAAGAGAAAATGAAAATATCAAGACGAACTTGCCAACATCTTTGTAGGAAACTTCTTGGTGATTTACGTCATGCTGATCAATCAGAAACAACACATCGTTTGAATCCAAAGTAAGATTACCTCCAGTTTATACACTTACTATAGCACCCTCGAGGAGATGACAGCCTCGTTTGTATATCGTTGTTGGCATCGATTATTCGATCATAAAGTTTGTACGATTGTATATTTCTTCATTGCCTCATTTCAACTAACTGATTTTTGTTTCACCACAACCAAGAACTGTACTTTGCATTGTGTATTTCACCAACATTTCAATAAAGATCAGAATGTCTCTTGTTAATATAACTCGAATCTTGAGTTTACAAGATGATGCTATTTGGAGTATGTTTTATCTTATATTACCGTGTGTGCTCAATCAACCTTTAGACAGATGGCAAGGTAGTCTCCATGATTTTATTGTCGGATATGCTGTTGTTTTTTGTTCTGAAGATGACGTCAAAGTTCGCTCAACCCATTCATTCTTGTATTGATAATTCATAATTTTTTCCCGCTTAATACTTCATTTACCTTTTATTGGTATTGTTTTCTTCAAATATGTAGAGAAAATAAACGGAAAACTGCACTGTGTGTAAATCAATTTATGCTGTATTATATTAATCCGCCACTGCACTAATTGTCTTCTTTTTTTCACGAATGAATGGCCACTTTGGCACATCGGACACAAATAATGTTGATAGAGATTGCCATGAATTAAAAATGAAAGGATATTATAGAGAGAAGTGATAAGTTTCATCAAAATGATTTCTTCCTTATTTACAGATATTCTCGCGACATTGTTACTCCTCATCGTCATGTGAGAACACGTCTTTATTTCACAAGTGAAAGTCATATTCATACAATGATTAACGCCATTAGACATGGCAATCTTTGCGATGTAAGTTAAACATTGATTAATATCTTTAGGCTTTGTGTTTTTGCGTACATGCAAGCGGTTGTGATGTACTATTGTGTATTGGGACAAATTGTTTGAATTTGGTTTGTTCAAATGATTTTGTACGCTTTCTTTGTCTTCAGAAACATTCCGCTATATGCTCATTACACTACACATTACATTTTTTCCATTTAAGGATGTTTCTGACGAATTCTGGAAACGGACCATGGAATATTTCTCCGCCGTTCCCGAGTTGAACTATATGACACAAACTGTTCTAATGTTGTACGAGGATCCTCAGGCAGATAGTAATTCGGATAAACGATTCCACATTGAATTGCACTTTAGTCCAGGTGTGAAGTCTCTATTGGATGATGGTGGAAAAGATTCCATAAGTACTGCATTTACTGGAGAAAATATTACAAATCCAAGGGCTGTTGAAATGACTTCACAACGAGCCGAGGACAATGATAGATTGAAAAATTGTAAAGCAGAGTCAATTGAAAGAAAAAGGAAATCGCCTTGTGGAGACGAGGATGGATCACTTTCAGATTCATCGAAGAGTGTTGAAACTGATGGAAAATTTACGACTGATGGTGGTGGCAGTTCACCTGAGCCAGTTGAACAAACTTTATCTGGTGTCGAAGATGAGAAAAAAGAAATTTTTCCATGCAGAAGCAAAGCTGCCAGGTCTATGTCTGAATGCCATGAGTATTTGGAAAAAACTAGACTTAGGACGGATGTCGTTGGCAGAAGTGATTCAGATAACTACAAAATTATCTCCAAGTCCTTAGGTAAGTTGTGTGATGTGTAACGTGGTTTTTATTAAAATCTGGGGTAAACGTGAGCAACTATGTAAATGTATTGCTATTCTATTATGATCTTTATTTTTGAAATTGAGTCTATACAACAATGATCTTAGAAGAATGAGAAAAAAAGCCATTGTTATTTCTTCATGATAAAGATAAAGCTTTAACTTTGGAAATTTTAAAATTATCAAAGAATAGTATCGATTGAATTCTCTTGTTACTTTAGAAAACAACAATACCAATAGAAACTTAAATTCCTTCTTATTCATTAAACTATTTCGCTTATCTACGTTGTTGTAGAGTGCCTTCCAGGTCGGCCAAAGTTGTCTAAACCTCTCAACCGCTCATCGTTGTTGCATGACTCAAAGACTTCTAGTACAGAGAAATCTCAAGATCACTTTTTACATTCTACCATCTCTTCTCCGTCTATATTAAGGAGTCAAAGAGGTGTAACCAGTCTACGCTCGGCTCTTGGTAAGTGAATAGTAATTTGAAGTTAAAATACATGACAACTTTTAGTTAGAAATTACCTAAAATTTTTGTTGAACTAGTCGAGTAAATAGATATATCGAAATAGGAAAACTTATTACATGGAAGGACAACAGTTTGATCTTCGGGACAATGTTGTAAAACATTCCAGTTGTATATCTATTGCACACAGTTTATAATGGCTTATGTACTCACACATGCACGACAGCAAAATTAACCCAATGTGTTCATGATCTCAAAAACTTATGGATTTGCATAAAAAGGTGGCAGAAATGAGGATCTGTCTACTGAATCTATCTCTTTTACAATTAACGTCACAAGACTATTTTTACATACTAGTTATATAGTCATGATTGCGGATGACTATAATAAATTGGCCAACTTTGATCACTTCTTGCTTCTACACAATTAATTTATATTGCCATTCTTTAATGGTTATACTATGGTTAAGAAGTGATAAGGAAAAACTGCATATTTGAATGAAGGTTTTGTAATATTTCACTTCTTACCGCGTTAACTGCAAAGCTCTATAGCATTTGGATTGCAACACTGAAATATTTCCATAACGATCGAGAGTAAAATGTCAACCTGCCGAAGTCAGTGAGAAAATCATTAAGATGTTGGATCAAAATCGAAAGTGTTTAAATGTAAAAATTTTTAATGAGCTATAGAGATTTATTTTGTTTATAAAGTTGGATCTGCAAAGTCAATAGTACTTTTAATTTTTCACCAGGTCCTGTATTTTCCGTTCCTGGTGTTCGAAAGTTGGCTCTAAAAAGTGCTGTACCGATGGCGAATGTTGTTACCCGCAAGAGAGCGTCGATTACCGAGGAAACGTTCTTGCACGATGCAACAGGTATTTACACTTTTTTATATCATTCATCTTTGAGCAAATAATATAAGATTCTAAAAATAAGGGAATATTAGATAGGTGATTTTATTAAGCCCGAACTATAAATAGTAAGAGTATATAATTGTGGCACTTTCTATGTTAGGCCATAACAAGTTCTTAATTTAAAATAGTGTTGTGAGGGTGCTGTATTCGGAAGATACTTTGTTCAATAGGAAACCAAGGCCATATTTTTGCTTTTTTACTGATCCAAAAGAATTACTATATTTTCTTCGTAAAAATATAAATCCTATATTTGTAAATTAATAAAAATGTAAAATTTGGAATGCAAACTGAACATTCGACAAAATGGCTTTTGAATCAAAATTCCTGTCACTTTCAACAAGGTGAATTATATTCAACATTTCTTGTCATTTTCCAGTTGTGACCATGGTGAGTTGTAATATTACATGGATTTTATGTATGATTCTTTTGAACAATATTATTTTTCACTGATTAATTTACAAATTTTCCTTTATTTAATGTAAAACATGATGCCAGTTTTTGTATCCGCATGATTCATACAATGTAGAGAGAAAGCATATAGTAAAATATTAGTAAAATATAAAAATAACCATGCTCTACTGATGTTTTAGTGATGACATGTTTCAAATTTCGTCTTTGACAGCGAAAGTATCGGGTATATATTTACAAAAAATGATATTCACTTTTCACTTTTACTTTTATATAACTTCCTTAGTGGGAGCCAATGCAGCGACACCGCCCAGTTAGAAAAAGTTAGAAAAATTTTGTCTGCTTTTCGTAACTATTTGAAACCGTATTTTTACATTTTTATAGAACATCAAGGAGAGGTGCATTCGGTTTTATCGTTGATTCATCCATTGAAAACTTTACACAGTGCCATACCGCTTAAGCAAATGGAAAATTTTCTAAAGGAGGTCAGTAGTTACACTGAACCGGACCTCACCCCTGATCCGCAAACACTTTGGAAACAGTCCCAAGAACAAGAAAACAAGAAAAGTGAAGGCAGAAGTTCACCTCTCGTTAAGGATCTTGCAGAGAGTATTCCAAAAGGAAAAGATGGTATTGATATAAAGGAATTTGAAGCAAACGAGAGTTACAATGATAATTGATTACAAAGACACAACCTGCAACCTGACAACTAGGTATTCTTAAACATTAAAATTTTTCAGTATCATCAATCACAATTTGATTGTCAATCTGTTCTGGCTTTGTTATGCATTTGAGCTGTGGAGAAGTATAAACTTTACAAATGTCTGAAGTGCAAGTTAGTTTCGTCAAAAAAACATTTTTTAACGTGTTGTTAGACTCTTTTCATAGTTATTTGCTGTTTAATTTAAAAATTGAGGCAATTTTCAATTGCATCTATAGTTTACCAGTCTTCAAAAGATAATCATATTTACCGTAAGCTGTCAATAAATAACAAGTAAAATATTAATTATAAATAAAATGAATGGCGTAATTTATATAAAATATACAAAAACTTTTCACGTTTAACAACTTACAATACTTTTCCTATTTACAAATTATTTCAGTCAGTATATAAAATTTGAGAACCACTGATTTATCAGTATTAACTTGTTCGTTGATTTGTCTATGTACATTCTCATTTAATAAAGTCTTCAACTCCATAATAATTTGCCAAATATAAATTTATGTATTTTTTTTAAATAACAAGTTTCAATACCTCATTCAGCATGTCGTGTGTTATCACTTCTTTTTGTTGAAGATAAAGAAGTTTTTCTTGAAGAATTAAAGTCTTACGTTTATGTCTCCTAAACGTTTGAACAAAAATATCAATAAATATGTAATTGGATAGCAATTATTTTTAATTTCGAATAATTATGGAAGCAAAATAGAATTTTGTTGTTATACATTCATGAAATTGAATGCACTTGGAGCAAGACTCCTGATGTTTTGAAGAAAATTTACTTTCAAGGAAATTTTGACAGACTTTCATAAAAATCAAGCAAATATTGTATGCTAAATGGAAAGGCTGAATTTTCGACCACAACGTTACGTTATTGTTGCAAGCTGAAAAACTGATAAAGCCACATCACAATAAAACATTTACAAGTAATAAAAATTATCGCTGTACGTAGAACATTTATGAAAATTTTTTCTTATTTTCAGGCGAAAAGTTCACGAGCAACGGGGAAAAATCAATCAAAACAGTACTAACCTTTGGACTTCTGTGGAGAAGAGAATCTCGTTTTCCAATTGATTATTAACTAATTTATAATCTGCAAATGAAATTGAAGGGGGTTCATCTCAAGTGTATTTTCGTAGTTTTGGAGAAATATTTACTGGCGTAACCATAAAAAAGAACTCTTGGCAACGGTAGGTTGGGATTTGCGGACAGTGGCACAGCTTAGCGGTCAATACATGTATGGTGTCTGAGAGAAGACATTGTAAGTTTTAATTTATTTTACTTTAGTTTTACATTGATCGCATTCTGGAGTAATTATCTAAGTCTATATTTTTCTCAACAAAATAGAATTGAAAGGTTTGAGTATGGTTGAAAGGTTTGAAGAAAATTGTGGATATAACTGACCGCTTTGTATCAGCACAATGTGCTAAAAGGTGTCATTGATATAGTGTAAGTTTCTCTTTAGATGTTATGTTATTGGGTACTAGCAAATATGGTGGGTGCAAGATTGATGCATAACGTTAAATGTCGTATAGCCATTTACTCTACATGAAGTACTCTCTTCACTGCAACTATTTTTCTGTGAAATGTCAAACAAATCATTGCAGTGTACATGTAAATCATGCATAGCAATCACATATCAATATGTCAATGTTCATTGCATAGCACAATAGAATTTTCGCACAAATAAGGAATAAATATAGTACACTATACACTATGGTGATGTTAAACCCCTAACGTCTCTCACCATACTGAATTTATTACGGCAATATTTTTATATCTTTCCCACTGGTTAGCTATAGTTTTTTTTTTGTAAAAAGAAAATATACGACAAAGTAGCTAGATGCGTTTTTTAAAAAAAACTGCGAGTTTTTGTTTCTACAATTTTCTCCATGTAAATTTTAATCTTAAATCATATTCATGTACTGATATACGTACCTGCTAACTGTTTGGTTAACCTCTTGTTTTGACAACAGACATCCTGAAAAACAAGTGGAATTTTAAATTATTTTAATTATTTTCCACAAGTTAAAATAGCTTCGTAAAATACACATTAAAGAAACCTTGATTTCACTTTCCGTAGTTTTTTGTAATTCATCAAGCTTTCTGTAAGATAAAAAAAAACGCAGTTGTCAACTAATAGTTACTAATAAGGAATTTAAATTTGGGGAATGCAGATGTAGTTGATCTAAAATGATAATGTCATGAAAAAGTTTTCATAAAGTTCAACAAGTGATATGCATGTTATGAAGCAATGTTGTAAAAATTGTCACATGTTTAATTTCGACGTAAGAATTAGAAAGACTAAGATAGCAAGTCTCAGGACAATCAGTCAAAATTTTTGGATGTCCTATAACTATATCATGCTGCTGCGTCAGTATTATGCTTTTTCATCTATAAGGTAGAACGTCGAATATTTTATTTACAATTTCTTGAAATTCAAATTATTTGATTGGTATAGTTAATGAATGTGCATATATCAGCTTTGTATTTTCCTTTCAAGTTTCGCAGTACTTTTGAATTTGATTTTATCGGAAAATGTTAATTAAAAATATAATTGCAACATATCATAATATGAGGCCTGTTTCAAACGTACTTTACATGCGCCGAACGCATTAAAGACAAAACAAAGTGAAATGAACTTTCTCGTTATCTTTCGTTTTAAATGCATTTGGCTCGTGTAAAGTCGGACGTTTGAAACGGGCCTCAGTCATATCAATTAGCGATGAATTGCGTAATTCTATATAAACCTACTGCAAATTCAAAGAGTCAGGTTTAAGAATCGGTTCGACTACTTTAAATCTCTACCTTTTGTAATCGTTGATGACGTTAAGATACTTTTGTTCTTTACATTGCATTTCTTCTAATCTTATTTTGTAACTATCCAACATTGAACTGGTCGTTTTTATCTGCGATTCCAGGCTAGTCGTTCTTATTCTCGCTGTTTCGCATTGTTCAGACAAATTTGAAACTAAAAAAAAATCATGGTCTCTCTTTTTTTTTTCTAAATTTCACACAAGTATTTTTGTTCTTTTTGGACTAACATTCCGTAACCTAATGATTACATTAAGGATGAAATATTCATTTGCAACGTTGCTATATTAATTGCAACAGTAACCAACGTTAGAGGCAAAGTTAATAAACTTATGTGTATCTATTAAAGTCCACGAACATGACATATTTCTTCAAATAGTCCATGCAAGTTTCGAAATATTTGAGTATTATTAACACGTAAATATATATTCGCTGCACAATACTTAAACTTGCAACGCTTAGTCTGTATTCTAAAGACTTTGGTTTGACATATTTATCATTTAGACTTTACAATCGGTAGATAACCTTTGATATAGAGAAATGATTAAAATTAACATACCCATATAATATATACGTTTAAAACAGTAAGTTAAACATTCTCCATTACACCAATAACTTTAGTATGATACACCGAGGAAACATACTTTCCCTGTTATAATGAATGACAAGTTCATCTAGCTTGTTCTTTGTATATCATGACGTTTCATCAATAAATCATTCTCAGTCAAAACTAGTTCAGCCTGCTCCTCCAATTTCTTCCTACACATCAAAAAACACGCTGCTACATTATACAAGAGTTCTTCATCAAAAAAGTTTCTGTGTGAACTTACATATTAATAACAACTGAACTATAAGAACAAGCATGTGCAAAAATTGTTGGAAATTTTTTTGCAATGGAATGCTTTCTTGCATTGATGCAGCCTATAACCGCATATTTATATCGTGCAAATGTTTCTGTGCATGCTAGCTCGTTACAAATCAATTGACTTCTAAAGAAAGAAATAATAATGACTTGAAAGTTATAGCACTATTGTTTGAATCCATTTGATTTTACAATTTTGTACACAGTAGCCCAATTGTATCAATATTTAACTCACCGTTCGTCTTCATCACGAAATAGCCTTTTCGAGTTATTCAATTTCTAAAATGAGTACAAATGATTGTTTAATTCGTTTAACTGCAACGTTAATTACAAAAGCTTCTGGAAGAGAAACGTTCGTGGAAAAGAAATGCGTGGTACGTAATCTAGCCTTCGTGTTGCACGAATTAAAATAATCGTTACCTCTTCACGCAGTTGTACGTTTTCGTTGACAAGTATCTGCACTTTGTCTTTAAGCTTTTTAAATTGTTCCTGAAAGCATCATATATGTAAATGAAACAAGCTTTAGTCCTTCAAAGAATGAGAATAGATACGTCAAAAGATGACAAAATGCATGCAAAAAGATTGAACATCTCTACTGTGGTCATAAAAAAGGATTGACGTGTGCGATTATGTAGAACGGATATGAATAAGTACGCAACGCGTACTTAATTTTAGCCTGACATATGGCAATGAATTCAGAAGTTGACGTGTGAACGCAAATAAAATAATACTACATATTTAAGAAATAGATCATTCTTTTGTCATCAGATGACCAAGGAATTTTCTTTACTTTTCTTTTTGAATGGATGTTACATGATTGGGCTCACGATGAATTAAATTCAGTTTTCATTGCCATTTACTTCAGACAATTTTATTGCACAAAGTACGCTGAAGACAACAAAACAGTTTTGTGCGCAGTTTGAAACATCATTCACTCCAGCAATCAGACGAGCGCATTTTACTTCCGAACAAATAGTTAAGTATACGCTATTTATTAACTAACCTTATATGACTCAATTATGGCTTCTTTCTGTTTAATTTGATCATCATAAGCAAGCAACAAGGGTGTTATATATTTCATATTCACCTGAAAAGAATCGTAAAACATAATGTAAAACTTGTTAAATACACATTGACGCGGTAGGTTGTATGCATAGGAGAGGTTCACGTTTAAATTGATAATCAGTTAATTTTTGCTGGAGAGGTTGTATGGTTATATTCCACACTTTAGTTAACCTGTTCATGAAGGAATTTTAAAAATAGATTTTTTTGCTTTCTCATTTGATGATTCAACTGGTAAGCTTGAAAGAGAGAGTTAAGTCGAGGCATTAGTGAACATATTCAGTTTGTTTCTTCTGATAACTTTCCTTTGATGGCTTTAAATCCTTTAAAAAGTTATTACTGTTTGTTTGTGGAAGTTACAGCGTTTTTACATATTATAAAACATTGATTTTGTTTTCACTGATTAAAATATAAAATTTTCAAATACCTCATCTCTAAAAGAATTATGCGCGTTGGTAGTCTGATAACTGCCAAGTTGGACATGAAAATTAAGCCTTTCAACTAAAAAAGAAATTCAATTAACGTTAGTCACTGTTTCGTGTAAAAAGTCAACAAGTTTTTTTACTATCTATATTGGCTTTGAGAAATAAATACCTTCAGTTTTTCTTCATTGAACGTCAGAAAAATATGTTTATTGTTGCTAGCAGAATTTAACCTTAAGGTTTCTCTATTTTATGATGGTGAATTGGGAGATATCTGAATTTTAGCGACACAAAAATGTAAATCAACACAATTTGCAGTCCCAAAAAAGTCAAAACCATTAAAGTTTCTATGAGCCATACAAATCAAAACTAACCTGAATCTTTCAAGATATTGTTCTCATTCTTCAACTCTTCCATTTGCATTTGAAGCAGTTTATTTGAAGCTTTAACAAAACAGAAGTTATCACGTTAACAACTTAACTTTCATCAACTGTCCTCCGACCATAAAAGTACATATGATAGACATTAGAAATAGCATCTTGAAATAGTATAATGGAGTTACATTGAATCCCAACTTATTGAGTGCAAGTGAGCCTTTAGAATACAGGCGTTAGAGTTAGTGTTCTTCAAAATGTTTAATTACCCAAGTTTAATTGTTTCAGCTGTACGGTTTAGTAAACATTAAACCAAACTCATAGACACAAGAAATCCTTGATACAAACCATGAGTTGAATAATCGGCACTTTCTGAAGGCAATAGCTTCAATATGTTCAGGGTTGTATTTTCTTCACCAAGATCAACCGCCTCGTGTTTAGGAGAACGTTTCTGACGAACGCCATTTTCTGTCCTAGTAGACATACAATTCAATGATGATGAAGTTTTTTTCTTTTTATTCTCAACATCAACATTTTCTTGAAATAAAGGCAGTTCACTTTCATGTGTGAGAGGTTTTGTATATTTTGGGATGTCACTGACGATATGGAATGATTAACTAAATTTTCTTTTGACGGAACATATTTGCCTTGAGAATTTTTTCGATTGGAAGGCTGCAGTAAATTCTGTTTTGACTGAAATTGAATCATAACATCTTTTGTTTGTTCTTGCGCAAGTTCATTACCGTTATGCAACTGTGATAAACGTTTTGGAGATTGTTTTGGCAGCAATCGTGTTTCCAAATGCTGCTGGTGGTGCTGTACTTGCTCTGAATTTTTATTCTTACGTCGTTTTTCTTTTCTACCAGCAGATGGTGCTTTGTAATTAGTTGTTCTTTGCTTATGGGCGGTCTCCTCAAAAGAGTCAACAAATTCCTTCCCTAAATCCAACGGATAAATATCTTGAATGCTCTCGGTGCTAACACCTTTGCCAATTGGTCTTTCATGAATACTCTCGGTGCTAACACCTTTGCCAATTGGTCTTTCTCTTTCTCCTAATGAAGAAACGTCAGGCGCTGAGGTAATGATGCTACGTTTAGTAACATTCTCATGTTGTGCTTGCTTTCTTGGAGAAGAATTTGTGTCTTCAAATTTTACAATAGCTTTTTTTCCACTTTTGTGCCTGTGTACATAATTGTCTTCTGATTTTTTATTCATGTGGTCATTTTCTAAATTTCTGTCGTCACATTCTGTTATTTTTCTGGGATATCTGTTTCATTCGGACGTTTTTCATTGATTGTCGCTGGAAGAGTTCTAAAATAGTAACTTTTGCATTTTAAAGAGTAAAAGACGGGAAAATGTTATCGCAAAGCTTATGGAAAAAAAGTTTTAACAGGTAATTTGAACAATTTTTTGTAAATCATGATGCCTCACTGGTAAAGAACTAAAAGCTATAAAAAATCATCTATTTATGATCTTATAAGACGATCGTTTTGTACTACGGCAAAAATTTACCTTATTCCATTTTCAGCTCCATCAACATCATCATGGCTCTTCCGCTTTTTGAAATAAGATTTTGATGTTGATTTATCAAGTCTGCTGGTGTCTTCTAGTACATCATCATCGTTTGAACTAAGACAACTAATGCTGGTAATATCTTCTTCAAAACAAACCAAATTGTTATTCGACATTTCTTCTTCCTAAAAAATAGTTTGAGATATAGCTACCTTATTTCTTTTAATGTGATCATCTCAATGGTGAATACTTTATGCCTGTACACCACAATAAAAAGCTAAGTCTTTCTCTACCATGCCATTTAGCTTCAAAATAACACATTGATATACCCAACATAAACACAAAATAAACACGGCTATATGGGTTTTTATAACTATTGGATCAGGGGCGCACATTCCAAAAAAATTGGCTTGAGCTCAAGGTAGTACCCCCTACATTTTTAGAGAGGCCTGAAAATTAAGCCTCAATGACTTTTTCATTCTCTGTGTGTTTCTGCAGCAACTTTATATAGGAGAGTGTCAGACCACCCCCTCTCACCCTTATGTGTTCCCCATGCTTCAGACAGTTTGAGTGTTTGCATTTGTATCAACATCCTGGTACAATAATCTCTTTTTGAAAGATAAGTAACATCAAGGAATAGAAATTGCTTGTTTCTATTTGTTAGAGATCTCTGCAAGATGAAATGCCAAGTAATTCACGGTCATACTAATGCATAAACACAGATGAAAAACATTCAAAATAATTCATGACAAAAATGAAGTCAACTTACTTTCTCTGGTTTTCTATTCTTATTGACTTTTGCATAAATTGGTTCAAGTGCAGGTTTAGAAGAATAATTTTCCAGATTGCCATCATCTTTGTTTCCACCATTTTGTCCATACAAAATATTTTCATCAACCACAGCATAATGTCCTGAGTTATCATCATAGTCAGAATTTTCATTCTCAGGAGCTTGTTTGAATTGCTAAATCCTCTTGCATCTTTAGATACAACTACAGCTTGTGCTATATTACCAATGCTGCCTAATGCTGTCGATAAAGTGTTAAGGTTCTTCTTTCTTCTTGGCCATGTTTCAGTGAAACTGTGGACAGTAGTGGGTACAGCTGCGAATATGGCATTTGGAACTAAACTTGCTCCAATACGAGACTACAATATAAAATTGTATTCTTACTGCATATTTATTCTATAAAATTTCATGCTTGTAACACACATAACGAAGTATAATTTGTGTTACTTTTAAAATAAGGCTACTGTAAATGCAAAATTTTCATCGTCGAATGCACAACAAGAATAAAACAATAAAATGATTTCAGCAAAACAACACAACATCTGGAGGATATAAAATGAAATATATTAACATTACCAGACACAATCCAGAGAACTTCTCCTCTTTCTTCCTTTTCCCCATAATTTCTAATCAATTTATTGTGTTTTCCACAGTTTTGAAAATATTGGTAACTATGGTGACTATTGACACTGTCGACGCCAAAGCCGCTGACAAAATGTTTGCATCAGTTTCGCGGGCTAAATTCGTTTGAATCGTGTTTCTCCTTTTGGACTACCATGTTGTGATGATGAAGAAACCAAAGGAAAAGACAGAACAAAATCTTTTCATACCAAACAGTGTGCTGATAAAACTTACAGGTTTTTGAATTGCATTTATGTTAACTCTATTATTTTAGAATATAATGTGGTTTTATTTGAACTTAGCAACTTTGTGCTCTAATCTAATCGTTTCGTGATTTGTAGCTTGTATAATGCTAGACTAGAATGACAGGTGTTTTTCGCCTTTTACGTGTTTTATTGTAATGATAGAAAAATGGACAACTTCAGCATTATATTTGCCATTATCTATGATCTTAAGTCTCTGCGGTAGCCATATCGATAAGAGTGAATGGGGTATGAAAATTTATATATTTATGTATTGGTATATTATATTTAAGAAATAAAAGATGTCTACTGTGTTTCCACATGCTTATGCAAACCAAGGAGACCTTTGGAGACCAAAGGTTGAGGGTTGCACATGCTTGAGAGGTCTCACAAATGTCTCTGAGGTTTCCATAAGCCAGTGCAAACACAAAAACATCCTTTATTTCTTTTATAAAATAACAATAATGCGGAAAAAAACAAACATTTTAATTTTTCCTCTAAAATGTATTCATGATTGATTTGCAAATTCTCTTTGACTGATTCATTGTTTAGATTGATTTGATTGGTTGAGCTAAGATGTGTTTTGCACTGGCTAATGCAAACTCAGCTCTTGACCAATCAGCACAAGTTTCATTGTGTTTATTTTATAATTTCTCTTATTATCTGCACCATCACTTCATTCTTTATCAAGATGGTACAACTCAACCTTTCGCAACATTTTACAATATATTTGAAATATATACAAATTCTTGAACTATAGGACTAAGCATGCTATACTCTAGTTCTTAAAATGATGATAAGATCTTAATTAATTTCTGTAGATGTTCATCCAAGCCCAACATCCTTGTCCATAAAGCAGTTAATTTTGTTGACCATTGAGACCCGAGATGTTAACAAACAAGTGGCACATTTAAGAAAGGTTTTGAATTTTTTTAATTTATTTAATTGGCTCTTACAGTCATAAATTTACAATTTGTTCATTTTGTTGTTCATGTTGAAAACTTTTATAAATCCAAAAACTGAAAACATAGTTTTCCAATTCCATAAATTTTTGTAATCTTACTTTTGAGTGTTTCATTCAATTTCATTCTATTGCATATGTAACTGCCATAATTTTTACACATATTTTATTATTAAGTTAATTTCATACTCAATGTCAACCAAATACATTCTGTTCAAACTCTGCTTTTGATTGATATCCAAGGCGTTTGATGAGTGGAAGAAATCACCTCCAGATGATGCTGCTCTGGTTCAAAAATATGTTGAAGTTATATGTTTCATATATATTGACTGCGACGCAAAGAATCCTTGTCGAAGAACAATTGCAAGGTAATTTTTTATCTGTTAATCTTTGAACTTAAGTATGTGACTTTAAACATGTGTGTGAAACATTTGATATTCGTTGCATGGAGAAGCTTTTTCAAAAATTTTAAACAAAGTCCTTTTTAGTTGACATTAATTCATCAGTTGTTGTGTTGGTAACTTTAGAAATTGCTGAAAATGTAGTCAGACTATGTCTTCCCAAATTTGTTAAAAAAACACATATGAAACAATTTTGATTGCTAGTTTCATCAAGAATATGAATGCTTGTGGACAAAAATGTGCTGTGGATGGTCTGGGTAGATCTTTGTTGCATCTGCTGGATGTAGACAGTTTGACTAAGGTAGTGTGTGCTTTTAAAAATAGTCCATTACATAGAATGTTCATTGTTGAGAATGTTTTTTTTTTCATTCAGGCCACTTGCCATCCTGCTTTAAGAAAGAAGGTCGACACAATTGGATCTTTGCTGGAAAATTTTGAGCTGGGTATATTTATATGTTGTGTAGATTCATGATAACTAAGATACATACATTATTGTTATCTAACAAATTTTTAAAGTTTTGATGCCAAAGTTTTTATGATGAAATTGTGGAGTGTTTGCTTTTAAAATTTATCATCATTCATCCATCTTACAGGTGAAAAATGTCTATCAAGAAATGTTGTTATTGGTAAGTGTTATTTGATTCACTTTGGCACTGTTGCCAACGTCTTTTTTAGTCAATATGGGTTTTTTGTATGTCTGAAACATTAAAACGTGCCTCACTTGCGTTGTGCACTCAAATCACTCAACTCAATTTTTCCAGCTTTAAGGTTCCTTGTTATGACCTTGGAAAGTCAAGTGACGCTAGAAAGGTTAGCCTGTTGTTGATTTGCGTATATACATGGATATTAAGAAATGAGATGTTTTCTCTTATTTGTATTGAATTTTTGTTTATGTGATAAAAGATTAAAATAATGGATTTTCAACAAGTTTCGGCACTTGCCTTGGCTACTGGGCCCCAGGCTACTTGTCTTTTCAAGTGATAAAAATGAGTGCTTAAATTGAAACAAAACATCATGGAATATTTTCTTTTTATGTTAATTGCTCATGTTTTGAGGTAACCTTGTATGTTTATTTTATTTATTTTTTATTAAAGTTTACAAAGAACTCCTGTTTTACAAACTGCTGCCATGCTCGACTGTCTTGTGACGATAAAAACGACGATAAATGTGCTTCAAAAGTGTAAAGAAGCGATTAACGACATATCTGGTGACGAAAATAGCGAGACTTTGCCATTGTTTCAACGTTTCGTCAGAAACGTTGTTGATGTTTTGAAAAAAGGTAAAATGAACAACTTCTGTCATGTAAGAAACCGTGAGTTTTACTCTAACATACATTTATTTAAGATTCGTTTTTCCCGGACTGTCGCAGCGCAGCTGGTATGGCTTTAGTTCTCGTTGTCAACATGATGACTAAATCTAATACAACTGTGGCAACTGTAAGTTGTTCGTCCAAGTAATTTAGATGTAAAGAATTCTGTTTGATAATTATTGTAATGATCTGGTGTTGCAATATAATATTTTTATATATTTATGTATTTATTTTTTTATGGTTGCGAGGTATCAGAATTAGTAAGTGTTCGTATTCCTTACAGTTTTTTGTTATGATGCTTTTTTACCGACTTTTCTGATTCCTTGTTAGGATTCAAGTTGTAATCCAAAGCATGTTAAATCATAACCATTAATTTACAGGGACATAGACGTTTCTATATGTTATTTGTATGTTTTTATTCATATTCTTGTCTAACTCTGCCTTTTTAGTTTTATACATGTTCTTTCCTTCCTACATGAACGAGCGCAGTAGTGACGAGGGTATTGATCCTGACCACTGGCTTATGAAGAGTTTCACTCTAGATGACTTGAAAGGTTTGTTATCATTCAAGCATTTTGTAAGCTGTCGTGTTTTCAATGCAGTCTATGTGAATGTAATTTTATGTATGTAACTCAACATTGAATATTAAATATCACCGTCTGTAACCACTCAAGTGGATTAACGTCTTTCTAATTTGGCTAATAAGAAAAGAAAGGTTTCAGCTTTAAATGCTCACACGCTTCTTAAAAAAAATTATAATTTACTTCAAAGACGATTTTCAAATGCTTTTTACCGAAGTTTGGATTTGTAGAATCACATGTCTAGAAACCGAAACAACCCGTAGCAGATGGCACTACAAATGCAATAAAATACACAGACCAGACCTACGTAGGGTCACCCGACTAAAAACATATACACTTACATAGAGGGGTGACCCTATCTTTTCTAAACAATCGCTATTATAGCCTTTCAAATATTCAATTAAATTAATTGTAAAATGTTCAATCCTGGCAGAAGTTATTCCTTGAATCAAACTCTCACAAATTAGGTGCCATTCACTTCATATAATGGTGAACAATTTGTTGTATAAACAAATTCATGCATGTGGACTTCACACAAACATGCTGGGAAAATAATACTCCTGAATATTAGTAAACCCCAAATTGATCAGTTCTTGTTGCTGAGACTGATATTATTTCCCGTCGCTCTGCTTGCATATGATAATGTAAATCTATTTCAGAAGTACGGACACTATTTTTTCTTTCTCTATATAGTTGTAAGTGAATTTTCATTCCTTAGCATTTGTCGTGGTTTGATTACCATGATGCACCAGGATTTTCTCATTGCCAACGAAAAGGTGAGAATTTTGAAAATGTGGATGAACATGATATAAGCGTTTGATTCATTGATGATAGCTTTCGAATAGAGTTGAAAATGTGATTAAGTTGAAAATGTAATTGCGGTTCGTTCAGTGTGATATGAAGCTCCACGAGCAGGATTACTGCAAAGAAAACATATGTAAAGCAGTTTTTCATGTTTTGAACGGAGAATCCATTTTTATTTTGTGTCATGTTAATAAAAGAATCCAATTTATAAAAATATTGAAGTCAGCGTTTGCTTTGGATTTTCTATGATTGCCGGAAGCCCTTAAAGCTGACCATTGCAGGCTACCTTGTTCTTTTGTGGTGCGTCGTTAAAGCATTTTGTTGTGTTGCTCACATGACTGTTCATGCTTATGTAGTTATCTTTATAAAGACTTTGTTTGTCTTTTTATATATAGCTGTTGAGTGACGTTCAAGGGGAACCTGGCAATCTTTTGCTTGACGTTCTTTTTCCTGAACTAGTATCTTTATGTCTAAGGTAGCGTTGCTTAAAATGAATTTTGTTAAAGCTATTTTCTTTAAAAAAGGATGGTCAGTGTCTACGTTTCTCATAAAAATTAAACTCGTGCAAACCTTAACAGGTTAAAGGATTCAAGTTTATTGGTAGCTCTTAGAACTTTGGTATCTTGGGCTGTTGAAGTCAGGTATAAGGCATTAGACATAATTTGATCAAGCGAATTATATGGCTTTACTTCTTGTATCGATGATTGTGCTCTGATGACGGAGAAGTACTGTATAGTTATTATTTTTCCAATGCTATGTGTTTATTCTTGTCGCGTGAATAAATAAATGAATGAATGAATGAATCAATCAATCAATTTTTTCTTTTTTATCAGTAAACAATTTAGTAAGTGAATTTTGTCCTGCATTTTTTAATAGTTTAAGCATTAGCTTTCATTTGATGGTGATTTTCATTTACGATGTACACGATAGCAATAAGATGAAATCCATGGACATTTTTTGACTTTTTCCTGTATCATTGAATGATTGTTTAAGTTTATAGTCGCTGTTTTACACAGGAATTGCATCGTAAAGTTTGGCTTGGCTTTCAAAATGAGGTTGCATGGCGAAGGCAAAATCATTCAAACATTGCTGAGTTTTGTGTGGAATTTCTGGGATCATCCTCTTGAGGTTAATATTGATAATTAATTCTGTTTTCTTGCGTAAGAAACATTTGCCTTTCGAAATTTATATGTTATTGTCGCATTATGTGTAATCACAAAATTTTTGTATCATTCAAGGCTATGAGACATCGAACACGAGAGATTTTCGACAGCGCTTTGAAAATGCACTTGGCAGTCACGTGTAATGGTGGTACGTTTCAATTAATGCTTTTTTTTCTTACACGTGATGGTCTTACGCGAAGTAATTCTTTGAGTATATGAAATTGTGAATTACCGCAAAAATTTGCCCTTTTATTTTTAATTCTGAAGTTTAGCTTGATTTTTCTAATATATTTTAGACTCAGATCAATTTTTGAGAAACCTCTGTAGGAAATTATGTGAAATGAACATTTTCATACGTGGAAAGTATGGACCTTTGTGTTGTTTGGTGGATATTTTGGGATGTGAGACGATGCTGTCGATACGCGCAACCATCCCAAATGATATCATATCTGTCATGGCGGATCAGACTGTAGTTCCGCATGTAAGTGATTTCTTGCAAGATTTTGCTCAAGCATGAACTTTTCTCAAAAAGTAAACTATAAAGAAATTGTTTTTTTTCAAGGGATACATGGAACGTATTTTACTAATTTTAGTGAGATTAGTGTCGAAAATTCGCACGAACCAAATATACGTACAAAACATATATTCATACTTATATAGCTTTAACCCATGGATTCTCCTCATGATACACGCAACAAAATTAATTATAAAATAAACATAATAAAACGCGTGCACTGATTGGTCAATAGCTGTGTTTGCATTAGTAAAGTGACGTTCTTTTATTACAAGAAATCAACACGCAACTTAAAAGAAATTTATGATTGGTAATCAATTAAACAATAATACTTTGATACTTTTTAAGTTCAAACAAGTTCTAATTGTGCAATCAACGACTATTTACAACAGGCACATAGCCAGAACGATAATTGGGGGTGGGGGCATAATCCTTTATTCATTTTATAATCCATAAAAACAATGGATTTCAATAGAAACTAATTCAGTATATCATGGATATATGAGTATGCCTCCAATTATCGTTCTGGCTACGTGCCTGATTTACAAGATAAAAAAGATTTTAATAAGCGTTTGTTTTTTAGCAAATGAAAGCCATAAAACACAATTAAGAAAGAATTGTAAGCATAAGGAATGCGTGGATGAAATTAAACTTCTAATGTTTTATAAACAACAAACTGCGGGCTTATTTCTTTTTAGTTAGAACATCTGCTTTTAAGCCTGGAACGAGCAGGTATTGGATGAAAATGATTTAGAAATAGGGAGGGTGATCTGCTCTCTATTTCTCCCAAAGTTCTGCTCGGTTTGCATAAGACTCTGCAAACACAGTAAACATCTTTTATTTCTTCAATGTATAATTAATTTGAAAGATATCGACTTATATTAATTGTATAAAACATGCTTAAGGTTTGTTCAAACTACACATCTTTACACTTTCTAAGCGACTTATTTTGTTTCCATGTTACCTTCATTGTATTGTTTAGGCAATGGAGTTTGCTCAAAAAATGTTTGCGAGTCATATGAATGAGCAGTCTAAGACATCGACAGATTTTATGAAACATTGGTTCAAGGTAAGCATATTTACTGAACGGTCATAACAAATATAAATCAAATTTTGCATTAAGACAGTAACACTCAAGTACATCGCATTGTACTGAAGATATTGTACTTAGATTTTTCGTAGCTATTACCCAAGAAATGAAAATTTTAAAGTAAATTAACTTTCACAGTGTTTCATTAGGTGCGTTTTTACTGATATTAAAGTTGTAGCTTTCTGCATGTGTTTGCAGAATTAGTTTATTTATTTTGGCAGTAAATGTAATTAAAAAATGTTTTATGATTTTTGAACTAATATTTTTTGGTGCTATGCAATCTGCGGCGCGATCACCAGCGACTTAATTTTTTTTTGAATTTGTTTTCTAAAGTCGTTTTGTTGTTGCCATTGCTCATTTATACACTCTGTTTTTTCCAAGCTTCTTTTAAATATTGCGGCACAATTCTGTTCCTGAAACTTGCGTCTTGAGATCAGTGGCGTAGTCAGCCTGCAAGTTTGTTCGTGTGCTTTGAAATTTCGGTTCACTACGTATTTCTTTCTTTTGAAATATATTGTTTTGACTTTGAGCTAACACCGAAATATTTATTTAGCTTGATAAAACTTGTGGGCTGACTTTGGTTTGGGCTATTAAGGTTTTCAGTTTGTTATGTTTTGCCCTTTTAGCTGTGGGTCCTACCTGCTCTACAGAGAATGTCTGTTAATGACAAGCAAACAAGAAAGCATGTATCAGAGGTACGTCGTGTGATAATTTCAGGTGTTTTTTTCACATGCCTATTCTGTTAAATAAAAAATTTGAATTTATGAATATTTGCTAAGAAAGTATTTGTGTCAAAGTATGTATTGAAATGTACGTGCTCTGCATAAGATGTTAACAATACGTAAATGAATATTTTTATGCTATGAATATTTTTCACGAGATGAAGGCGCAATTATAAATTGTTTCCATGCAAAAGGAAAGCGTTTTTGTTTACCAACCTGAAAAGTTGCAATGAATAATTTGTGCGTTCGATTTAAATAAAAGGAAAACTTACTTGAGATGATTTTTATTTATTTTATATTTTTTATTATTCAGTATTACGTTCCTGCTCTTTTGAAATGTGCTCCAGACTGCTTGCTCGAAATAATTGAAGAACTCACTGATGGCAGTTTATCACAAGGTTTGGAGTTCATATGAAACACGTGATGTAAGAAATAAAAGATGTTTACTGCGTTTGCACAGGCCCGCGCAAGCTAAGGAGACCTTTAGGAGAACTTGAGAGCAGATCAGTTTAAGTCAAAGACCAAAGGTCCGGGTTGCACCTGCTCGAGAAAATATAAGCCAGTTCAAACACGATAAACGTCTTGTATTTCTTTTTATAAAATAACAATAATGCGAAACAGAGACCAATTTAAAATAAACATTTTAATTTTTCCTCTATTCATGATTGACTTTCAAATTCTCTTTGATTTATTGATTGAGTCAATTGGTTGAGCTCAGATACATTTAACACAGGCTAATGCAAACACTAATATAGACCAATCAGTGCATGCGTTTTATTGTTTTTATTTTATATCTTTATGTTTATAAATGGTAGTCAGGTACAGATATATAAATTTATATCTTTACCCGCAATAAAATAATGTAGTAATTATTTTTCTGGGCCTATACAAAGACAGGTGTATGATATTCTCTGTAAGACCAAATTAGCGAGGTTGATGAAAGTTTTATTACATGGCATGAGATATTTGTACATTTGCTGTTTGCTATTAGAATTTTTTTAGTTTTTTATAATTTTGGCTAATATCTAACGCAAAAGTGGAATATTTCTCTTATGATAGCAGCCGCTGACCGTAGAAAACAAAATAAAACAACTTGACAGCAGGCGATCAAAATAAATTTGTTGCTTTGATTTGAAATAACCTCTTCTGACACTGCCTTTTTTCTGGCGCTTTATTGAAGAATTTTGAATAAAAATGAAGCACCCCTGTGTATGTCTAACTCAATAACTATAACTATAATATTTACTATCATATCTGACATATTTTTTAGGAAAGTTTGTTCTGGATAAAGTTCATTGTCTGATAACGTGCCTAAAAACTGCTCGGCATCTTGGATTGTTGCCCAAAGCGGATGTTTTAGAGGGACCCACGACCAAAAGTGAAGACTTGTTTTTAGGTTGTGTGTCACAAAAGGTTATTGAAAGAGCTTTATGCCACATGGATGAGGAAGTTAGTTAAAGAAGTTTTTTTGCTTGGTTACACTAAATTTTTTCATTTTGTTATAGATTTCTTTTTGTAAACTTTAAGCATTTTTTAGATTTGGTGATTTTTGTCAAACATTTCCATTGAAGTCATCTTAGCATGCGCAGTACACTTGAGCATGCGCAGTGTCCAATTTTTCGAGTTCATAGTCTTGGCAAGAACTAAACAGATGTGTTTGCACTACTTTTGTGGTGATTAGCTTATTTAGTCGCAAGTTGTCAAAGAATTATCTGAGCATACGCAGTATGCTTGAGCATGCACAGTGTCCATATTTTTACGTGCATGGTGGGTATCGCTGAACCAGACATGACATTCCTACAAATGCTCATCATAAATCAACATAGAAAAGCTCTCTTTTTAATGATAAATTGGTATTTACAGTTTACTTTCATACAAAAGCATGTTAATGTAACACAATTCGCTAAATCCAATATCACTAACGTTGGAAATAACTTGAATGTTTAGGTTCGTGGCGATGCTCTTGGCCTGATATGCGATAGTGTAAGGACAACCGAACCATTAACACAAAAAGATTTCGACTTGTTGAAAGAGTTTTATCCCGACAACATGAACAGTCAATCTTCATCTTTTCGACAACGTGTTCTTGGTATGACAAAAAAGGTTTGTCTATATTTAGTTTTTGTTTCTCCAATTGTTCGCCCAAACTGTTCTTTCCTCCATCTTAGTTAGGTTGAGTAAGGTACGTAGCTTATGTGTATAACCTTTTCTATGTCTCATGTCTAACAATAAGACGTTTAAACGTTTTACTGGAAGTTTTACTTATTCCTTTATAACTAGTTTTGGAACTCTTTAAAAACAACTTCTACCTGCGATTTTAATGTAAGTACAATTTGCCGAAAGAAAAACAAATTTATATAGGAATTCTTTTACTTATAATATTATCCATCCTTGGCAAACTGCTAGTTTTTAACTAAAATTTAATGTTATGGTTGTGATTGTTTTTCTGACTTTAGATCTACCGTTCGTGTAATATACGCATAACCAGAAAATATATTGCGAATTCTATGTTTTTCAAACGTTGGATTCTATATGTTTTTCAAACGTGACAATTTTTTGACATCAATCCTTTTTGTTGAACCTATGTTTGCGATAGATGTTACTCACAGCTTAAAGAAAAATGGACGTATTTGACTGCATACAAATCAAAATATTTAACGCCCAATTTTTCTTGAAACTATTGCCTGATGACCTGTGCCTGTGACTTGAAAAATAATCATAATGCTATATAGAGTTCGGAAAAATTGAAATTATAAAGGCGTCTTTATTTTACAATTTAAATTGCCATTTAGTTAAAGATCTACATTTACGTAACTTTACTAGCTACCAATCACCTATCAACCTCACTTGACCTAACTTTCTGATCAAATATTTTTCTGTTCTTTTGTTGCTTCCTCTAGACTTGTTCTTTTTTTGTGTTTTTATTCTTATTCTTTTTTCTCTGCTTCAACAATCTTTTCTTGTTCTCATGCTTTTCCTTAAAACCTTTTACTCGTTAAAATGTCCATCTTATGCCCATTTTTAAAACCTTTTGATCGTTAAAATGTCCTGCTTACTTCTTGTTTTTCTGCTCCAGAAAAAATTTCTCGTGTTCTTATTGTCATAAATCTTTTTCTAAATTCCTATATTCTGAATATCGTTTTCTTTTTGTGATTATTTTTTCAATTGTTTCTTTACTTCTACAGCAATTTTAACTGTTTTTTAGGCCTCATATGATTACTTTTTTTCATAGCTATTGGTTCGTTTAAGAGATGGGGGTCGAACATGGCAGAAGAAGTTGCATGAAAACACCAACGTAGAGAGATGCGATATCTATGCTACACAAGTTCAATTATACATCGTAAGTGTTGACATTTATAATAAAATATTAAACACCTGAAGACATTTCTTATTTCTAAATGCGTGTCTTTACTGCAAAGACTCTGGCTTTTATCAACTTAGCTTTTTTAGCCAAATCTGTTTGATTTCAACCAAAAATAATCGGAAAACGTGTGCCGTCAACAACGAGTTTTCGATTTGTTTTGTTATCAGATAGTGTGAAGTATTTTTTCTTTTGTATAATGTACGGATGCTATTTTTCTTGTAGCCCGTCTGAACTTCAAACATTCGGTATTTCAAAACTTCTCAGTTTCAATGCAAAATATGATATTATATATTTTAGGAGTTCATTGAATGGTTTATTCGTCTGCAATCGAGTCTCTCTTTCTGGAGCGTCATTTGGTCGTAAAACTACTGCGTTACTCAACCTTAATTTGTTTTTACAAATATTTTCTCGTGCTAAAGAAGGTAGGGACTTCTACACTTCACTTACAGTGACTTAAATATGTTCAGAGATTTGTTTGAATGAGTAGGTGGTAAAAAACTGTGTGAATTGTGTGAATTCCTGGGGCCGGTTTCACGAAGCCTGGATAGCGCTATCCATTGGATAGTGAAAATTTTCAAACTTGTAAAACAGGTGTTTATGTTTTGTAAAGGTTGTTTATGTTTCTGTATCTCACGATAAAGAATTTTTGTAATCTTCGAAATAATATTTTATTTCAGCGATTGCACAGTTCAAATTGCATATTTTACTTTTATAAGAGATTTTATGAACGTTCAGAAAAATTTGCTATCCAGTGGATAACGCTATTCGGCATTCGTGCAACCGGCTCCTGATCAGCAGTTTTCCTAACTCTAAATTGTTGTCAAATGGTTAAATTGCTTTTTTGTTGACTGTACGCATGTATCACTATCTGTTCACATATATCACTTTCTGTTCACATATATCACCATCAGGTTCATGATGTGTAATTATATGTATGTTCGTGAAAAAAGTATCTTCTAAAGAAAGTTTTTTCATTCAACGTAATGTTTTGATTAGCTATTGGATGGTCGTGTGTTTAACGCAAATCATTTTAACGTTTTTTTCAGAAACTTTTTTCATCTTTGATTCTTCCGTTATTTTCACTTCTCAAACTATATGCGTCCTTTTGGATTGTTTGAATGACTCCTACGATGTGAACAAACAGCTGGCTTTCCAGTTACTTGCGGTCTGTTCAGATGTACAATCGTTCAAGGTATAGAACAACGTCTATCATAATTCTTGTTACTTTATCGTATTTTCAAGTTAAGTTATTTTTAGAGTTTAAAAACTGCTTCTTTATGAAATTGTCCATATATACAACACAAATATTCATATCAGTAAAACTTCATATGTCATGTGATTAGTCATATGCCCTTCAGCTTGTAGTTTCAAATTTGTGTTAACTGCCGTCATCTCTCTGGGATTTTCTTTCATGTCACTGTTTCTGTTTAAATTTTAGGACAAAAAATTTTCAGATAAATGGACGTTGACAGCAATGAAGTATTCCACCAGTCCAAAAGCTGTCAATGTTAGCACTGCTGCATTTATGTTCAAGATACTTGTTCGTAAATTACCACATGTTATATGCTTGCCTATTAATGTACAACAAGATCACTTATCATCAAAGAAGACGGACTCTCATAAAGAAGAAAATAGTAGAGTAGTTGGAAAAATGATGAAGTCGTCACAGCCTTCGTAGCTCAAGATGAGGATTGTTTGCAATCTGAAAATGCTTACTGTCTTTCAAAAGAACGATCTTCAGGCTCCTTTCCTTTGACTGATACTCATCCTGTTGTAGAATATGGAAATCATGATGATCATTGTTCATTTTCTAACCAAGAGGAACATGTTTATGTTGAAAACAATCTTCCTACCAGTCATCATAACAAGGCTAACGACGAAACGGTGTCGACAATTAATAAGATGACTTTCAAACTTAAATCCAATGACCAAGATATACCTCATGCACAAGCTTACCGATTACTTTTCCAACTGCTTTTGTTGCTGAGGTCTCAGGTTAATATTGCCATTGGGAATTTGCTCCAAGCGGCCATTGAAGCCCCGATGCATGGCTTATTATATTGTATACGAGGTGTCTTGTGCGACTTTGAACTAAGGTAAGATGAAATACAAAAGAAACAGTAATTGCTAATTTGCTTTCTCAATGAGTGATTGACTTCACAAGAAATTATTTATTATTCCATCTGGAATGATTTAAAGTAAGCTAATTCAAATTTTAATGTGCTTTTATCTTGCATCTAGTCTTGTCTAGCAATCGCATATTAGCATTTTGTACTGGCGAATGCCAATATTTTTTGGTTCTTTTACTCGGAAAATTGGAGTTGAATCACTCATTCTCCGACTGTTACAATCTACTTTTCCAACGGTGGATACACGTGTCAAAATACGAGATCTAATTACAAAATTTGGGAAATCAAATGGCCGGACATAGTATTATTTATATAGAATAGTTGCAATAAAATGGTCTATGACTTGCAATTTTTTCGCTCGATGAAGCTGGATATTCTTTGGTAGGATGATTTCTTACAAAGAAGCGCATACTGCGTTCCTTTAAGTAATAAATTGGACGGCTGTCTCTGCAATCAAAAGAAAACCTTTGAATTCGAAAAGAGTACTGTTTAATCGCAGAAATACTCGAGAAGTGAAGTTACTTTCTAGATTGAATCATGAAAACATTGTAAGGTAAAAAGAAATTTACTATCCAAAATAAATTAAAATTTTATGACATAAGGGTTCATTTTAGACGGTACAAATGGCTTGGCTTATTAAATGTTATCTTTGTAAAAACTATTATTGAAAAAGTATATCATCCCTTTTTTCCATGAAGCCCATCGGTACTTTCGTTCATGATGTGAGATTTACATTGTATAAGCCTTTGAGGAGGCTTATTAGAGGAGTTATGAGAAAGTTACATTTTAGAAGATAACTAAAAAACATATAAACATGTTTAGAGTTGGTTTAATGAATTATAAGTCAAAAAGGCAGAAGTTGTTTGAACCTATGCATTATCCTTGGATGTTCTAGTTTCTTTTATGAGAAGAATTCTTGTAAAGAAAAAAGACAAATTATGAAAACAAAAATCCCGTTTTCGATCCATGCCTTCCGATACCCCGAGATAGTTGAGCCCTAGAGCGTCGCATGTTAATTATGGGAACCAGATAATCGTTGTTTGCCATGAAGCCCATGGATGGTTGGCTCGTGATACATGAGAAACAGTAAATGAGACAGTTAAATCAGAACCAATAAAAATTGTATAAAACATGTTTAAGGTTGTCTTGAATTATAAGTATCAGAAAAAAGCACAATTAGAAGGAGTTAGTTGAAACATTGCTTGGTTTATTTTATGAACATTGGGTAAACAAAAGATAAAATTCAAAAGCAAAAAACCCCGTTTTCGGTCCATGCTTCCCGATACCTTGTTATATGTAAGGCACTAGAACGTCGCATGTTAACGTTTCGGTAGATTTCGGCCCTCCACGCTATCCACTTAGAACAAGCTTCGCCCATCAGTTAGATCACCTGCGATAGGCTTTGCTCGGTACGCAGGAGAGTGCGGTCGCCACCGAAGTGTGGACCCCTAAGCCACTGCATACTATATCGCACCCAGCTTCCACTGCTAGTTGACATCTACTATACCTAATATTGGCTTTATATATATATACCAAAATTCAAAGGCTTACGAAAGTTGTGGTATTGTTAAAGTCACTACTGCGCATGCCCAGATGATTTTTTTGATAATTTGCGACTAAGTGAGCTAATTGCCACAAATGTAATGCAAGTACATATAGTTAGTCGTTACCATGACTATGAACAATTAGTCGAGTGGACTGCGCGCAGATGATTTCTCTATTAAATTGTTGCTAAGCATGCTATTTACTTCCAAATCGGTGCTAGTAGATTCAGTCGGTCGTTGCCATGACCATGAACTTGTACAGCTGGTCAAGTCGACTGTGCATGCTCGAGTAGACTGCGCATGCGCAGATGATTTATCGAAAAATTTGACTGAGCGAGCTAATTACTCCATAGTTGTTACTAGTACATCCAGTTGGTCGTTGCCATGAACATAAACTTAGAGAGTTGGTGGAGTTGACTACGCATGCTCAGATTAATTCTCAAATAATTTGTGATAGAGCGAGCTCTGAAATTTGTGTTTGTATATGCGCTGATCAAGTTTTCGATCATTATTTTTGCATACTCTTTATCTTCTTAAGTTTGTGTTGACAAATGCATATCAAACTCATCAACACTTTGTTATAACCGCGGCAACGTTAGAAATGTTTTTATTTTTGTCTATAACTTTGTATCTGCATATTGCATGTCATATCCAAGCTTTCCTTTGATTTGACGGAAAATAGTTTTTATTCACTTTTACACCTTCTTCCTTTATAATTAGTCGTTCAAATGCCCCAAGATCATCTTCTTTCGATTTTATTGCAACTATTCTATATATAATACTATGTCCGGCCATTTGATTGTCCGAAATTTGTAATTTGATCTCGTATTTTTCACACGTGTATCCACCGTCGGAAAGGTGGATTCACTTTTGACAAAAATTGTTTTCATTCTTAGTTGCTAATATTTTACTTGCTTTAAGTACAGGTAAACTCTACTGTCATTTGCATGCAATACGTATGTAAATATCGTTATTTGTTTGTCTGCTATTGTTCATTTCTATGTGAATTGTTCTACATAATATACATTATTAATTTCTATTGTAAAAAAACACGTGTTTTGATATGCAATCAGTTTACTTGTATTCTTGCATTTAGATTTTGTACCTTTGATTAGTCACATTTTTATTTTTTTTACTTTTGCATGCTTATAAGAACATGTAAACTTTCTAAACTTAGCTTGACGACAATAGAACGGCAAAAGGTAACTGACGCTATGTGATTTATACCATGGTTATGTTCATTAGGCTCGTTTTTTTTCAAAACATGCATTAAATTCGCTTTTTATTTTACAAAGAATAATCTATGTATCGGTCGGTACTCTATATCATATCCAATATACAACATTGAAAAAATAAATTCTGCATATGCTGTGATTATTCTTTTATAGGGAAGTCGCAGAAAGCTTTGAATGGCAAAATTTAATTTCAGACATTTTGCAATTATGTTTTGACGTCGTAAGTGTTGTATCTCCAGTTGTAACAAATTCTTCACCAGAAGGAAATGTCTACGATATTGGTGAGTATTAAAAATGTAAATTTCCATTTGCTGCTATAGATGATGAACCCACCGTTGCTTTCTGAGCATCTCAGCTTTTCTGACAAAGACGTATTTGCTCATTTCGAAAATACTACACGAACAAATTGGTGTTTTGTTGTACAAATTGCTCTAACAAATTGCTGTCTCATTAGCGTGTACAAACGACATGTGTGATTATGTTGAGCTTTTTTTAGAAACAGCCGAAAAAAATGCTGAATTTGGTCATGAAGAAAATGAAGATTTTGAAGATTTTGCTCCAAAATCTCAAATATTGTTAGTCTGTTGTTGGCGTGCAATGAAAGAAGTTTCTTTACTTCTTGGTGAAATAACTAAGCGAGCTCCAGTGAGACACGAAAATGCAAGTTATGGTTTGTTGAATTTTCATCAGGTAGGTATTTTTTTATGAATTTAAAGATGGTTTAACATCTTTTTTTGTTAATTATTACATATGCATTTGCACTTCTTGAAGAAAAGTCTCACCATGAACAAACTATTTTTCATGGCATTAGAATTTTATTGTGTTTGACAGACAATAGATTGTATAGAAAGTTTACTATGTCAGTCGTAATGAATCATAAAACAAATAAGACTTCAAATGTAACGATTTGATCACTGTTAGAGAAGGCTTTGTAGACATATGCATATGTAGACTTAGTATTTCATCATTTAAGATTTACACACACATTATAAACATATGTAGACTTAGTATTTCATCATTTAAGATTTACACACACATTATAAACATATGTAGACTTAGTATTTCATCATTTAAGATTTACACACACATTATAAACTTATGTAGACTTAGTATTTCATCATTTAAGATTTGTAGACTTAGTATTTCATCATTTAAGATTTACACACATTATAAACATATGTATACTTAGTATTTCATCATTTAAGATTTACACACACATTATAAACATATGTAGACTTAGTATTTCATCATTTAAGATTTACACACATTATAAACATATGTAGACTTAGTATTTCATCATTTAAGATTTACACACATTATAAACATATGTAGACTTAGTATTTCATCATTTAAGATTTACACACATTATAAACATATGTAGACATAGTATTTCATCATTTAAGATTTACATATGTAGACTTAGTATTTCATCATTTAAGATTTACACACATTATAAACATATGTAGACTTAGTATTTCATCATTTAAGATTTACACACACATTATAAACATATGTAGACTTAGTATTTCATCATTTAAGATTTACACACACATTATAAACATATGTAGACTTAGTATTTCATCATTTAAGATTTACACACACATTATAAACATAAGGATTGAAGTGTGTTTGAATGTTGTAAACACACAATGAAAAGATTTATAAAGATCAAGTTTTTAAGGGATTTTGTTTTCTTTTTGCTCAGTTAGAGGAAGTTGGTCTGTTGTTTACAACAATGCTGTTAACGTCAAAGCACAGAGGAGCTTACGAACTGGCTCATGAAGGATTTGTAAAACTTTGTTATATGTTATGGAGGTAATTTAAAATTGAGCCAATTTAGAATCACATCTGGTCGTTTGCAGGGGCGTGATATTTATTGGTCTGTCTTCAACGAAAATTATTTTCTATTCAATTTTGAATAATGTTATTCCATTATTCTGCCAATGATGTTTAATATTTTACGTAAATTTTGTCTTTCACAGAAGTCCTCAACATGACATCCAACGTCTTCCTGAATGCTTTCTCAACAAACTTTTAAAAGATATTTCATCTGATAATCCCTCCGAATGGTTATGTGGAACAAGACGAAGTGCTGGTCTACCTTTCTTTTTTAAGGTAGATGAACAATGTATTTATAGGAATACAGTTAAAGACAGTCTCAATTAATTTGAGGCAGTGTCTACCAGTCGCTTATGAAGTCATGGTGTTATAGTTAGATACAGTCTCAGCGTCTACCAGTTGTTTATGTTTTCATAGGTGTATAGTTAGAGGCAGTGTCAAGTGATTTGAAGCAGCGTCTGCCAGTTGTTTATGTTTTCATATTTAATGATTTGAATTTAGTTTGCCGTTTTATTTTATAATGTAATATTTACAGTTTGCCAAAATAGCTTTCCTTTAATGTTTGCGTTCATAGTCATGTTGTATCAGACGTATGTTTAATTTAAACATGGTTGAATGTGAAATCAGCGACTGGATAGATTAGATAGAGTCGAGTCGATTAATATTGATTCAAAAGTTTAGTCTAATTAGTAGTCTTTCACGCAGCTTCTACGTCCCAGTCCTTCGATTGCAAACCCTCAACCTGCTACTAGAAATTCGAATGGTATCATGTAAAATCTTATGTTTGTAAGGCACAAAAATCGCCTAGTTTGAACGACTTGTAGAATCTACATATAATTGTTTATTTAAGGCTATTGTGACGACAGAGCCGAACACTACTGGCAAATATTGTTTTAAATCTGTAATGAAAGGTATTGTGATTGCTATTATGCTTACAGTCGTGCAATGTTAGACTTTTACTTGGAAATTGTGTGAAGCTTAGATCAGAAAATTTTCTTGGTGGGAATTTTTTCTTTCCTCATTTCAACGGGAATTTCAATTTTCTTAATTTGTATTTAGAACTTTTGAAAACAGCTGCAAAATCTGTAGACGTTCAAAGTTCTGACGACACAACTCTACCCCAGGTGTATGTTTTACTTTGAAGTAGTTTGCTTGTGTAAAAGACCACTTTATTGAAATGATTTATGAATTACTGTTGTTTGGTGATAAATTATGTTGTTTTTGTATGTAAGACGTTTGCTAAGCGTTTACTCGAGTTTAGGAGAGTTTTTCAGATCGACTTGGTTTTTATCAAGACAAACCATAAACAGTTTTTCCTATTTACGTGTTTACAGGTACATGCAAGAAATATTCTACGTGCTCTTTATAAAGAGACAAAACTAGGAGAGGACGTGTTTCCATTTGTTGCTGACGGTGTTCGTGTTGCAATTGAAGGTTTTTTGTCCGAAATATGGGCGGTGAGTTAAATCCTTTAATGTGAAACAGTGCAATGTAATACAATAATATAATGTAATTTTACATAATATAATATAACATTTTACATTATATTATGAAATAGTTTTTGCGCTGTTTGGTTGACTGCTTCAAATGTTTGTTAACCTTTTTAATGTATTTATTGAAGAGGTTTATGTTTATAGATGAGGTTTGTACTTATAGATTCGAAATTCTTCCACATTGATGTTCAGTGCTTTGATGAATCGGATTTTTGGCCCACAAACCTTTCAAGAAGATAAACGTCGAAAAGGGTATGTGTCTGGAAGATGTTTTACAAGTTCTTGTAGAGGCCTCAATTTGGTTTGTTAATTTTCTTAAATTTTTCTTTCAAGAATGACTGGGCGAGAATTTTTTTCAAGATTTCCATCCTTGCATTCTTTCCTAATTGAGCAACTTCAAATTTCGTTGAAAGATGTCAAAAGGTGGGATCTTTAACACGTGTGCGCCAGTCTGTACTAAATGGAAATTTTCTGTGATACAACGTACATATAGCATGCTTCGTATGTCATTGAGAATGTTAATACTTGGGCAATATGCTTTCAGCAATTTATACAATATGCTTAATTTTGTCTTCCACTGTAACCGTGTTTTGTGCTTGAAGATAATCCAATTCTAAATGCATATGCATCCCTTAAACCTTCCCCTAAACCTTCACCTAAACCTTCACCTAAACCTTCACCTAAACTTTCCCCTAAACCTTCCCCTAAACCTTCACCTAAACCTTCACTTAAACCTTCACCTAAACCTTCCCTAAACTTTCCCTAAACCTTCCCTAAACCTTCCTAAACCTTCCTAAACCTTCCTAAACCTTCCCTAAACCTTTAACTTTCCTAAACCTTCCTAAACCTTCTAAACCTTCAAACCTTCACCTAAACCTTTTTAAACCCCCTAAACCTTCCTAAACCTTCACCTAAACCTTCACCTAAACCTTCACCTAAACCTTCACCTAAACCTTCACCTAAACCTTCCCCTAAACCTTCCCCTAAACCTTCACCTAAACCTTCACCATACTGTTATTTTGGAAATGTGACGTATTTTTCTCCTTTTTTTCGTAGGCAAGGTTTTGTTTTATGATTTTTTTTTTGTATTCCAACATTTTATCTTTGTAGTGATGACTATATGGGATCATCAGTTTGTATGCATCCCAGTTTGTATCCAGTCCTTTTACTCTTATCTCGTCTTCATCCGTCAGCAATGGATGGCAATGATTCCACTTTAAACATGTCTGCTTTCATACCATACGTACAAAGGTATACAAAGGAGGATGTATCTTCTCACGTTCATTTGTGTGTATTTTTGTCGTTTTTTTCTTATAGGTGTTCAAAGAGCTGTGTTTTAAAGACTCGTTCTATGGCTGCCCGTGCACTCGTGCCTTTAGTGTCGGGTGTAACGTTAAAAGAGATGTTGACGAGCCTTATTAAAAGTTTGCCTGTTTCACCAAATGAAAGGTATAATAAAATCGTGGTTTTTTATTTAGATAATCAATTATAATTAAGAGTTAATAAACTTGCAAACTGCCCCCGATTGTACAACTATGAATATAATAAATTGCATGGAAGCTTTTGTCACTTGATTGTAATAACAGTATGGTTTTTCATGCGAATAGCAAGAGATTCTTTAAACGAGGTGGTTTACAATTTTTAAAGTGTTCTTTTGAATGATATATGTTGTCTGTCTAAGTGTGTTGTGTAGTCGGATATAGTCTTAAATTTGGAGCCTTTGACTACTTGTTAATGTCTATATTGTTAATGTCTTAGAGATGAAGAAAGTTTCATAAACAATTTCGAATATTTTCCTTTTGTTTTCACTTTAGAATAAAGCAAAATGAAATCCACGGTTCTCTTTTACAGGTTAGTTCGAGTAACGTTTTTTGTGTTTTTGTGTTTTCTTGATCTTTTTATTAAAGAATTTTCAAATTAAGATTGTTTACACTACTAAAACTGCATATTGAAAACATATAATATACAGCAGCACAAACATTTTGTATTCCTTAATTTTTTTCTCATATTAGAACTAACATTAATATTTTAATAATTGTCAAATACATTCTTCGAGTGACATTGAAATATCCTGATCCAGATCTAGGCACTGTAAACACAAATCTTTTTTATGTTATTTTTATACAGTTTCTACTTTGGTTCAACTTCCTTTAGAAATTAAAATCTTTTGTGTTTCATCCAGATAAAGGAACTTCTAAAATGTGTTTCAACGAACGGTTCTCTCTCCCCTCAAACAAAGTGTGATATTTATGAATGTTATGTTCCTTTGTTGTCTGAGAGTCTTTGGTTGGGGACCAGGTGAGTTTTTAGGAAATTTACATGGTAACTTATTTTTAAATGAAGTCGGTGAAGAGACATTTTTCTACTGGTGTGAAATAACTTTGATAAAATACTATATGTTACAACTTTACAGAAATTCTATCAAAAATAATTGATTTCACTTGCTCACTCCTTTGGTTTCTTTAATACATTGAGTTTGGATTCTTTTACTATTTGCATTTTATGCCGCCTTTGACTTTTCGCAGTTGATTATGAAATCATACGGAAGAAATGGGATTTTGAAGTAGCTAATCAACCCTTTGTGCTTTCGGCTACTTTTTTAAAGATAATTCTTACTGTTTCGGCCAACCATAATGGATACAGACATACGTTGTTGAAAGAACATGGAATGATGAAGTTTCATGTCTTCTAGGTTCAACTCTTGCAACATGAAATTTCATGTCTTCTAGGTTCAACTCTTGCAACATGAAGTTTCATGTAGTTCAACTCTTGCATGTTTTCTTCTAGGTTCAACTCTTATGAAGTTTCATTTGTTCAACTCTTGTGATGGATTCATTTGTACGTGATGGACAGACGTTGGTTTGATTTTTCATCGAACACACGCGTGGAAATTTTAAATTCGTTCCATCATTTAGTGGAAGCAAATGCAGCTGAAATTACATGTGTCAATAAAGTGAAGGAAGGAGAAAGCCCTGTTCTAAATGCTGGAAAACATTTTGCTTCTTGTGTGATTCTTGTGAAAGAAGAAATTGCAAGGCTTACATTTCAATCAATTGATGAAAAATTATCAAGAGGAGAAATCCTCGTTTCGAGTGACATTTCTCTCGTTGTGATGTTTGTGTCCTCGCCAGATTACGAAGTCAAGTTGATCGCGTTAGAGTTTTTACAAAAGTTATTTTCGAAATCTGCGAATGTTTTCTTATCGAGTGAGGATAAAGATAAACTTGTAGGAGTACTATTGACGCGAATGTGGCATTCCCAGACGAATTATGAAGTTTTATCATCGGTAAGATAGTGACATGTAAATTTGGTTTCATTTATGGTCCAACGTTGAACGTGTAACAAAAATGCATCTTAAATTTGTTAAAATCACTCGACGAAGACTTTTTGAAAGTAAATTTTACAACCCAATACATTCACCATTCGATTTGTATTTGTAAATAATAAGTGCACTCAATTTTTTACAGTTGTTCGACTGTCTTTCTCTCGTTCCTGAATCTTTGAAGTTTCCTTGGCTATTGCAGGATGAAACAGTGATTACTTTCCTCGAGGTAGGCCGTCTGACCTTTCAGCCACTCTTTCCTCTTCTTTTATTTTATTAAAACAGTAATCCTTAAATCATTGAGTAGAACATGGTAGCTTACTTTGTTGCCTTAATTCTCGAGGTTTTGTCAAGAAAAATAATTTACGTCATCTTTTGTATCGGGTATAAAATTTTTTTTTGATGGTTTGAAAGCAACGGTTGCCATTTTTGTTTTCTTTTATTGCCATTTTCAATTTTCCAGGAGATATTTTTGTGATATACGCGAACGATTAAATTTTTGCTCCATCTGATGGGAGGAATATTTATTTTGTGCTTAAAATGCAATTGTAAACCTCGATTACCGATCTTTCGTTCTAAAAATTCTCTCATTTTTGCATGCCAGGTTGAAAATTGCTATGGATAAGCAAATAGACCTACTCTCTTCGTTTCTCTAGGGCTGGGAATATTACAAGAAGTTACTTGCAAAGGTCGGCCACGGGTGAGTACTGTATGGACTTTTAAAGTTGTAAAATCGTACTTTTAACCATTTCCTGCTACACATTTTTTGTAGGTCCGATGTTCTGGCATCTTTTTTAAAGTTTTCATCTGTATTAATTTATGTTGCTCGTGAGGTAATGCTCTACAATCTTTTGACTTGGTTAGATATCTAATCTTGGTAGCTGTAGAGTTATATACACAGCCAGCCAATATGCCATGAAGGACACATTGCCCCCTTCGCCACTCTCCTCTATGAATTAAAGCCCTGTGTGGAACATTTTAATAACATGTTCACCGTGGAAAAATTATGCATTATTAAGTGTACTGTTTCATATGTGGAACTTTTGTTCTAGTTCATGATTAGTTATATGTTAAAAAGTGGTGTTCTTTCCTTTATCCACTTTATTATGTCAACAATATCATTTTATTAGAATGTTTGTGCTATCGATGGAACCAATGTGCTGGAAGAATGGATGAACTTATTTGAGATGTGCGCCCATAATGAAGAAAATGAAAAATTACGGTTAACGATAACTCTTGTCATTGGATCAGGGCGAGTCAATTTTCTGTTATTAAAGCCATTAAGCAGTCATGGTAAGATTTTAACGAATCATTTTGTAAAGCAACTTAGCCGTAAGATATTATAAATGTTATTTGACATATGATCGTTGCTCATATCACACTAGGGCAATGTTTTAGCAGCAATGGATCGAAAAGTGTACGAAATGTACGAAATTTCTTGTTTAGAAATAATTATCGAGCAGTGCATAAATTAAAACTGCTGAATAATGATTTCATGTCTTGAAGAGAACCTAAGTTACAGCGATTATATATGTTTCAACTCTCTCTGTCAACAGAAAGTATTACATTTCGCTTGTGGAAAGTTATTGTTGAGATGTTGATTGACGAATCTGTGGCAGTGAAGGACTCAATGGCTTATGCTCTTTCGGGTTTGTTTCAGTCGATTGAACAAGGTAAGCTTCTTACTGGATTATTTAGTTGATCTTTAATTGGCAAGAAAGCAATGCTTATTTCATTGTAACATTTCAAAATTTACACGAGCAGTTAAATATTTTAAATTCAAAAGCATTAACGGTTCTGTGCTCGGCCCTATGATAACGTTTTCTCCTAGAAATTTGTGAGTGCGAGCGTTTGCCTTAGTGTTATAAGAAAAGGCCCCTCACATGAATTAATTCTTTGATAAAAGTAAAAGAATCACAGATACAAAATGGTTTTGCGCTAGATTTATCTCCATCTACAAAGCAGAAACTACCCCCCACTCACCCACTATAATGTTGCCTCTGCAGTTTCTTTAAAAGCGCATTCAGAAAGTTTATGTGGTCACCATTTTTGAAATAGGACCATGTGCGCTTGTATATTACCTCGCACATGAGTGCCACCCTCTACATTGCACTTATTATTTCAATGATGTTTGCAGAATGGCGTATTTGGTAAGCTGTAGAACTCCATGTCGTTTCTCAACTCTAAATGTTTTTTTCTTGATTTCCATCGTTCCCCTACAAGTGCCACCTATAATAGCTACTAATGAAAATTATTATTAATGAAAGCTTATTAATGAAATTATTTCCGCTTCCATTTATAAATATATTTTAACTTTTTTACCAAGGCAGCATTCACTATCGTGATTGTGATATTCACAGTTTCTTGGCTTTGAAAATGGTCGCTCGGTTAGTTCTTGACCTTATTTCTTCGAATATCCCATGTTGACCATGCATTGGCTGCTGAATTTTCTAAATGAATCTATAGTAAAGTCTGACAGTTTCCAAGACCAAGCTTATAATGATATGTCAAAAATAGATAAACTTTTTGAAAAGGACCGATAAATACTTATCGCGAGGATTGTATATTGGCCGAAGTGCTTTTCAATGAAGTCTGCTGGGTGTTAGAAAAAAATACGAGTATCAACGACTGTTCCAAATCATATTTGGAACTGCTTAGAATGACAAGAGACTTTGTCGTTTGTCGAAAGAACATTTGTTGCCATGATTTGACATACAACAACATTTATTTAACTGTTATTGGGCTGGCTTTTATGAAAGTTATTGTTGCACAAGAGCAAAATCAAACTTTGAAAGAATTCCACGGAACGGCGGAATGTGAAAATTGGCCTATATTTGAAAACAGTATCACGTGGTTAAAGCAAATACAAGCTAGCGATGACTACAAACATTTTTTTGAACATTTTCAGCTTAAAGCAATTACAAAATTTGTGTTAAAATAGCGCAAATTTCGTACATAGTTAGGTTAATGTTTTTCGTTAATGTTTTGGCGATAAAATTGTAGTTTTATGCTGATATTTTATTTTTAATTAGTATTAACCATGTAATTTTTTCACCAAGTTTTATTTATCAATACGCTCAATTTTCTGATTTATTTATTTGATAAGGTTTGAGCATGAGCGGAGATTTTAGTTTGTCCTTTTTTCAAGCAATTATAATTATGATGAATATTATCAGCAATCGGATAATTATAATCAAAATCATCGGCTATCGACACCATAAAGTCATCGGACCAGAGACCTTAAATTATTAGTCTTTGATTTACAAAAAATTTGTAAATAATGATCGATATTGATAGAACATAGAAAAATTACAAGCATTAATACGGTCCATATATTCTTTCACATAATGATTTATCAGTGAAGATTTTTCAACGTCACCAAAGTTTTTGCAGCAAATAATGATATCATTAGAACCTGAAATCAAACAAATTATCGTAAGATATTTGGCTAATTCTACAGTACCTTACAATAAAAAACATATGAATAGGTTATTGATCAAACAAATTTAGCTTGAATAATTTGCAGCGTATAATCAAAGACATGACAAGCACCGCTTCATATCTGAACTTCTAAAGTCTACTTGTGCAGAGTCGATCTTGAAGGTGTCATTGATATAAGGCAGATCTACCTCGATATGTGATGTTTTGAGCGTAGGAATAGCCAAAAAATAACGGATATTTTAAGATATTCATTGTTGGCATTTAAATAAGCACCGTTTCCAATGTACTGGATGCAGTTCTGTTCATTTAGCTCAAATGTTAAGGTTAGAGTGTACCGAGTCTATGGTTGGTTTTCCTTTGTGAAGTGAATTGATGGCACAGCATCTCGCTTTTTGAAGTTGGTTAATTGCACATTTTTTGTAACTGGATAGCTTACGATAAAATCCTTTGATAAAGTATGAGGACTTGCGACAGGTGTTTGACCATTCTTTTCTATCAAATGATTTCCACCAGTTTGCTTTGAAACAATTACTTGCTTTTATGTTAATTAAATGGAAAGGAAACAAACTGTTATTTAAATTTTCGGAGAAATCTGGTAAAATATGTTAATAAAGATTAATTGCGAGAAAATAACATGATAAACGGCAAAAAATTATTACAAAAAGAGTATACTACTTAATGAGACATGTCAGAATAGCCCACCCAGAAACTAACCAAGTTTTTATAATCCCTCTCACGAGTTTACAGTTTGAGCATAAAATAAAATTGTCGGGAACAAGATTTACAATGTTGTTCATTTCACGTGGCCAAATTGAAAAGCGTTTTAATTAAATTACAAGTTACAGAATGCTATATGTGAATTAAAGGAAAAGTAGTCCCCAAAAAAGGCTTACACTGACAACACCATCCGTAGTAACCAAGTTTGCAAATACAGCGCTAAAAACATCCTATTTTGCCACAACGACCAGCATTCTTACAACTTCATAAAATCGTCTTTATGGTCACTCCTTGTCCTCATCAACCGACAAAAATGGACAGCTCTGTAGTTAGGAAAGATCATTTATAATCAGCGGTGGATCTGGGGAAGGCAAAACTACAATGCTGCTGCTTATTTTAAATTAAAAAATCATAACAACTGTGGTTAGAAAAATTTAAAAGATTATTTTAGAACCAAATTTCACCAACAAAAAGACCTTTAGCAATTGATGTATTCTAATGATTGACGTATGGTAAAAAAGAGGAAGGCCTTTAGACATTGAGGTATTCTAATACTATTACTATACTAAGACCACGCGTGCTGAAAGTATTGTCTGCTACGTACATGATTATATGACATGTTCTTGTTACAACCACACCTGTTCGGTTGTCCCAGGTAGTTTAATACAACAAATATACATCTTTTAACTGAGAAAATATACATCTTCGTACAAAAAATATACACCCGTAAGGACATAGCTTAGTGAACAGGTATTGAAATTTTAACAACTAACCAAAATTTAAACTCTAAAGGTTTTTTTTATACCCTCTGTAAATGGAACAATAGTTCAGTTAAACAGCGAGATCCATTGGATAAATTGTTTAAATACTTCATTTAACTCACTTCATATGTTGCAAATTCAAGAAGTAACCAAGGCAAAAAGAAAGAAGTAATAAATACATGTTTGTGAAATGTCTGCATGACTTTATCCTGGATTTGATTTGATGGATGGATTGTGTTGTAAATAGAAGATGAAGAAAGCCAGTGAAAGCTTCAAGCGGAGTCAAAGAAATTTTAAACTATAAGTATTACATTATATTATCACTTTAATATCAAACATCGTCACATTAAAATTGGTTGTGGCTGTGGTTTAGAATGCTTCATGCAAGCACTAGTTATATAATGTGTTATTTTAAATCTAGTAATTGTAGAATTCACACTCGCAAAGATTGTGTTGTCATTTCGATCTTCTGGTTTTTTTACAGTTGACCAATATTTATGCATCACTTCGATCGACTTTGAAAGACGATGCATCTTTGTAAGTTCTGCTGCATATGTTTTTATCAAGCTTGTAAAGAAGTTATAATTGTGATGTGGTATATTTAAATATTTTAAGCATGTTGTTGCACTTAAATATGGTATACAATAAATCATAAGCAATAGTCGTATGTGAATTTTTTGATTGGTCTATTCTACTGCCCACAGTGCAATCCTTGTAAACTGTATGCTGAAGATTGTGTTACAGAACAGAATAGACTACACAGAATGTATTCTAGATAAAGTGTTTAGTATGACAGATTTCTTATTTTATTCAATTTAGGGTCTCACTGAGCTGTGTATTTTGCCATTACAAAGCAACCTTACACGATTAAAACTCAACTGCAAGCAAATTCATATCCTTTTTTGAAATTTGTTTAATATTAGAGTTCATTGTAGCTCAATTAAATAGCTTAATTGAATGGGTACTTAGTTGTATATGTCAAAAATCATTCACATTATTTGTTATCATGCGAAACTTTGAACAAATGAAGCTCCATATTTAAAAAATCACTGTACAAAGTTTTGGATTTTCTATCTAGATAGAAGTTTAGAAATCAATCCTGACTTTGGATTGAATGAATTTACATATGATGCCAAACGTAAATACTACACATGTGACTATCAAAGTGTGCTCTTTCATGCCAAACAAACAGCATTTTAAAGAGTTAATATTTCATCTCTATTGTATTAAAAAACAGCAGAAATTTCAGGGTTTAGCATAGTGATTATAGAAATTTAACTATTTTTCCACTCTTGCTTAAAATTTCAGACTTGATTTTTGAAATAATATATGTGTGGTGTCTTTTTTTTATTTTTGCTATTAATTTGTCACTGGACTTGGAAATAATTGTCCAAAACCATTTCATCAACCCAAAAAAGTTTACATTTTTCCGTATGTTGCATGTATTGCAGATGTTTTTGAAGTCCAATGGGAAATAGTTGTTTGTTTGTGCATTTGTTGTACCTTAATGATTGTTAAGAATAACAAGAATTTGTGTTCAAGATGTTAAAGATTGTAATGTTTGGTTTGATGCTGGATTCCAGTACAATGATGTAGAGGAAAATTTTGTGCTGAAAGTAAAAAGCAAGTAGTTCATCTATAGTGAACAAACTAAGCAGAAGTTTATGATATTCCACTTTTTGATTAAAACAATTTTCCATGTATAAGACTCAAACTTTCTGATGAAGAGAACAGCATAGACTGTTATATAAATGTAAATAGTTTTGCAGAGACTTTTTTAAGGATTTGCGAGGCTTACCCATTGCCAAGGTCTAATACATACCCTTTGGATGTCCAATTTTTAAATTTTAGTTGAAAAAAACCTCAATTGGGATTGATTTTGGTTCTTTTGATGAATATAACTAGTTCCCTGCCCCCCCCCTCCCTCCCTCTCACATCCCAATTATGAATCTTACGCTGTCCTTGGTTTTAATTTAGGCATTTATCAAATCTCTCTCCCTTTTTGTTTAGGAGAAACCTTGAGCATTTTGCCTCCTCTCTTCAGAATTCTATTTCTGCCATTGACCCTGAGAATGGTGGAGGTGAACTCACCATCAAGTTACCAAAAGAATGTTTGAAATTTGTGTCTGAGCGAAAAACATTTCGATTGAGTGTTGAGTTTTCTTTGGAACATCCGAAAGGCGGAGTTCAATTTGTTCTTCCTCGATGTGAAGGAAAGATTGACATGGTTCGTTTTTTAAACGATGGTTCGTGTTTTAAACGATGATTCGTGTTTTAAGCGATGGTTCGTGTTTTGAACGATGATTCGTGTTTTAAACGATGATTCGTGTTTTAAACGATGATTCGTGTTTTGAACGATGATTCGTGTGTTAGAATATGAAATTTACTCGCAGTTTTAATGAATTTATGAAAAGTTTTGTGCAATTTAATATTTACCACATGATACGAATGTAGGACAAAAAATTTCTCTGCTATTTTGTTTTTAAGAATTTGCGGCTTTTTTACGGTTTGCACTTCGTAAGAGTTTCTCGTTAATTTTACAAATTGAAGAGAGCTTCATGTATCCACATTCCCGTTTATCCATATTCTCCCCTCCCTCCCACCAACTGTGCACCTCCTCCCTCCCCACCAACTGTGCACCTCCTCTCGTACCCCTATTCTTTTTTCATTCTGCAAACTGTGTCCACCACTTGCATCCACAAGTTCCTCAAAATTAAAGTTACAAAGAGTAAAAAATAGATGTTTGATTTTGTAGAAAAATTAAAGGTTTTTATTATATTTTAGCACCATGATATTGTACATATATTTTGGGGAGGTGTCAATAAACTGTTTCAAACGCAAGGATACTGCTTATTTTTAAATTTTTTTTTGTTAGAACTCTGCACATGTCTTCTCTTTCAATCATGGAAACACCTCAAGGTAAAGATATTTTGATTACTAATGTTGAAAATTTATGATAGAATAGTAATATGCACAATTCTAAATGCTTGCACGGATATGCTTAATTTTAACACTAAACGAAGCGGGCGCGGATTTCCTGGGGTTGTGCACCCCCCCCCCAAAAAAAAAATTTCTGAAATTGTATTACGTACTGTAGACTATTAATATAACAAAGAATCATAGGCCAGAATACTGGGGCCAATTGCACAAAGCCCGGATAGCGTTATCCATTAGATAGCGAAAATTTTCAAACTTTAAAGAAGGTGTTTATCTTTTTCTTACGACAAAGAAATTTTGTAATCCTCGAAACAATATATTATTTCAGTGATTGCACAGTTCAAATCGTACATTTTTTTCTTATAAGAGATTTTATGAACGTTCAGAAAAATTTCCTATTCAGTGGATAACGCTATCCAGGCTTTGTGCAACCGACCCCTGAGAAAAAAGTGAAACTTATCACTTCAAAGGCAGTTACGTATTTTATACTATCACCATTTGCAATGGAGTTACTACCATGCGCGTTTTCATTGAAACAAATTGCTGAATCGAAATAAATCGCTTAATGCGAATATATATGATTTATAATTTACTTAACTTTATGAAAAGTTCTTACAAATCTAATAACACTTTCTTTTGGCATGATTAACTCATATATAAACCTATAAATCTACAATATATCGAGGCCCTGGCAACTTAAGCAACGTGTTAAATAAGTATTTCAGCATTTTACACTGTCGTGTTAAATAAATATCGCCATAAAACGGAACAATCCAGCAGATCTTTGCTCGTTGGTTTTTCTAAGCAAGTGTATTTTTGTGTTTTTATCTTCAGGCTATGGTTTCCTTGCATCGACTCTTTTTCGGAGGTATGTACTTGGAAGATCGATATCACAGTGGATCGAGACTTAGTGGCAGTGTCGTCTGGTGAATTGATTGAGCAGGTATTTTATCAAAAAAATATTTTAAGTTTGTTTCAAGATAATATTATGTCTTTCAACTGTTCTATATCATTTATATCTCGTAGATTAGTTTGCTTGCATGTAATTTTTCATGGGAATTATCCTGGGCCTGAGAGTACGTTTTTGGGGACATCGTGTACTTCAAGTAATCTCTATACAATTAAAAAGATCGGCGTTTTGCTCATTATTCTTATCAATTACGACGAAATTGAATTAAGCCAAAACGAAGCGAAACGCTCATTATTTTATTCTTTAGGTAAAACATAATATACATCATCGTTGATTTGATGAACTGTTTGTTCTTTTAGGTTTACACAGCTAATGAACGATTTAAAATGTACTCTTACGTATTGGACGTACCTACAGCGGCTTCAAATATCGCCTTTGCAGTAGGGTATGTTACAAATTTACAAACAGACCGAGTAGCCTGTACACTTGTGAAATGACTGCAATTCATTTTAGACCTTTTGAAGTACACGTTGATCCAGTAATGCCCGAGGTCGCTCATTTCTGTTTGCCTGGTTTGTTACCGCTGTTGAAGCAGACAACTGGCTCACTGCACGAGGTAAATGTCACCAACGCTGATTGAAAATGTGGTTGTTCGGACAAAACGTTTGTCTGGCCTATTTAACTATGCTTACCCAAATCTAAATAATATGTCAATTATTCTTAGCTGAAAGAAGGAACACATGTCTGTTTTGTGCTTGATTTGTAATTGTAAAATATCTTAAAAGACAAATTCATCTAACTAACGATTTACAACCTGTTGTTTCCATTGCAATTCATTTAACATCATACAGTATGCGGTTTTGATCAGTCTGATAACTTGAGGCTCAGCACAAATGACTAAGACTAAGTTTTATTCTACATGTAATATATTTCTTTAGGTGCTTGAATTTTACGAAGAGTCGATGAGTTGCCAATTTCCTTATCCTTCTTACAAGCAAGTGTTCGTGGATCATTCCTTTGAAGAAACTTCTTCATATGCTACCTTGGCCATATGCAGGTGAGCTATTTCCTCAGCAGTAGTGTCAATTTAATGAAATCCATCTCCACTTTAATTCATAAAAAAAGATGCCGAGGAACAGGAACTTTGATCATATTATTTGAACTTTCATAAACTACGCTTGAATGTTTTTCTTATACGAATAATTGTTGTGGACACTCTAGACGAAAATTCATCATTTTAAGCATATACCTTGATAATGTGTTATGCGGATTGTATTGGGAACTAAAAGAGATTGTCTAAAGATTTGTAGCTACTTTTTCTTTAGCATGTGAAGAAGTTCAGAGTGTGAGGTCAATAATATTTTCTTAAATTGTACTTTGTTTATACGAACCTATCGTGAATTCCTGAGGATAAATATTTTTGCTGGCCAATGCTAGACAATTTCACTTTATCAGAGTCAAAAATTACAATAGAGTACAGCACAAATTTCGGATATTTTAAACCAATTTACGTAATTTTCAATATTTCGCCTTGAACAATTATGACTCTGTTCTCTTACATCCCTTCGTTGTTGTCTATTTGTATGTTATCTTAATTTTCTCTTTTTTTATTCAGTACAAATCTTCTTCATTCAAGTCGTGTCATTGACCAAGCCTTTTACACAAGAAAAATACTAGCTCGTGCTTTAGCGCGACAGTTTTTTGGTTGTTATCTATCTCTCAACACATGGTAGGTGTTTGTTGGAAATGTACATGGTAAGCGCGAAAATCTAACGTACTTACGTAGGTTGTGTATTTTGGACTGATGGCTTTCTTTTCCCTAAGAATTTTCTCATTAAAAATATCTGTAACTACGTATGCATTGTAATCTTTAATATTCACTTCAGTCTTCAGTTCCTCATCGCTGGTAAAATGACGTTTTTACTTTAGGTCGGATTCATGGCTTCAAGGTGGAATAACATATTATCTTTATGGCCTTTACATGAAGAAAGCGTTTGGAAATAATGAATATAGAAGCTGGATTCGTGAGGTCAACATTTGCAAACAATAGAGCACATGAATTAACTTGGATAATTACGTGGGAACTGCTTAAATATTTTTGTAACAAATTTGACACTGTCAATGATGCTCTGATTTGGTAGAAATCATGCATAGTCCAGTGCGAATAGGCTTTTTAAATTGTTTGTTCTTGACTGGTAATGAGTAATGATTACATTTCAGGAGATGGAAAAAGTATGCAAGTATGAGATTGAAGGTCCTGGCTTGTTGCCTCTCAATAATAAGTCTTTCGTATCTAATAATGATGTCAGCTCAGACACTGATTCTGACACCATGGCAACAAGTGGTCAACCGAGCTATCTACATATGCATCCGCACCTGACGTCATGTAAGCAGATTGAAGCGATGTATAGTAAAGCTCATCTGGTGATGAGATTAATTGAAATGAGGATTGGATTGGAACCGCTGCTTCAGGTTAACACTAGTCTCTTTGTTCAAACAAGAAATTGGAAAAGGGGAAGTTGTGGAATGTTTGATGTTATTATGAAATTGGGAAATGGGAAGTTGTGGGATGTTTGATGTTATTATGAAATTGGGAAAGGGGAAGTTGTGGGATGTTTGATGTTATTATGAAATTGGGAAAGGGGAAGTAGTGGGATGTTTGATGTTATTATGAAATTGGGGAAGGGGAAGTTGTGGGATGTTTGATGTTATTATGACTTACAACACACATAGTTTTCTTTAGCTCTTAAAATTTCTTTCAAAAAAGAACAATCTTTCGACTTACCTTATTTATTTTAATCCTTGATAAAACTCAGGTATGGATTTACTGTGCGATGTGCATCTTTCCCAGCCTTGGATAGAGTGCCAAAGAGGGGCAAATGTCCATACAAAAATATTTATATGTAAAGCAATTAATTAAAAACAATTTCATAGTTATTTTCAACGGAGTACATAGCTTCAACCAAAATTTACTCTTAACTAGAGCACCCTTTTTACAATCCATTTCTCACTAGAATTTATGAATGGCGTGTATTCGTGTGTGTATCTCACAGTTCACTAGTTACCTCAGTTTACTATCCTTATCTGTAGGCGTGTATTCATGTGTGTATCTCACAGTTCACTAGTTACCTCAGTTTACTATCTTTATCTGTAGGTGTGTATTCATGTGTGTATCTCACAGTTCACTAGTTACCTCAGTTTACTATCTTTATCTGTAGTTGTTTATTCATGTGTGTATCTCACAGTTCACTAGTTAACTCAGTTTACTATCTTTATCTATAGTTGTTTATTCATGTGTGTATCTCACAGTTCACTAGTTAACTCAGTTTACTATCGTTATCTATAGTTGTTTATTCATGTGTGTATCTCACAGTTCACTAGTTAACTCAGTTTACTATCTTTATCTATAGTTGTTTATTCATGTGTGTATCTCACAGTTCACTAGTTACCTCAGTTTACTATCTTTATCTGTAGGTGTTTAACAAACTGCTGTCTCTTGCAAAATCTGCTGTGAAATCTAAAGATATCAATCTATGGAAAAATATGTTATTATCAACTAACGGAGTACGTTTATATCATTTTCGTTTATTTTTTTTATAACATGGGTCCATTATCATAGACCAATTCATGTGTACGTATTTACTGTAACAAGTCAAAATTTACAGATAACCAGCAGTTCAAATATTCAACGTTACTTATGACAACCTTTTGATGGCTATTTAAGAAAGAAGACGAACATTGTGCCACGCTCGGTTATTTTAAGCGTAAATAAAATTTATATTAGTAATTATTTAAGTGCAATTTAAATTATAACTAAAGTAGCTGCATATATTAAAGTGCCCTTTTCGGCTGTTTAAAATTGGCAAAAAATGCTCCTTTTAACGGACCTTGTCCGTCGTTTAAAAAGTCTGGAACGACTTAATTTTGTGACGTCATGCAAGGGATTCCTAAAATACAAAATATGTATAGTAACTACCTTCAATGACCCAGAGTTTATTCATCGACGGACAAGGTCTATTGAAAAGCAAATTTAAATCGCAATAACAAAAAGACGATTTGACCAAATTAAAAACAAATTTCACCCATGCCTTAGACTTTACTCCAAGTTTTGATATCGCAAATAAATGTTTTTGCTTATAGAGGCACTTTAATTATGAAGTTGAATGTTTCTGTGTGAAATAATTTACGTTTTATGAATGTTTTGTTTTTACAGTTATTTACTTTTACACATTTCGTTGTTTTTAATAGCATAATATTTTTGGAACAATAATTTTCGTGTAGCTCTTTGAGCCAGATTGTTGTTTTTTCTTACCTTTAGTTTCTTCGTTCTATATCTATTGTTTCTGGAAAAGATCTGAACGTTTTCGTCGATCAATGGATGTATCTTTTTAGCAATATGAAGCAGTTGACTCATTAATACGCCAATGGCGTCATTAGATTTACCTTATAACATATAATAAGGATTTGTCCAGTTTCCCCCACGTGATATAGAAAAGCATAACCTGGATTATGTGCAGAGTCGTCTTGAGAATTAACTGCGATACAAAACCAACAGTTTACAGATATAGGCCAATCTGGATAAGTATGTATGGGGAGGAGGCAAATTGTGTTCACTCGTATTGTAGAAAGGTTCGTTTAAACGTTCATGTGCTATTAAATAGAACTATAGACTTATGAGGAAGCAATAAATTCAATTATAAGATAAGGTGACTGAAAATAATTGGGCTAAAATCATTAAATGTTTTTTCAGAAACACTAAACCAAGTAAACGTAGCGAAAATTGGAGCATTTATACCTTAATCATTTCAACTTTAGATATAGATCTGGTGTCGTCTCATTTTCTGGTCATTTTGTATTCAACCGTAAAAGAAACATTGTCGAATTAGATTTAATGCAACATATGAAAAAGGGTTGTTTCAAATACATGGTACTGTTGACTTATAAGTTAATTGATGGGCTTTTTCCATGTAAATATTGCCCCGTTCATAAGTTGTTCTGATTAATTTAGTTATTGTGTGTTTTCAGTGAATTTTAGAAGAAACTAAAATATAAATTTTTATCTCACGTTTGTGGAAAAAATATCCATTTTAATATCGTGCTGTTTATTTTAATGCTTCTTTCGATTCATTGTAAAAGTTATTTCATTCTCAACTGCTCTTCAGTCGCTCTTACCAACAATTTCTCATTTATAGTTATCTTTCTTGTATTTCGTTAGGGTCCACTGACTGTATGTATTCAGGAACTGGATGGATCATTTAAACACACCGTTCAAATCGAGGATATTACGAGTCATCACGAACTGCAATGTCACTCAAAGAGTCGAAGGTTGAAAAATTCTATGATTTTTTGTCATTGTTGACATTTATATTTAAATAATTATCGTCAAATGTTGCGCCATCTGGGCAAATGTTTTCGATGTTATTGATTCTTTCTGATCTGAAATTGATTTCATTTCAGAAACAAGCGAAAGAAGATTCCACTAATGACTGGTGAAGAAGTAGATATTGATCTCGATAAAATGGAGTATGTCTATTATTTTCATTTCTTCCCTTTTTGTGATCATGCTTTCTTAAACGGATTAAACGAACGAGGTTTTGATGGATGAATTTCTTCAACGCTTTGACCCTAGTAAAAAGGTTGTTAATACCTTTGACCTATGAAGTATTTAACACATTTCTAATCTTACAATTGATATTCAACCTTAGCTTGAAATATGCAACTGCACTATAAAATGTGCAACTGCACTATAAAATGTGTAAATGGACGATAAAAATGTGTAAATGGATGGTAAAACCTATAACATGATTAGGAGAAAAACAGCGAAAGCTAGAGTAGCTTCTTTAAAAAATCGTGACTGGAGATTCGTCGGTTGGAAATCTCAATATATGTAAATATAACAGATCAATATAAAATTTTATAAAAGGTCATTGCAAAGATTTGTCGTTAAAGGTTTTTTGTTGATGACGTCTCTTTTTTTACAGCTCGGATTCTCCTGTCCTTTGGATCCGTATTGATCCAGAAGTGAATCTAATACGAAAAGTATCATTTAAACAATCTGACTTCATGTGGCATTTTCAGCTGAGGCATGAGCGTGACGTCATTGCCCAGGCTGAGGTAAATAGCTTCGTCCTTTTCTCAGGATAGGTGTTGAGATTGTAGAAACTCTTTGCATTCTTTCTCTGTCTTCCATGATACTGACCACAAAATGAGATCCTGACGAAATTTTTCTTTTATTTGTAAGGCTCTGGAAAACTTGATAAATTTCCCTACACGTCAAACTATGCAAGCATTTTTAGACGTGGCAAAACAGAAAGAATGTTTTTATCGAATCCGTGTGGATGCCATTGAAAAATTGGCTAAGGTAATCAACGATGCCTTGCACAAAGTGGATAATAGTGAAATTTTACCATATGAATGTGGAGTTCACACACCCCAACATACCCATACGAACCTCGCACACCCACGCACCCCAGTTGTACATTATTTGTCCACAGTAAGGTGCCCTTCTTTATTAATGAAAAATGACCTGAAAATCAAAACATAACCAGTTTTAATTTTCATTTGTTATATATTTTTCAGCTAAAAGGTGACGCTGGAGAAACGTGGAATGTTCATCAATCGCTCGTCACTATATTTCAGATGTTTTTTGGATCCGCTACCTGCCCGGAAATCGTTCGATACAACGATTTTTCCAATTTCATTGACTATTTTGTGCAAAAGGCAAGTGCTGAAACTCATCATTTTTATTTTATGAAAATAATTTTGAATGAATGAATGAATGAAAATTTTTATTTTGACACGCTGTCCTTGTCAATTGGGGTTGATTTCCACGAGGGGCGTGCTTTTGTTCAAAAACAATTACAAAATTTACTAAGAAACAAAATATAGAAGAGAAAGATAAGTTTAAATATTTGCAGAGTTTAGTTTATTCCATCAGTTACATGTTAAACTAAATCATAAAATGCAAGCAGCAATTTTCTTTTGAAAAAGTGACACGCTTTTGCTATTTCTGATTTCTGCTGGAATTGAAATCCAAACAGAAGCCCCATCATACGCAAAGCTTTTCTTCAAAGGAGTTGTTTTGTGATAATGTATATTTTAGGCTATAGTCTCATCGATTGGTTTTTGCCGAGATCAACACTCACAGTGCCCCAAAGCTGTTCGAGCATTTCTCCTTAATTTATTGAAATATAACGATAACAGATTGAATCGGGTAATTTTGATTTCAACCTTTCAATTTACTACTTTTTGTCCACCATGACAATCACCAAACTGGAAGCAACTGAGACATACACGGACACGAATGGATTACAGTATTCAAGTTATAAAGTTGAAACATATAAAGACACTACGGGATTAGAGTATACGTGGATTACTTTAGACTGTTCATGTTATAAAGTTGAAACTTACACAAGGACACCACGTGGATTCCTTTAGATGCGAGGATGTTCATAATAACTATATTTTTTTCAATAGTATTCTGATAGTTATTACGTCAGCTCTATCGTGAATGGTTTGATCAATAGCATTACTCCAACTGTGCCGATTGTTAACACAAGCGGGTAAATTCAAAGTTCTTTGTTCTTTTTTCTTGTCATCTGATTAATCATTTTTACATAATAAATTATCATAATTTATTAAATGGTTTTCATCTTTCAGGGAAGGAACTCCTACATTGAAACTGTCAGAGGAGTGCAGGGTTAACAACTGAAGAATTAATTTTTTACAATATAATCGTTATTCAGTTACAGAGATTATTCATGTTTTATTGGTTTGTTTAACAAGCCATTTTGAACTAGTCGTCCGTTAGAAGAACATTAGGTTTGACATGCATGATATCTCTGTCCGTGCGGACTTTTTTAACCGATCTATATCATTTCAATTATGCATTGACATTTGTTAAACAGAATGTTGTATTGTTGTTCAACTATTATATTATATTTCAGCTTGTGCTTTCGGAAATAACGAAGTACCTCAATTTAGAAAAACTTCTTCCATCCTACAAATATGTCGTCACTAGCAGGTTTACATTTTTATATATGGTTTGTCAAAAATTGACGTTTTTCTAATGTACATCAATCTTTATTGGGGGGGGGTTAAGTGTGTGGGTGGTATAATATTAAATGTCGAGGCTTGATATACTCTAACCTTTACTGGAGGGCGGGAAGGATGAGAGAAGGCTAGTGTAATATTGTGAATGTTAAGGCTTAATATACTCTAGTCTTCATGGACTGAGAGGAAGGTGGTCCCAGCTCTACTCCAGTTTTTACGAGAGCAGAGGATGGCCCTGATCTGTTCCAGTCCTTAGAGGAGAGAGGGGTGGCTTTGATATACTCTAGTCTTTGTGGGAGGGTAGGGTTGTCCTGATCTACTCCAGTTGTTACCTGAGAAAGGGGGTGGTAATATATGTTGAATCTTAGTCCTGATGTAGCTACTCTACTGGAGGGGTGATTTAATGTTGAGTTTAAATATATTTTAGGCTATTGTCTTGATGCCTTCAAACATTACATCAATGACTGCAGTGTATTATTTATATTTTAAACTTATATTGGTTCTTTTACATACTTTATTTCAAATATGTTAGCAATTTTGAATCGAATCCTTATATTTTTAGTTGTCTGAAAGGTCTGCGATTTCTACAGATCAACGCTCATATTCCTTCAGATCCTGATGTTTTTCAATATTATTCAAAGTATGCAAACATCCACGTTATTAATTGTTTTCGTCACATTTGACGTCATTTAATCACTTTCAATTTACTACAAATAAAATAGTACCAATATGCAATTTTTCTTGTAGTTCTTGAAATTAAGTACTATTGATTAAACACGTTAAAAATGTTTTCATTCTCTCCTTTCATGAACTTTAAGAGCTATTCAGAAAATTAAATTGAAATTATTTTCACTTTTTGTGTTTATAGATACGGTCATTTTGAGGATGTTCGTCTAACGGCGATTGAATGTTTAGCTGATATAATCCAAGGTCAAATAGTTCTTCACATGCATGCATTCTGCTTATCCAAGTAAATACTGCAGAGAGACAATTGTATCGAATGATTTGTCAATTTTCACACTTTCCAACGAATGATGATTTTTTTGGATTATCATTCCGTTGATTATTTGGCTGAATGATCAATGACCTGCAGAGGATCATTGAAACCCAAATCTGTTTTAGTAATATCATTTAATCTTGTTATGTTTGTAGCTGACAGTAATGAAGATGTTTTAGGATACTTATTGAACCTGGCAGAAATTGATCCTTCTTCTTTCATAAGGTACACCTATCTTGGATTGTGGCCAGTTTAATGAGTTGCTGTATCATTTCGGTTTATAAATAATATTTGTCATTTGCTATAGTTTTGTTGTTTGTTTTATATACTCGGGAACTCTTTCCGTACTACTTTTTCTCTGGGATCCTGTTTTGTAAAGTGATTCCTTTTCTCTAAAATTTAGACACTTTATTATACAAAAGTTGACGGAGAATCCTCCATTTACCAAAAAGTCAAATTCAAGACTGGATACCTTGTATTTGGTCAACAAACTTTGGACTGCTGCCAGGTTTTCCATTTTTTCTTACTTGAATGTAGACTTTCTCCAACTGTGTTTGATTTTAAAGCGAACTTTTAGCGTTTTGTAGCCAAATTCTAACCTTTCATTAATCGAGGGCGAGATATTTACGTCTTTGCTGTTTTGCATGGACTGGCTTTCACTTCTCTTGTTTTCGTCAATAAAAATAAATCCTTTGAAATTGTCGTTTGAACAATAAAACTCACTTTCCCAGTGATTTTCTTTCGACTCACATTCGCACATGGTTTTTTGTTTCGTTATTTTTTTTGCGTTTGGCTGTTTGCTCACGTAGTTTTTTCTACATCCTTTGTAAAACTACGTGTTTAAAACCGCCGGCGAAAATTTCTTTGAGCCAATCAATGCGCGCCATTTTCCCTGAAAGGACGTTTGCCATATAATAATGATTCTTAATCACCAGTTTCACTTGACTTTATCTAAAGAAGCACCGCATACTTCACTTGTTTTAAATCCCCTCGTGACTGTTTTCTTATAGACAAAACATTCGCTCTATATTTTTATTTTTAGCAAAAGTTCTTTCGACACTCGTTTAAGATGTGATTACATGGATTTGTACAATACTCTTTGGGGGAGAGTTTCTCCTGGTTGTGTTCCAGCGCAAGGAGTAAGTGCTAAGTGTCAACGTCCTTTAATGTGGCATATTTTAGGGATTTATAATGACAACCATTGCGAGAATTGTAACCATGTAAAATATGTGAATTGCGAGAGTCATAACAACACAGCGAAGAAAAGAACGCAAAGGTCTTGCAGTAAATCCAGAAACTATTTCCTCTTTTTGTAAACAATTAACTATAGTGCCAGGAGTTGTTTTTTAAAGTCAGAGAACGCTGTGAGCTGTTATTTTAAGTATTATTTTGTTAATGATGCTCTGCATGGAACGTCTAACTCAGACTTCCGTTTTGTTTTCTTTTATAGATGGGTGTTCTTATTGATTTGAAAGAAAAACGTATTACAAACTTTTCCTCATTAAATACTCCAAGTGGCAGCAAGATTTTTGAGGTTAGCTTACGATACTTTGTTTGAAATTTATTTGTTTTAGTTTGGAGATATTCAGATATCAGAGAAAATGTACTTAAATGATTGATTTGATGAAAATCTCTCTTTCAGATTATTCACCTATAATTAGTATCAGCATTTGTGTCTGCTTTTTATAAAAAATTGACTTGGTTTCATTCGTTTGTCAAGGAAGGAGATGTGAAGTCCGAAGATAGAAGTAAATTGAACTCAGAGACAATCGTCAAGGACATTCAACCATTGAGAACAGGTTTGAAGATTCAGCATAATTCTTCTTACAGAAAGATTATCAAGTTTGCTGAGAGATTTCTCCTATAGTGTTACTGTAGTCCAAATATATTTAGCAAAATTCGTATTTTTAATCAACATTTGTTTCGTGTTTGCATGTGTTGGTTTTTTGCTAACAACAGCATTAATCAACTCTTATATTTATTCCTTTATTTATATTATCATTGTACGTATTGCGAGGAGTAAATAGCTCCTTTTCAGTATTCCAAAAAGATTTTTTTGAGTATATCATTTCCTTGAAATGTGACAGCCTTTCATTTAAATTAATCATTTACATTTTGTTGCGTGTTTTAGTGATTAGATTCGTTTGCCTCAAAAAGCTTCAATAAACATTCTGTTTTTTAGAAAGCGATATTAGTAGCGCAGTTTCCGTCGAACCACCTTCATCTGGAAATTCAAAGCTGAAATTAAAGATTAAGGTAATATTATGAATATGTTTAAAGTCATTCGTTGGTATTGTTTCAAGTTGCGATTTTGCGCATTATATTTCTTTGCGCAGTTTCTTTGTTAACTTGTGACTAAATATGTGACGATTTACTCCGAAATAGGTGCAAGTAGATCCAGTTGCATTATGCCAAGCTATGACAAGTGGATTGCGCATGCTTGAGTCAACTTAGCATGCTCAGATGATTTCTCTAATAGTTTGTGACCAAGCGAGCTACTTACTTAGAAATTGACACAAGTAGGTAGATGCAGTTTGTTGCTGCATAATTATAAAGTCGAACAGTTGGGCTACGTAACTGCGCGCGAAGAGATGCAGAGGATTATAATGACTTCATTAGTTGGTCGAGTAGACTGCAAGTTTTCAGTTATCTACTATTTGCATGTATGTCTTTTTCATTTAGGCATCTATGTGTTAGCTCAATGAGCGTTACTGTCTTAAAAGCAAAGTAGTCAATACACTACCATAGACATTACGCTTTGGACAAAAAGAAAATTGCTTACATGTAACAGCTGGTTAAAGCAACTACTTTGTTTTTCTCAATCATTACATTTGCAGTCTTTCTCTTTAGCTTGGCGAAGAGGATGAAAATTCTGGCATTAATCAAGGCATAACTGACAGAGACGGTGCCTGGAAGACCCACGCGGAAGGAGGAGATCATGAAAGAAAGAAACACAAGAAAAAAAAGAAGAAAAAGCATAAAGAGGATCATATAAACAATTAACTTCATTTTTTTATACTCATGCATCTTGTCGACGAGAAAGAATTGAAGTTACAAAAACCACTACAATCTTGACATAAGAAAATATTTTAAGTTCCTGTAATAAGATCTTTTGCATACTTAGAGGTCACTTTGAAAAACACAACACTTTGTAAAAATCCATAATTTAGCTAAGAAAACAGGATCGATCTTTTACGTCATAAAAACTTAAAATTCATTGGACTCTGTTTTTATCAGCTTTAGAACATTCTGCCTCGTCATCTAGCGATACTATGTTTTGAGCTCTACCAGAAATGTCGTTGCTGTACCTCCAATACTTTAGGAGATACGATCTGCACAGGATTTTTCATATACATGTCCTATTAAGTTCTTTATGAAATATATTGTTTTCTATAAATTATATTATGCATATATGAATTTGAGCTCCCCCTCCTTAATTATCTAATGTACAACCTCTTAGAAACTATCTCAATGTTCACAAACTGTTTTTAAATGCATGTTATCAAATACAAGGGAATTTCGTGAAATTCATGTGGTACAAATTTATGTATGTATTTTGACAAATGCTGAACCGCTAGTTCAACTATTTATTATTCTAATTAGTGATCCTAATCCTAATCCTAATCCACACCAACCATCAATCTTTCAACTCGACAACAAAACAGGTGATAATTATTCAAGATGGCGATCCTGCGAACTTTCAATGACTGATCACACCATAATCACACGTATTGCAATAAGAGGGAGTTGTTTAGGAGATTAAACCTGTGAAGTGAATTTAATGGATGAGTTTGTTTTACAGTTTTGAAGATTCTAATAATGGGTATTTGAATTGGGCGTAAGGATGTCAATCAACTTGAGTTTTGTTGCTATTGTAATTTGTAAATAATAGATTATAGATATATCACCCATTTGGACAAAGAATGTCGGTGAGGAGAATTTCTTCTGTACATCTTGTCAAGCGAGTGAAACTTGTGTTAATTATGTGATACTTTTCAGAAACAAGGCTTGTGATTTCATTTTATTTAAAAATGGCAGGAAATATGTTACAAATTGCAGACATAATGCACGAAAGGACTTGGGCGATGTGTTTAGTGTGTGAGAGCAAAATAAAGTTTGAAAATCCACGTGATTTCGTTCACCATCTTCGTTCTGAACATTGCACGAAAGAAGGAGGATCATTTGTTTGTCGTTATGGGCCTAATGGTGTTTGTCCATCTTTACCAATCGAAGGTGTTAGTGATGAAGATTACGAGGCCCATGTTGAAAAACATCATGTTCGGTCAAAACCGAAAATTGGTGAGAAAGAAATCTGCTTTTCTATTCATTATCATTACTCTAAAGTTTGAGCATTTGTTGAAACAAAAACTTTGAAAAGATTTGAAAAGAAAAATTAGCTGAGTGATTGTGGAAAGCTTGATTGATTTTTATCTGTGTTTAATTTACTGATGGAGGAGCAATCTCACAGCAGTCACTTAGAAAAATGTTGGTATTGTTGACCTAACTGCTTCAAATTTGAAACTAGCATATTTCACATAAATTAACATGTTTTTGTGTACAGGGTATCCCAGAAAGATGGAACCCTTACAAATAATTGTGTATGCATTAAATGAAATCTGAATAAGATCTGTAGTTTGCAATAGCTAATTTTTCTGCCTGGCTAATTTAGTAACAAGCATGTCCCATGTTTACAGCAACCTAGGGAAAATATCATTACATTTTTTAGCCATTATAACTCAGTTACTGTCGTTTTGATGTTAAAAAGCTTTTGTGAGATAGCTGTGATAAATTGTGTGATAAATTTGCATAATCATTTCAGTGAATTCATAATTATATATGCAGGTTCTGTTTTTTGGGGGCACCCTGTATAATACAGAGGGAAGACTATAATTTTTATGGGAAAGGGGATAAGTATTCATTTATTCAGCTCCATAAACCTGATTGAAAATCCTAAAAACTGACAGCTGAATATATGAATATTCATCTCCACCCACTAGTTTGCCTTTCATGTATAAAATATATATCAAAATTGAAAATGTAATTTGTCATCATTTTTACGGAAATGTTTTATTCATAACTCTTGGTAAACTCTTGCTTATGCTAGTCATCCTAGCAGGCCTTCAACTTTTATCACATTTAAGTAGTTCACTACAATATTCTAAAAGTTCTTGTTTGTACCTGTTCTCATGCAAAATGCTTACATACCAAAACACACAAAAGACCATGTTCATATTTTTCTTTACAGATGTGCCTGAATCAAAGGAGGCTAAATCTTATGAAGTGAAGGCATTTGGATTTGTCCAACTGCCACCAATCTCTTTTAAAGAGGAGAAATGGACATTTTTCTCTGCAACTCAGAATATGGCAGCCGTTCTAAATGACCCCAATGAAAGGAAAAGGTCCAAAGAATTTTTTACTAAAACTTGGGGAGCAGAGTTTGAACCATGTGAAGTTCCACCTTTGACATTGTTACATGCAATTCCTAAACGATATTTCACAGATTATCTGAAGAGAATGCAACATGTAAGTGAGGAAATTAGTTTGGCTGGTTTATATTTCTCGATTATACCCTTTAATAGTCCTTTGGGGCATCATATTAACACTTTTGAAACCACAAATGGATCCAGGATTTGCTGAAGAACCGTTGTTTTGTGACCACATTTTTTTTTCTCATAGGAAATTATGAATGGTCATAAATGACAAGGTTCTTTTTAAAATTCATGTTTCTTAAAAAATTACTTCAATACGTTTGTCAATTTACGTATTCCAAGTGACGTAAATCATAACTGCTTCTTTCAAAACTTCCAATGTTTGTAAAGAAGCTCGTATACCATACAATCAAAGTGCAAAGTCAAAATTAATGTGCACCAAGATGAGAAAATACATAAACTTTGCAATATTAGGCAACGTGCTATATTTACGAAAAAGGTAGTTAATTTTGAGCTAATTTTAATTATTTAGCAACTTTTTGCATCAAAATCACTGATTGAGTGAAATGGTGTGCGAAATTATGATCGCAAACAACAAGTTCACTTCATTGGGACTTAAAAACATACTCATTTGTTGCGTTTGACAATACAGGTGTATTTCTACAGCAAACAATCCGTGCCTGAAATATTGATCGTTGATTATAGGTGGTCGCTAAACTCACGTTTTATGTAGCAAATTCTCTCACACGTGGTTTTAATGTCTTCCAATTGCAATGAAAAACGTCTCGCAGTAGTACAAATAAAACTTTATCATCTAATATTTTTCAGCGATTAAGGAATCACTACAGAATAAAAAAAAGTTTTGATGAGGCTGATTGTTCTGGCAACAGCAATCTACACATTAACTCTGCCATTACTGGTAAGATCATATCTTATTTTTTATATAAGTGAGTCGTTTTAACGCAACCCATCTTGCTGAAAATTGCTTCAATATCTATTACTGGTGAATAGAAGTTTTATGTGAATTGGTGGTATCTTAAGATACGTAAATAAACGTTACTGGATGTGTCTCGTATTTGTATGATGTTGTTTGATAATAAGACCTTTACTTCTTAGCTCTTTACAATAACTGTTTCATTAACTCAAACTGCATACTGGGTTGAATGATGTTTATTGGTGTGAAGAGATTTTCTTCCTATGGTCGTTTAACTTCATATGAAATTTTGAGCAATTTAGTTCACTTGTCTCCACACTCAGAAAAGAGCTGATTTAATCCCAAACTTACTCCTACAATACAATTTTCAGTAAAATTACTATAAATTTGTTTAGAAAATCAATTCCATTTCATTCATTGTTTTTCCTGCTAATAAATACAAAAATTTATGCATTGTATGCATTTATATGTGTTCGCTTCATTTCTGATCCAAGTTACGTATGTATATAACAAAATGTTTGTAAACGTCGATCGTCCGGGTTGGTATAGTCCTGAGAAGGACTGTTTTTGTTGTTGTTGACTGACGTTTCGACAACCTTAGCGGTAGTCATCTTTAGAGTCAAATGAGGAGTAAACGCTAAGGTTGTCGAAACGTCAGTCAACAACAACAAAAACAGTCCTTCTCAGGACTATACCAACCTGGACGATCGACGTTTACAAACATGTAACGATACTCCCGGGTTCAAACCATTTACTTTGTATAACAAAAGTCAAACTTGGGCAGTGATTTGCTGACGTTTCAATTTTTATTACAGAAAAATATTTGAAAGATCTTGATGTAGTCCCGAAGGTTTGTGTAAATTTTTATTTTTCTGCCATACTAGTTGTTGTCAACATTGTCACTAAGATGAACATTTTATATGTAGCAATAGTGTTTGGCTGATAAATGATTCCCTAGGTAACGAAAACTGCCGTTACATTTATAAAAAATGTTTGAATGAGTTTTAAAAAGACCAAATGTTTGAATGAGTTTTAAAAAGACCAAATGTTTGAATGAGTTTTAAAAAGACCAAATGTTTGAATGAGTTTTACAAAGACCAAATGTTTGAATGAGTTTTAAAAAGACCAAATGTTTGAATGAGTTTTAAAAAGACCAAATGTTTGAATGAGTTTTACAAAGACCAAATGTTTGAATGAGTTTTAAAAAGACCAAATGTTTGAATGAGTTTTAAAAAGACAAAATGATTGAATGAGTTTTAAAAAGACCAAATGTTTGAATGAGTTTTAAAAAGACAAAATGATTGAATGAGTTTTAAAAAGACCAAATGTTTGAATGAGTTTTAAAAAGACCAAATTAGAAAAGAAAACCACTTATATACAAATTTCTTTCAGAATCATCGAAAACTTATGTTTCTCTCGTAGTTCAGTCTTCACGTTTTTGGGTTATTAGGCTTTGTAATTCTGGTTTTAGCCAGTAAATTTCGATGCAGCGTAACTACATTATTTACCTGCAATTTCTTTTTGATATGCATCAAAATAGGACATTATGAGTTGTATGACTTAAGTAAAAGAATACTGATGTAGCTAAGACTGAGTTTATGTTTATAGGTTCTAAGTAAATAACAAAAATTACCTCAAATATGCAATTGAATGTGAAAATTAGAAACGATTTAGTTAAACGTGTTTTTGAATCTGACACTCTAGGAGTGACAAATGACGAGCATTTATCATGAAAAACTAAAAAATCTCAGCTCTTAAATGTTTAAAAGAATTTGCGGATTAACAAACACTTCTTTCCGTGTATATTGCTATCGTTCGCCCATATTTTGACTACTGCTGTGAGGTATGGGATGTGTTTGGAGAAACACAAACAAGGTTATGGCTATAAAACATACAAAACAGATGCTTTTCCTCCTTTCAAAACAAAATCGCTACTCACTTTGATCGACAACAAATTGTAAAAACTTCAATCACTTTATTTGTTATTTTATTCCTTCAATAATTTTTTTAGTCAGTCAATGCAATAGTATATTCCCTCACAATTTTGTAAATAGCTTTCAATTTCATCAGCTTCTATTGTCGAGGTTCACCGTGTTTAAATAAAGTCATTCTATTTATCTATCTACTGATCTCCATTGAATCTGGACTCCCTAGACCTTAAATAATTCACTGTGCTTTTAAATGAATAGCTGAACGTCCTTGCTATTTTTAGACGTTTATGGACGCTAATTTCTCATTGGAAGATCCAGAGACATTTCGAAATGTCATTCCCATGGCAAAGATTGACACAGTTGACCCAAAACATCGCCATCGTCATGCATTACTTACCGCACCAAAAAATTCACTGAAGCTAATGCAGGAAAAAGTAATTTTGTGTTTCTAAATATTTCTTACTTTTTGTTTTCGAATATTTGCAGTACACAAAACAGAGTTGGAAATAAGATCTTGTTTTATGGAGCGGAGGGTATTGTAGTGATTTAACATTAGAAATGATGAACGAAACATTTTTCATTTTTTGTCATCATATTCTTGTTTCACCCATGAAAGAATACTGTCTGTGCAAAATACATATTCCGTTGGGTTAGGAAAGGAGGGGGGGGGGTGAAATATGAATTATTTAGCTCCAAGATCGTAATAAACTTCAACATATCAGGGAGTATGTCAAGTTTCTACGAAGCATTAAATGGTTTGTGTTTTCCTTTTTAAGATATGTTTGTTTGTGTTTTAATTTACAGCTAACCCATTTTCTCGACATCACTGAAGTCGCTTTAGCACATCAGATATCATTGAGATCAGATGATTTCTTTCAAGCTGTCTCTTCGCAAGATCGCCTACAGGATGATGTTGGTTGCACCAACTCCGAAATCAAACATTTAAGGTGTTCATACGTAGAAATAAAATGTGATCATTAGGAATCATTGGGGATCAATATAAATAAGTTCATTAATGTATATTTAACGTATTCGTTGGGACCATTTAGTGTGATTGTTTTGGGGATTTTTGCGTAGGTTGGACTGTATGTTTTTCTTCACTCAAGAACAGTTTGCCTATCCAAAAAAAATTGGAAAAGTGTCTGGAGAAGTTTGAGCTTCGTATTGATGCTTTAGAATTTACAGCAACTTTTTTGAGAAATTGATTAAGAATCGAAATGTCTCAAGTGAGAAAATTGTTTCCTTGTGGTTTTACAACTTTTTAATTTATGCTCTCTTTTGTTTATACAGAAAAAAGATTGAAGAAGTTCGTTCAGTTTTATGTGGTGGTCATTTGAAGTTTATGCAACTTGCGAGACTACGCTCCAGATATCTTTGTGTTCATGACAAGGTTGCTCAAATATTATCTTTATTTTGACACATGAAAGATGATAGAAATATTTATCTGTTTAGTTGCATCTGTTTTCTAAGAATATTGTGTTTATTGATCATTTGTGTACACTATCATGCACTGTTTTGCATGAACAATGTGAAAGAATATTGATTGATCATTTGTGTACACTATCATTGCAATACAATGTGAAAGAATATTGAGGGTGATTGATCATTTGTGTACAATCATTGCATAGCATGAACAATGTGAAAGAATATTGAGGGTGTTCATTGATCATTTGTGTACACTATCATTGCACTGTTTGCGTAGCATGAACAATGTGAAAGAATATTGAGGGTGTTTAATGATCATTTGTGTACACTATCATTGCACGAATGTTCTACAACTTTCTTTAGTTGAAACTTATGGTGGCTGTGCAACAGACGCAACCAACAATACAACTTTTGTTATCTACCGGAGACTTTGTTGCTGCCTTAGATTTGATTTCAATGACACAAGAAGTTCTTCAACTCGAGTTGTGTGGCATTCAAAGTCTGAGGTAAATATGTTTAACTCATTTTTTGATTCTGAGTAAATTGAATTGGTCATCAAACAGTGCCAAAACATTGCCAAAAAGGATGCATGTGCCAATGTTTCACTAACGTTACCTTATGAAGTGCAAAATATAACACTAATATACATACACACGCACCCTCATCATAGACATTTAGGCTCGCAATTGGCTGAGCTTGAAAGAGTTATTGGACGGATGATGGAAACTGATTTTATTGAATTTGCGACGACGAATCTTTCAAAGCCACTCGAGGATTATGACGAAGACGATCACGTGATGGATGAGGTACATATATGTCTAGTATAGTTGGATGTACATTTCTAATTTTTATATTCAAATTAAAAGTTTCTGTCTTTATGCATGAGTGCAGTGTTATGTTTTTAGTTCATAAATAAAGTTCTAGCTGGCGCACTATAATTATGCAATTCATTTTTACAAAATTCTTCCAATTTGGCGTGCAAATATTTTTTGTATTTGTACTATGGTGATAATTTCAGTTATTTTTATTTAAGTCACGCTTTTCTATTTATTGATGAATTTATGAAATAGCTGATGTTTGCGAGTGAAATGATTAATGTATTATTTTAAATTTCGATTCTTTATTTATCTGCAAAAACATCAACAGCATTATGCATAATAGAAAGTTGATAGATTCATTAAGACTATGCTCAGCAATTCAGCAACTCAGAAACGTGCTAAAAAATAAACACGAACAGATGTTCACAAATGACCCACGTTTTGTGGTATAGTTATTTTCGGAAATTATCATCTTTCTCTTGTATGTTTCTTAGCCACATGATAAGTTTGATATTTCAACAAGAATTTGAATCTGCACTTTTTGTTGAATTGTTCGTAAAATCGTGTGTTGTTATTTTTACAGGAGCGGCTTGTGTCTGTGCTATTTGGCCTTCTCCGAAAACAGAAATTTCATTTCATGCGTACATATAAAGAAGAGGCATTTGCTACTATTAAAGACTCTGTAAAGGAGGTATGTCGAGTTTATGATGGTGAATGGTATGGTCTTTTTATTGTTCAGGTTATTTCAATTGCATCTTTCAAATGTATTTTGGAGAAATATAAGTCCGCGTCCTCTGCACGTGTTTTTGTTTTGACCATTAATTGCACTGTGATTTGTGACAATGTGTGTTATATTTTTATGTAGACTGCAAGAAATTTTATGTCGCAAATTTCTTTCACGGAAGAAAGGTATCCGTTTACTCAATGTTAATGTCAACTATGATGTACCACTTATTGTGATATTTGATAGACTTAAAAGTGTAAAGCGTTACGATGTCTGACGTATAACTATTGGACGTCTAACTATCGGTCTACTGAATAAAATTGAATAAAATCAGTTTGTCCTGGCAAGCTTTCTCATCTCTATTGCATTTAACTTTATTATACCTTTTTTCATTAACACCCAGCTTATTCATACTTCATCACTGACTTTACTATCGGGTGGATGTGTATTAGGGGCAATGTTCGGTTCTGTTTGTCCCGAAATCAAAGGTTTTATACAACTGGATTTCTTATTCCTGCAAATGCAACTGTTTTGATTGTGATTAAATTACAGTATTGCCTATTTTTCATCATATTCTACACGTTAATTGTTATTGTCTTTTTCATTTAGTAAAAATTTACGTCAAGCAATGCAATCTATGGTTTTCAAAAGTTGGTTGGAAATGTTAGAAGTTGTTTTCATAAATGCTTTGCAGACTATCAAGCGGATGAAGGTAGTTATTTATAATCTTATAGATAGGATTCAATAGTGTTGTTACGTTCACCATGCTTTCTTAAATGCATCCCATAATACATTTGTATGTTTGCTCCTGGCATTGTGATTAAATGTAAAATGATCTGGCTGCCTTGAATACCACACTGAGCTTGAAGTGTTTATTCCATGAAAGAACAACATTTTGAATAATTATCTTTTAGAGAGAATCAATTTTTACCATGTTTAAATAGTTTTATTTATAAATATGTTCCATTTAATGAATACACATGAAGATAAATAAATACTAGTATTATTATCACAAGAAGAAAATAAACTAACGAAATTTTATCAAAAAAGTCAGTCAGTCGTTTTAACTCATCTTTGCATTGCAATCAGAAAACTATATGATAAAAGTTTGTTTCAATAACATTTTAAATAGTTTCCTAAGGGATGTTTTATTAAAAAAATATATTCTTACATGTTGACTATGGAACATTCTTCTCAATTCTAGTTAATTTAAAATCCAACAGTTTCATTATAATATTTAACTTTTGCTAAAACTATGTTCCGATCAATCGGAAGTCACGAAAAGTTGTTTTCTCGACATTTCGAAATAACAGAAAGATCGAGTCAAAACAAATAAAAATTTTAATATTGAAATGTAAAATAAACTAATAAATATCGATTGTTGTCATTAAATTAAGAAAAGTTTTCCACTTTTGTTTGTTTGTTTTTTATTTAATTTTTGAAGTCTGGCTTGAAGAATTCTTAGAAATATTCCTTTCTCGTTATGACTGTGTATTTTTGATAGATTCTTCATCAAAGTTTTGTGAACGTGCTACATGTTGCCGCTGGTCAAGATCGTTCCTCGGCTGTTAACTCATTGAGTAATTCTTCGCAAACAAGGTAATGTTGCTTGATCGCTCTGCGATATTTATTTCCATTATTGTATTGCAATTTAACTATGTCGGTTTGCCAATGCAAAAGAACATTTAATTAATGTTTTTGGAGGCTCCAACTTGCTTAGGGAACATTGATTGGTAGGATTTTTATTGCAGTTCAAGTATTGTGTAGTTTTTTGTTTTGTGCACATTCTTTTGTTTGCATCTTTTTCTATGAAGATTGTATTCAAGTTTGTTTAAATGAGCAGAACTTATTGACGTGGTATGTGTTATCCTCTAGCAATGACCCGCTTATATCATCTCTTCAATGCGAAAAGTTAGTTAAAGAAAGTAAAGAAATACTAAGTGAAGCTGGTGACTTGGCTCAGGCTCGTTGTGTAAAATTAATTAACGTTAGAGCAAAAGTAAGTAAAAGTTGAATCACTCTGCGGATGGTTACTCGGGATAATTTTGAAATATGTTTGAACTATACAAGTGTACAAGCACTTCTGTTTGATTTCTTATCTTCCTTTATTGTTTTTCTACATAAAAACTTACCTAACTTTAGCTGGTGTGTACAAAAGCCTAGTATTTACCATCAGACAAACAAGGCTATAGAATAGTATGAAATGTGTGTGTCTATTGTTTTTGTGAAATGGTTTCTTTTTTTTCTTTCTTTCTTTCTTTCTTTTTTTTCTTTGTTTGTCTGTTTCTTGTTGTTATTCATTCATTCGTTCATTCGTTCATTTTTTAGGATGGCTTCTTAGATGGACTGGCGTCCACTGATTTTGTTTCTCTCTCAAGAAGCGTAGAACAGTTTGTAAGTGAATGTGAAGAAGTGAGTGGTCGACAGAGTTCTGCGTTAAGGACTTTGTTGGTGATGCAGGGTAAAAAATTCGTCGAGCAGTTTCACGACGAGAAGAAGCAAAAATTAAGGTGTGTTGACTGTTATCGGCCTTTGGTGCGTCCACCATATGCTTAAAAGCAAAGTAGCCTATGCACAACCAAAGACAACAAGTGGACAACAAGACAACAAGTGGTTATTTAGACTATAGCTTGTGATAAGTTTTATTATGTTTTTGTCATAAAGTCAATGGATGTTCTCCCCATGATACATGAATCAAATTAAATGGGAGTTAATGAATCAAATTAAATGGAGTTAATGGATAAATTAAAGAGATGTTTGAAATATTTTATGGTTGATTTAAATTACAAGTCAAAAAGCAATGTTTTTTCTCAAACTTTCCACTATTCTTGGATCTCTAGTTAGATTCTTTTTGCGGACGCAAAAAAAACAGTAGCACCACTTTTTTACAATGTTGTGGTTTTTGATGTCAATATTTTTTTAATGGGGAATTTTAGTTTCTCTCTGAATATACTGGAACACCAAACCTAGTTGTTCAGAGTTTAGGGTTTTTATATTTTGTTTTCGCTGCGTATCTGTAGTGTCCTTATGTAAACATGTTAAACGTCTTCTTCCCAGTTTGATTTTGGACAACGAGCGATGGAAGCAAGCCGATGTTCCTGCTGAATTTCAAACTCTTGTAGACTCTCTCGTTAACGGTAAGACTTGTGTTTTAGCTAAGTAAAGACGTATTGTGTTGTGAACATGTTTACATTTCATTTATTTATCGTGTTTCGTTGTTCGTATTTCATAATTATGTCTTTTAATGATAATTATCATTTATTGTAGGTGTTCCTGCCAGTAAACATGAATTATCTTCATTTCCTTCAGTAAAACAAGGTTCATTTACTTAATTGCACTTCAAGCGAGCGTAACTTTAAATTGTAAAATGGTTTTTGTGTGGGTTTTTTGTTTTGTGTAGGAAAACCTTTTTATTTTTTGTCGTTAATCACCTATGGAATTCTGTGACAATGCTTTCGTCGAGTGTTGTCAAAACTATTGCTTCATAACTCTTTTCATTGGAAATTTTTTACTAGATTCTCGCTTGTCGCAATCAAAATCACCTGCGAGCCATCTTGTCGTTAACGGCGAGAAGTTTGCTGTTGCGGGGTACGTTTTTGTTGGTTTATTAATTTAAAAGGATTAATTGTGCCTCCAAAGAAAGGCCATAAAGGCAATAAGAAAGGACCAGTTCTATAAAGGATCACTACGTTTTGCTAGTGCATGCCACAAATGACACAGCAACAGCAATTCAGCTACTGCAAATTTGATAAAAATTATATTTTGGGATTTTTTTAGAACATTATTGCTAGTTCTCAACATGATCGTAGAGTATTGCCAATGTGCGGACATATTTCCTATGTTAACAACTGATATCATGACCAAACTATTCGAGTTGATGAAGGTATGGTTTTCAGTAAATGTCACTCAAATATTTCTGTGTTGCCTGGCCTTTTTCTGAGTTCTCTCTACTAGTTTTGCCGTCAGTTTTAACTTGACTGGACTCTAGGTTATTTATATAGTAAGGCCACAACAGTCTGTAGGTTATTTATATAGTAAGGCCACAACAGACTCTAGGTTATTTATATAGTAAGGCCACAACAGACTGTAGGTTATTTATATAGTAAGGCCACAACAGACTGTAGGTTATTTATATAGTAAGGCCACAACAGGCTCTAGGTTATTTATATAGTAAGGCCACAACAGTATGTAGGTTATTTATATAGTAAGGCCACAACAGACTCTAGGTTATTTATATAGTAAGGCCACAACAGGCTCTAGGTTACTTATATAGTAAGGCCACAACAGTCTGTAGGTTATTTATATAGTAAGGCCACAACAGACTCTAGGTTATTTATGTAGTAAGGCCACAACAGGCTCTAGGTTACTTATATAGTAAGGCCACAACAGTCTAGGTTATACAGTAAGGCCACAACAGTCTGTAGGTTATATAGTAAGGCCACAACAGTCTGTAGGTTATTTATGTAGTAAGGCCACAACAGGCTCTAGGTTACTTATATAGTAAGGCCACAACAGTCTGTAGGTTTTATATAGTAAGGCCACAACAGTCTGTAGGTTATTTATATAGTAAGGCCACAACAGACTCTAGGTTATTTATATAGTAAGGCCACAACAGACTCTAGGTTATTTATATAGTAAGGCCACAACAGACTCTAGTTTATTTATGTAGTAAGGCCACAACAGACTCTAGGTTATTTATATAGTAAGGCCACAACAGGCTCTAGGTTACTTATATAGTAAGGCCACAACAGAACAATTCGCAAAATTATAATCCTTAGGTATATTTTAAGGTCATTTTGAAGAATCACTTTTCATTCATTGTAAATTTTAACCAAAGTCATAGCGCTTTCTCCCAAGAACGGAAGAACACAACCCCGAAAATTGTACCCAACAGCACCTCTTGCTAACACTTTAGAGAAATATTTAATATAAAGCCATTTAATTAAAGTTTAATTATTACTCTCTACGACATCATTTCTTTTTAATAGCCCAAAATAATGATTTGTTTGTCACGAAACCGTAACAAAAAACTAATGAATGCATTACCAAGGCTACCTTTGTTCTTTTGTTTTGTTATTTACATGAAATTATTTTTGTAGATGTTTAATTCAAGAACATGTCAACTGGTTCTTGGTGCTGGCGCATTGCAACTTGTTGGTTTGAAAACTATTACTGCAAAACATTTGGGTCTGTTTTTTTTTATCACATCATCACTCTTTATTAACTTAAGTGTTCATTCCCAGACCCTTGAGCTGATTTTTGTTTTGTAATTGCTGCAAATTTTGCATTACTGTTTGATGATATAAATTTATATGGAGTTGATTGTCAGCTCCTTTCCTTTTAGGGAGAACATTGAAATCAAGTCGTCATTTGCGTTGTCATTCTAAATTTGACATGTTTTCTTGTTTCTAGCTTTGGCATCTCGTTGCTTAGAAGTTGTAACGTTGCACATTGCTTTGTTTAAATCACATTTTGAACTTCGTCTTCCTCCTAAACATTATGTTCTGTTGGCACAATTCGATCAGATTCTTAAGGTAAGCATTTTCAACTAGCTTTACCAAGCATGCAGCAGGCAGTTTGAAAATATAATCTTGTAAACTCAACCAATAACCAACAAGAAAATGACAGGAAAAACAAGGAGTTGTTGAAATGGTCTCGCCTTCGAAATTATTTTAAATCGACCTCGAATTTACGATTTAAGATTTCCTTTGTCCCGCTCAGCATTATTTTTTATACGAATTTGACACCTAGATCAATTTCCGCATGAATGGACTTAAAACGCTAAGAACTTTTAGCGTCATCAGGTCAAAGCTTCAACTTCGCGAGAAAGTGCTGACCGACATTTTTACTACATTCCACTGGAAGCTTGCTTATCCTTTTGTTAATTTCTAGTTTTTACTGAGATCAACTTTTTGTTCTAGATGAATTAACTGTGATATTTGGTAATTTTTGTTTTTACAGGATTACAAAAACCATCGTAGTGAAATTTTTAGCAAAATGGCTGTCTTGATGGAAGAGCTTTTTGTAAATCAAATATCTTCTGTAGGTCCTTACGTTCTGCAGATAAACAGTTCAGTCTCACGGTCACCTTAACTTTGTTTTGTTTTTTAAAAGTATATTGTTCAATTTGCCTAATCATAAAGATAGTTTGATTGTTTAGAAAATATGTTTATAGTTGTTAATCGTCCACCAAAGTATAACACCACAAGTCTTTCTCACGACTTCATTAACATGGACGATCTACATTTACAAGGATATAACGTTACCCCTGCGTTCAAATCATTCATTATATTTATGTTTTATCCATTCCCTCAATGGTGTCCCATGATAAAAATTGAAAGTTATAACTTGCTACATTCTTTTAAATACAGTGGGAAGTCCGTCCGCCAATGCCTTCTCAAGTGATGAGAACTATTGTGAAACAAATCATTAAACTCCATGAAGCACTATGTTCCATACTACCAGTGAATCAAGTTGAGGTATATATTGTCGCTAGTGATGGTTTTGTTATGTGGAAGGAATGTGATAAATTTTAAGTTTTGAAAAACGTTGTCGCTTCTTATGTACATTTGCTTTTGAAATCAAAGTTATCTAAACTTTAATGTTAAAATTCAAAAGTATCTCATTTCTATTTTGTTATTCATACTGGTACCCTTATGTACTTTTGAAATAAATTTAATTTCGACGTGTACCTGTTAGTTATGATTCCTTAAAAACACGAAAGCCCGTCTTTTCATTTTGTAACGTGAACGGCGTTCCCATTTTCAAGATTTAAATTATCCTTGGAGCCATGGTCACTTTCATTAAAAACATTTTAACATGTGCACCACGAGTAGTGAAAAAGATGTTTTACAACACAATATAGTTTGCTTGAAACCATGCTTAGGCTACTGCAGACACATAAAACACTCATTGAAATTATCCCACCTTATAGATTGTCATAGAAGATGTGAAGAACTCATTTAAGAAAGTCTTGGCAAAGAAGTTAGCAAGCTTAGGAGTAAAGGATGATTTTGGACCCCAGCACGGGTAAATTTTTTGTGCATTTTCTATGACTTCGTGTTTTGGACTCGACATTGGTGAGCTAACTTTTCTAATGTTTCAATTATCGTTGTCGCCCTGTCATATTCTGTAAATTTTATTGCTACAGAAATAATCAAGTGAGAATCCACTATCATCCAAATCACCCACGAAATTAAATGAATCAATTGATATAGCATGAGCTCAAATGAAAGAAAGTGTTTTTTGATCTCTTTTTTGTCTTCTTTCTTGAAGGCTTGTGCAGTCTGACTTGGCGTATTTTTCCATTAATGTGAAATCTCTTCACGGCATGAAAAACGTTGAGAGCAGTTTAGTTGACTTATGGAGGCAAGTCAAAGAACTAAAAAATGGTAAAACTTTGTCAATTAGTGACAAGAAAATCTCACCAAATAGGTAACGTCAATAGAACTTTTGAGGGAATTTTGGGTAAATTTGATCAACAGCATGAATTATAAATAGTTGTTTAAAGCTCATTATTTTTTAAGTTAAAAGAAAGGCTGAACGATTTGTTTCTTGTTGTAATATTTGAACTGTGAAAAAATGATCAATGTTGAAGGTTGGGGGCTTGCTGAAACTTGGTTAAAACTAAGAAGAACGTATATATATTTTAAAATGTTTTCTTTAAAATTCGTGATCATGTATGAATGTGCTCTATTTTGCTTTATTTCAACATGAAAGATAAGGAAAAAATAAACTCAGAACATACAACACATAAAACAATACCTGCCAACGCATAACGATACATAGCAACATATGACGTGACATAAAAATACATAGCAACACTTAGCAACATATTACAACAAATATGAAAAACTAACGATACGGTGTTGAATACTTCTGATAGTTAAATGACTTAAACATTTAAAGATAAGACGAAATTCTTTGTTGGAAGGTTTTCCGAAACATCATTGTTGTTACATGTTTTTCTTTTAATTTCGTTTTTCATTGATAGAAAAAATAGTCATACAAAAGTGAGTTTTTTAAATAGCATACAGGTGTCAAAAGGTTTGCAAAACGTTTACGCGCCTTCTAAACAAAGACTCGACATACGTCTTGAAGCTTTTGAATGAACTGTTCGTGGGGATTTAACGTTAGTCCCAATAATTAAAGCTGCCAATATGCACTACAATACCACATTGGTTATGAATTTCCAAAGAATTACAATACTGTGCTGATTCGGCTGCTTTTAATGTGAATACATCCAACAATAAGCTTTTGCATTTTATTGTAACTTGTCCAGTGGTCCTAGTTCCACCAACGGAGTAAAAATTCAAAGAAAAACCGTTTTTCGTGACGTTAGGCACCTGTAAAATGCTAATAAGCATTTTCCAGTAGGTGCTAATTAAAATGGAATACTCTAGGCAACCCGGTGGCCATTAACGTCTATGATTTATCCTAGGGGAGTCGTTTGCTTCGTTTATTTGAAGACATTACGGATGGCGTTCGGGGACTGTTATTTCTGAATTGATATTTTTCATCGACCTTACAAATATAATATGGCAAAAGTTTTGTCCTTTCTTAGAATTAAGTATCTTATATTGCCAAACATTATTTCGCAAACCTTTATGTTGTGGCATTTTTTGTTTTTGTTTTTGTATTCAACTTTGTTGCAAAATTCATGTGTATTGACAGAGAGCCTCAATTTTTGTTTTGACGGAACTCAGAAAGGTTAGTGTGCTGTAATCTTAGTTGAAATTTGTTCTGTATCTGTATTTCAATCCATGATTTTAGATTTTCGCTTGTTTACCGAAGATAAAGTGATAGAAACTTTACAAGCTACGTCTGCCATTGAATGTGTGTATTATTGTTATCTACATCAGAGCAAATCGTGTAAATCCATAAACTTCAGAAAGCAATGTAGTTCTAATGATGACTCGAGAGAGAACTGTGAGTTACTTTCGGTAGTTGATTTAGACGAACCAACTGCTGTTTTAATGAACGACGAAAATTTTGATCATCTTGTTTTGCTGTCAACTAATGTGAGTTACGACTTTCATTACATGTTTGTAAACCATTCACATGTCAAACCATTACATGTTTCAAACCATTTACTTTATTACGACTTTCATGATAAACTTATTTTTAGCTAGGCCTAAAGCCTAAACACGTTCTGTTATTCTTCAGAGAAATATTTTAAAGCCATCTGCAAAATCGCCAACTTCATCTTCAGGTGAAAATTTATGAACTGCTCAAAATAACATATATTTGTCTAACTGCCTCTCAAGACAATTTACAATTTCATAAAGCGTGATTTTTCAACATTAGAATTTAAAGGAGAAAATTTAAGTATTGCTAAGTGAAGTACAATAACCTTTCTCGTTCATTTTAATGAAATGTCCGGGTATTCATTATTACGAGCAGGTGTGCGACGTTCAGCAGAATTAAGGAAAAGGCCTGGAAACTATTCCCAAATCCCATTATATCAAGAACGCCCATGTAATTAGATATGTTAATACCTCCAATGTTGAAAGCAGTTGCTTTCCATCTGCCAAGTGTGTATGGTTGGATAAATTGTTCCTAAACGAGTATTTATAATTGACAGATGTTCATAAACGCTTATGGCTGTTGAGAATGTATGTTTTTAATACACAAGTGATTTTTAACACAAACTGTCACGTGCAAACACATACTGTCGTAAAATATTTGCATATAAAATTTGAGCGATTTTTGTGTTGAAAGTTATAACCAGAAAGAGAAATGGCTAATGGCTTCCGTTAATAAGGTTATAAAATAAACACGATTTCCTAATTTTTCTAAAATTTCAACTTCTTATCCGCAAGTTCTCCAGTCAATAAGCAGCAAAACGTCTACATTCCTTACATAGTTAATTTTATATGTTACGCAAATTCGTAACTATTTTATAAATTCAAACAGCACATCTTGCAACTGTATCTCCAGGTGAATATCATGGCCGAATTTATGTATTAAACCGTATTAACTTATTTCATATATTTTTAATTGCATGTCTAGAGAGTACAGCAAAATCTTGTAAAGAACTCTTCGAAACCAACAGGTATTCTTTGTGACATTCAGTCTTTTTATTTGATATTACGTCATGCATGCATGGTCACGTGTTAGTTTCTGAAGTGGTGCTGTGTTCTATGTGATGTATCTATACGTACGCTTTTTTCGCTCCTCCGTTTCATAACCAATCATTACCAATCTATTTTTTTCATACTTCGTCTACCCTTTTTACAGCTAAATGCTTTCCTAATTTATATCTTTAACACTATTATATATCTTTTGTCCTTAGCATTTTGTTTTTGTCTCAAAATCACACTGTCGTTTCAATATCTTGCTGCATTATAATCGTTCTGGAATTGTTTTCATTAAAAATCAATGATATTTTCCCCAAATATGAATAACGGGCTTATATTGAAAGATTTGGGCTAACTTTCTCTTTAATAAAGCTCCCTTGAAGAGGGTGTGTACAAATTGAAATCAAAAGATGAATTGGGAACATATGAAGCGTACTGTTTCAAACGTCTCAACGACGAATGTAAGGGATTAGGCTGGACACTTGTGATGAAAATAGACGGACACAAGGTAAATGTATATGTGAAATATTTACTGATTTTCCATTTATTTTATTAGGAATGACGACATAATTCCTGTATTTAAGGAACATGTTTTGTAAAAATCTACGTAGGGATATGCTAATAAACTGTAGAGGTTGCATGGTGTGTGAGGCTTAATAATAAGGGGACGGGGCGGGTGGCTAAATTGTTAATTGCGTGAGCTGTAAGCCAGACGGCGCGGGTTCAATCCCGGCTCGTGGCACATTTGGCAATGTGTCTGTAAACCTAGCCCGGGTTAACCAAAGCCATGTGAGGGAAATTTGGTAGAGGAAACTATGTCCTCGGATGGACTGTATCTGCATCTGCAATGTTGCAGCCTTGTCACACTGTGTCACGCTGATATCAGCGTTGTGGTTGCGTGAAGGGTACGAGTGATTGTAGTCTGGTCAGCTGCCTTCACTATAAGTGACCAGGATGTTCCACTTTGTGGAACCCTCATACGTCGAAATCGACGGAGTCCATTAAAAAAAAGAGGCTTAATATCTTTCAAGATGTGCAACGTAATGTGCCTTCCCTCACAAGATATTATGTAAATATATATACTTGTGATCGCTAAGTTAGTTTTACGCTTCGAGAACTTTTGATGAATTATTTTGCTTTAATTAACACTAAAACACCAAAATGACAGAGGAATCAATAAAACTAAAAATTTGGGTAAAACTTAGCTTAGACGTGGTTATATTTTAAAATATCCACATTTGAGGCTTGTCTAATACGAAGTAACTTGTGTTTTTTTTTTCTTTAAGGATACATTTCTGTTTGATTCGTCCTTGTGGACAAACAAAGAAACTTTTCACGTTGAAAACGGTTTGAATGGTTTGAATGAAAATGAAACAAAAATGCCATCTTATTGGAACACTCCATTTGAAAAAATATGTCTTCGTATGAAACATAACGATAAATTAGAATCGGTTATTATTAGGAAGGAAGCTCCTTCACTTCATTCTTTGATTGCAGATGACTCTTTTATTGCAACTGATGTTAAAAAGCAAATTGGAAAGGATTGATTCATGGCTCAGAATTGCAAAAAAATTGTAACAAGGAGGGATTTAACATTCAAGAAGGTATAAGTTCACGACGTGCGTTGGTTCGATTAGGATTTGTTGCAAATAATGAAGATCAATGCAAACTTGTAATTCTTTCATTGGCTTTGGTGGGTCAGTTGTTGGTTGTAATGATGAAAAACGTCAAACTGCATGTGGCAATATTTACGATTGTGGTAAAAATTACCAAAATTTAGCATTTGGTTTTATATTAGTTCATTAGAGTTCATTTTGAAAGTTTTGAACAAAAAATCGATTGCAGATTTTGGCAATGTCAGATATTTGTGATTGGAAAATGATGTTTCGTAAAGATAATAAGCAATACAATAAAACATAAAAGCAATACGAGATGAGAATAAAAAGTCAGATTATGCATATGTATATAAGCTTAATAAGGATTAAAAACAAAGTTTGTTGTACAGAGAATCAATGATTTGTGTTGACAAAAGTAACCTGATGAATTCTGATACGAGAGACAGAATTGAAGACATGTTTGCCGCTAGTTTTGATTCTGAAATCATTCAGCGAAATGAAGAGGAAAATGCAGTGAAAAAACGCTGTGAATAATTCAGTTGGAGATTTTGAGCTGTGTGAACTTGTTCGAAGATAAGATAAAAATTTTCATAAAACCATTGACGACTTTAATTATTTGCTGAATATCGACTCATTGGCTCGTGTCCTGGTAGTGTCGACTACCATCTACATTCTTTCAAATATCTGTTTGAATGATGGGGAAATGGTGAGATACTGAAATAGATCGAACAGTAGATGACCATACATGTCATAGTGATGTGCGATACCGCTAGTATCGATTCGATACGATGCCGATTACTTTTTCCTAAAAGTATCGAGGTATCGATTACTAAAGCGATTACTTTCTCCAATTTCGAAAATAAACGTCTGAGACACATAAAGATCTGATAATGGAATTGCTAAAGTGTGGCCTTATATACTTCAACAATACGACGAAATTTTTACTTTTCTTGTCTTAAATTACAAACTGTCATAACATTATTTAGGAGTAACGATAAATTTTCAGAAGCTGTATAAATTTGAATTGGAAAAAATGGTTACATGTTATTATTCTGAAGGCGAGATCTCGAAGTGTATTGATTAAAAGTGAATAAAATATTAAAATAATAAAACAGAAAAAAACAACATGTTTGTCAAAACCAATAATGAAAAGGAAGACAAACTTACATAATAATGAAATTTTAAAAGTAATCGAAGTCCTTTTTCGATACCAGGCAGTATCGACTACTTCCGGATTAGGCTCGGTATCGGGCGGTATCGATACCAAGTAATCGGTAATCGCCCATCACTAATAGATGACGCAGCGCACCGTCATTTGACTCCATCCAGAGGGTTTTTTCTGATTTTCTGAGTATTTCTAAACAAGGAATATTTACTATAATTAGCTTTAAAAATGACTTCAAAACACTTGGGGATTGGCGATCCAAAACCTCCGTTTGATCCAACGAAAAAGTTTCGCTTGTACAGCATGAGATTTTGTCCTTTCTCGCAGGTAATATATATTTTAGGATGAAGTTGGCTTTGAAAGATGCGTATAAACTTTTGAATGAGTTTCGCGTTTGTCGAATACATGATGAGAAAAATGCAAGGCAGGATAGTCTGAAATGGTCCTCCTGTAGGTTTGTTATTATTTGGTCTTTGAAGTCACAGTTACATGGTCATCACTGTGACTTTGTCGCAATTTTGGCAAATGGTAACTTTTAAAGAAACCTATTTAATTTCTTTGTTTTACAAAATTGCCTTCATGCATGGCTCAAATTATTTAAAAAAGTATTTTTTTACTTGCGGATTGATAATGATTAATTTGTTTTGTAAATTATGCAGAGAGGAAGATTAGTTGCAGCTGCGAAAGGTGTCAAAGACTTTGAGATTGTGAACCTCAAGCTACGTGAAGAGCTTCCTGAATGGTACAGTACCATCAATCCAGCTCGTTCAGTTCCTCTCATAGAGTTTCCTGATGGTCTAGTCATTGGTGAATCTCTTATTGTTGCAGGTATTGAAAATTACAATATGAACATTACCAAATGACAATTTGCATTTTTTTTGGATTTCATTATTCATAAAAGTTTTTAAAACTGAAAAAACTTCTTGTTTTTATTTTTTGAAATTTTCAATAGAAAGATAAAAAATGTATGCATATGACAGTTTGAAATCTGATCAATTTGTGGTTTTGACAATGAATGATTAGCATTAACATGTCTGAAGCATTCTAACTGTTTTTGCCTAGTTTTTGTCAAGTCTTAGATTCAATCAATTTAATTTTCTTCCCTTCGCTCATTGTAGAGTTAATTGATGAAATGTATCCTGATAATATTCTGCAGTCAAAAGATCCAATTACAAAAGCAAAACAGAAACTTTTCATTGACAAATGTGGTAAAACGGTGAGTTTGTATGATCCTCATTAAACTTCATTACTAATGAAATCTGATTTTCAATCTAATGTGTTTTAAAAGAAGAGGGTCATAACTTGGATCTCAAAAAATGTGGGATGGGAATTAATTTGTCTAGCAATTTCAAATAAAATCATTTATTTATAAAATTTTGTCAAAAATTTCATTAGTTAAAATGTTTCATGTATGAATTTGAAAAAATTTATTTCTTCTGTGTACACTTTCTGGCTAGATGAGTTACAATGTTTTACCTGACCAGACTTTTAAATTTAAAATTATTTGTTGGAGAGCCATCACCGCCAGATCTTTTGATGAATATATTGTTTAAATACCTCCTTCTTAGGCCTCATTTACATGAGCCCGGGTTGACATCCAGCCAGGTCAACCCATCTCTTAATAAGTTCCTATTAATGTTTAGATGATAGCTTGGTCAATTTACCAACCTGGTGCACACTTCAAAAGACCTGGGGCACCCTTCAAAAACCTGGGTACCCTTCAAAAGACCTGGGAACCCTTCAAAAGACCTGGGTTAGCAAGGTGTTAGGGCTTTAAATATAGCTAATTTCTTCATGTCAACTCCTGTTGATTTGTCTTCGGTTCTATTTTCAAGCTAACCCAGGCTGAGAAATTATGATCCGGGTTGACTAAAATCAGTTTGAGCCTGTATTTGTGTAAACATAACCACCTATCTTAGTCTGACCTGGGTTAAATATCAACCCAGGCTTGTGTAAATGTGGCCTTAGTGTGAGTGTCATCATAAAGATGTGCATGTTTTCAGAAAAGTTTGTTGATACTTGACCTTTAAAATATTGTGGGACAAAATTTTTTTTTGTTTTAATATCATTACAAAATTTTCTTTATATGGAGAACTCATTATTGATTACAATACGTTTTGTATTGAAGAAAAGTTACAAATGTTAAAATCTAAGTAGCATCACTTTTGACTTACAATCCATGGAGAAAGAGTGAGTTGTTATGTTAAAGGAAATCATTGACAAAGTAAGTCACTCTTATCGTCAAAACATTGAATCGTGCATAACTACAAATTTCATAGTTATTTTCTGGTTAATATTGCTCAGTTAAAAAATATTCGGTTTTTCTACTTACATCCACTCACCATGTCAACATTTCTCTTCGTGTTTCTTAAAGGAAAGTTCTACTCCATAGTTTCAATTATTTTCTTAACTAAAACTGACGGTATTTTTTTAACCAACCTCATGCATGAGCTATGCCCGACAATTTATTCCGAATTCGTTTCAGTCAAAGTGAAATGCTACTTGTCGTAGATACGTTGTCTGGCAGTTATTTCAATGTGGAATCTTTGTATTTTCTGACAGTTCATTCCAGCCTACTTCAAGTATCTGAAACAAAGAACTGAGGAAATGAAAGAGGAACTTATAAAGAATCTCTCAATTATGGAACAATGTTTGATTGACTGCAAAACCAAGTATTTTGCAGGTTGTTTAATGTAGTCCGAAAATAATTTTTAATACACCAAGTAATTCTCTAATGACGAGAAAAGTTTTCACAATTTTTTCCCCAGATTATATTTAATATTATACGAAAACTTTGTGTGGGTATGGGTGTAAAGTCAGAGTCAGACGTGGGTGGGTATGGGTGTAAAGTCAGAGTCAGACGTGTGTAAAGTCAGAGTCAGACGTAAAGTCAGAGTCAGACGTGTAAAGTCAGAGTCAGACGTGTAAAGTCAGAGTCAGACGTAAAGTCAGAGTCAGACGTGTAAAGTCAGAGTCAGACGTGTAAAGTCAGAGTCAGACGTGTGTAAAGTCAGAGTCAGATGTAAAGTCAGAGTCAGACGTAAAGTCAGAGTCAGACGTGTGTAAAGTCAGAGTCAGACGTGTGTAAAGTCAGAGTCAGACGTGTGTATAGTCAGAGTCAGACGTGTGTAAAGTCAGAGTCACACGTGTGTGAGTGTGTGGAAAAGAGTCAGGCATTAATGGCCTACCACTTGGACACTTTTCGGATTGTACAAGCGTTTGCAAAGCGTACATACAAAAATGGCCAATACTTCAAGTATCTGCTTATCCTGGTCTCGCCAACATAGGTTTTTGTAAATTGATTTTTATATCTTGGAATCAGTTTGGTTGTCTAAATGTTCCTATGTTTTATTTGCTGTTCTTTGTGTATGATGTTACCGAAATCTCCTTTTTGTATAGGAGACAAGGTGGGAATGGTAGATTACATGGTGTGGCCTTGGTTTGAACGTCTTCCAGTAATGTATACGCTGTCAGCAGATCTTCATCCAAATCTGACAAATTGGTGTAAACTGATGTATGATGATCCGGCTGTGAAAGAAACTTCTTCCTCCAAAGAATTATACATGAAGTTCTTTGATGCATATCTTGGTCCAGGTAAAACTTTGTTTGACTTCTAATGTGAAATAATCTTTATATTTTTTGCAATGAGTCAATCAAGGAAATTTAGAATGAAAACACGCAAACAAACATGTTATCAGTTAATCTTTACATACATGCTCTGTGAAGTTTATGTAGTTGTGGTTACGGTGCATCGAGCTTTAGCGCAAGCATTGCAAATTATTTTTTTCGATATTGACGGAATATGTTCTTCATATCTCTTCACAAAATTGCAAAATTTCAGACGTCTGCAGGAATTTAAAATAAAGTTATAAAGCTTAAATTAGAGTTAGGAGTTAGTACTATGGTAAAGAAAACGATTAGTAATACAAATAATGGGATTGTGACAGTGAGTAGTTAAGAGCAATTGTCTATGGTAATAGGCCTAGCGTGTTAATCTTCGTGCTGTTGTAAGTTTTAGTGCTGGTGAAACGTTGGCATGATCGATTCCTTTCAATGCCTCTAAACTTCTAAGGATCACCTCATGAATTGTGTTGTACGTCATGTGCATTACTTTTGCACTCAACCGAATTGGACGCAACATTGATTGTAAGGCACAATTTCAATAACGATTCATACAGTTAAATCTAATGAATTTAATAACATTCTGTTCCCGTTTTACCTTCAAACGACTCACGTCTTATGAAAGAATGTGTGTTATCAAGTGGTCTTTATGTGTGCAATACGTCATGACTGCCAAGTTGGATGATTTTGACAAAGGTTTTTCTCATGTACTATGGAAATGTTATTCAATACGGCGAAAATTATTTTGTTCTTTCACCCTCTGGAAAAGAATGTGTGAATGTGTGAAATGCATGAATTATAGTTGTTATGTAAAAAAGTGTGAAAATGTATGAAAATGGGTGAATTATAGTCTTTATTTGTAAAAATGAGAAAATGGATGAAAATGTGTGACATTTAGTCAATTCATCACTTCTATGATTTCTTTACACTCCAGCTCAATTATTAAGCTCAGTGTGAAAGGTTGATAGTAAAAATTTAAGTCCCCAATCTCCATGACAGCAGCGTGGTTTTAAAATGTTGTGTTGGTTGTGTTGTGAACAGGTGAAACGAAATGTCAAAATAAGTAATGATTTTAAACTTTTTCAGGAAGTGTACTCAAGAAAGTTGACATAAGTGCATTATTGACATCAAAACGAGAAAATGGTGAGTATCTTGAATCTTTTTAGTTCTAAAATTTGAACAAATGCAAAGTCTGTCAGTCTGAGTCTATGTGTGTTCAATTTGCACTATTCTTATTCCACCGGTTTGTGTTTCTCACAGTTACCAGTTCATCTGAATAACCAATGGATTTGGAAGGACGAGACTGATACATTGGAACTCGTCAAAAACACTAGGTTCTTTCTAAGTATTCGTTTCTTCGCATTCATATTAAATGAATGATTTTGAATCTTACAAAATTCATTGTCAAACAGCTATTCAGAACTCGCCACATCAGACAAGAAAGTTTCAAAGCCACAGACAGCTGCACATCAAAGACAAAATGATAGGTATAACTGAAAGGTTGTTAAATTTGTATAAACCATAGCAACTTGGGACTCAAACTGCAAGTTATATAGAATTGTATGTTACACTGCAATCAACTGTAGGAAGAAATGTATGTTGTACATTTACCAATCAGAGAAGTACTATGTGCTATACCATTATGAAGACACTTTATGTGTAGGATTGCTGTGTTGGATTCATTTGGGAAATATTGTGGAAGATATAATGTGGCTACATCAGTGAGAATTTCATCAGCACGACCAGGAGTTCTGGAACATGATTTTGTCACCTTACATGATGTTAAAATGGCTGCCAAAAACATTTTTAAGACAAATAAGAATAACCTGTTGTTTTCAGACTTGTATTTTGGGTAGGAATTGTTAAGCACCATGGCACTATATGACAAACCATTGATATATTTATGTTTTTTAGCTCTGTTCAACTTGATAATTTTCTTTATGCCATTCTTCATTATTTTGATGCTTTCTTTGAGAGAAAGACATTGGAAGAAAAAGCAAAACCAATGGCTGTGTAAGTATAGTTTACCTATCATACATATCAGCAGAAAACTACAATTGATGGATGGAAAGTGAACTTGTTAAGATTGAAAATGTCATTTGATGTTTTTTAGTCAATAAACATCACCAAATGAAGTCTGAGAACTTTTAGCAAAGTAGAACTGAAGTCTAAGAACTTTTAGCAATGTAGAACTTAGGTTTGAGAACTTTTAACATAGTTGAACTGAAGTGTTGAGAACTTTAAACAAAATAGAACTGAAGTCTAAGAAATTTTAGCAAAGTAAAATTGAAGTCTAAGAACTTTTAGCAATGTAGAACTTAAGTTTGAGAACTTTTAACATAGTTGAACTAAAGTGTTGAGAACTTTAAACAAAGTAGAACTGAAGTCTAAGAAATTTTAGCAAAGTAAAACTGAAGTCTAAGAACTTTTAGCAATGTAGAACTTAAGTTTGAGAACTTTTAACAATGTAGAACTTAAGTTTGAGAACTTTTAACATAGTTGAACTGAAGTGTTGAGAACTTTAAACAAAGTAGAACTGAAGTCTAAGAAATTTGTTTTGCTTGTAGACAAAGAAGCACAAATGAAAAAGGCCATTGCATTAACATTGAAGAAAGAGGAACAGGCAAAACAATCTCTTGCACAATTTTATGGAGTTTTACTGTTGGGTTTAGGATTAGAAGATGCTCATCATATGAACTGTGGAAGGTATTCTCCATTTTAATATAAAACATTGGAGTTTCTACATTTCACTGGTTGCGTTTTTGATTTTTTTCAATTAAAAGGAAACGAAACTCAGCCGGACATAAAGATCGTAATCTGTATGAGGTAAAATTTACTGTAAATAGGAATTGAAACCTCAAATAAAATGATTAAATATTCTGTTTTCTTTAAAGAATTTATATAGTTTTGCTGAGTTAGTAAGTTGGATAGCATTTCGAAGACCTGACATTACTATTATCAAATGTGAATTGGGCAGGTATGATAGCTGTCTCATTAATCAATATTTGTTTTCTAATTTCTTTAATTCTCATCCTTTCCCTATTTTTATTTTGTAGACTACTGCGTTCGCAAACATTCAATCCAGCAACAAGACCAAAGCAGGTCCAAGGTAGTAGCTAACCATGAACGAAGTGTGGCATGTGCTAGCTTGTACAGCGTTATTCACTCTAAGTCCAGCGTTATTCACTCTAAGTCCAGCGTTATTCACTCTAAGTCCAGCGTTATTCACTCTAAGTCCAGCGTTATTCACTCTAAGTCCAGCGTTATTCACTCTAAGTCCAGCGTTATTCACTCTAAGTCCAGCGTTATTCACTCTAAGTCCAGCGTTATTCACTCTAAGTCCAGCGTTATTCACTCTAAGTCCAGCGTTATTTACTCTATTGCGACTTTCTTGCCTATGGACCAGTTTCAAATGCCAGCTTTTTTCCTTTCAAAAGATTTTGCGGATATTTGCTTCAGATAACTGGCCACAAGTCCCCATGGGTAGCAACTAACTTTAGTTTTTTCGTACAGAAATTTACGCTAAAGATCGCCTGAAAAATGATGATTTTAAAGTTTCTCTTTCTCCAGCCGAATATCGAAGGCTTCAACCGTATGTCATGTTAATAAAATTCTCTCGATTGCATGTTAAAGTTTTTCGATGACGTTATAAATACAGTCTAAAGATGTTTTATGTTCCGTTTTAAAGGAAAAGACCGGCCATCAAGTCCATAGTTAAGTAAGATTTAAATACGATGGACTTAAAAGTTTTGCTAAGACTATTGAATTTCTGTGTTTTGATGTTTTAGTCAAAGATCTCCCGTCATCTCAGCATTGATACCAACTTCTAGTGAGGCAGCGAGACAACGTAGAAATAGACAAGACAAAGATATAACGACGTAAAATTACCAAAATTTTAACAAGGGGTGATCTCTTATACATATTCCTACTACCAAAACTAGACATAGAACTTTAGCGTTAGGGGGGAGGTCCTGTCCCCCGAGCTGTCCCTACGCCTTAGAGAGTACAGGGCAAAATATGAAAAATTCTTTGTATGAAACATTGTTGTCTTAAAGTAAATGGTTTGAACCCGGGAGTATCGTTACAGAGTCAAAGGTGACTACCGCTAAGGTTGTCGAAACGTCAGTCAACAACAACAAAAACAGTCCTTCTCAGGACTATACCACCTGGACGATCTACATTTACAAACATGTAGCATTGTTGTCTTATTAAAGAATTAATATTTACTGCATATCTTTTTGTTATACAGGGAGTATAAATGCTCAATGGAACGTCCTAAAAAGTTAGTATAACAGATATTTTAACGAAATAGTTACGTCACAATCATGTACCGTTCCTGTTTACGAGAAACCTTTGAAATAATGTACGGCTCAATTCACTTGTAGAGTGGGTATCATTGGTGAGCCATTAATCAGATTTAATCCCGAAACTCTGATCGAATTGGGGGATCCAGAAACGAATCACTCAGAACAACTAAAGGATGACGCATGCAGTAATAATGAAAGGTAAATTTTTGTTTCTCCATTGAGACAGTTGTTAATATGGTGCTACGTAAGTGGCGTAGTCAGCCTGCTTGTTTGGTCCTGTTATGCTAATTTTTCTATGTTCACTCACTGCAAATAGATTTCTAAAGAAATGAATAATGAAAATTGCCTGGCATTTACGTACATAACAGGACTAAAACTTGCGTGTTGTGTAAGCTACTCATTTCTCCGTTACTGGAGATTAATTTTACATAATTTCTATTCCTTAACAGCAATAATATAGCTGCTGATCAAACTTGACTAAAGATAAATTGTTCAAGTGTTGAAAGACATTTAGTTGAGATGGTATGTCAACATTATTTTTGAAATATATTACGCTCAAGTTAAGCTTGTCTTAATAGCTTTCATCCATAATGCAACAGCTACTGCGCCAGGATCCGGTTCTGTCAGTTTACTCGAACATATATAACTAGCTCGGCCAGCTTGAGCCTTCATTCCAGCGGTTTTTTGCGACCCTTCCTCTGCTGCCTACAACAAGCGCTCAAATTGTTAATTTTGATACATTTCTACCCGAGACTGATGCTTTTTGACGATACCTGTACTGCAGCTTCAAAAGCGTTAAACGGATCACTATTTCTTTCCAATGCTGAACGAAAGTTCACACTAGCAGGGCACAATGCATCGAGCTGTAAATTCAATTTTATTTGAAGTGCTTGAAAATTTATTGACTCTGCTGAAATGGGACAAATGAGAAAGGTTATAGTATATTTTGTTGCTTACCATTGTCCTATCGCCTTCTTCAGCTTGGCCATATCTGAAATAATGAAAAATTTGAGTTTATGCATGATAAATATATCATTAAAAATTTCATATCAACGAACCTTTTTATTCCCTCAATGCCACACTCTAAAGCCTTACACCACTGCAATGGACTTATGTCTTCTACATTTTTAATTGGCTCAACGCCTGCCAGGATAAATATGCTATAAAACTGTAAGCATAAACAATGTCGTGCAATCGAATTAGCTGCGACTTTTTCAAAAACATACACCCTACCGCTCCTGAGGATCCCCCCATAGTGTCTTGAATAATGTTAGCAACACGAAGTAAGGCATTGTATGGTGAGTTCCACGGAATTTTTTTCATGCTTACTTTTATAGCTATAGGTAAATGAACGAAATTAGCGGTTAAAGTAATGGTTAGTGTTTGTCATTATATCACTCTCTTACCTTGTGTGGCACATTTTAACGTACTACCACAATCACCATCACCAGACAGACGATCAAGCTCATTTAGGTAATTTTCATTGTCTTCCAAATTTTCAATGATCTTTAAAAAACAATTCGACAAAACGTGACCTTATAAGAATTAAAAAAAAAACACGTAATAATGACAGGATAGCACGCATATCTTTTACTAAACGTTGTTTTTGTTCTAACCTGTTGAAGTAAGGTCTTCTTCTGCTTCCACGATGTCTGAATCTTTGATCAATCCATTCATTTCTTGTTCTTCATCGCTAACACCGTATGTTCTTGACCATCCCGGCATTTCTGTTTCATAATCTACGTAAAAGCAATTGATAAAAATCAAATGTCAAAACAAATAATGAATGTTGGAACAGTAAAACAACTGAATATAACATACCTAAAAACTGTTTTCTTTCTTTGTTTAAATGCAGCAATGTTAATGAAACTCCCGCCATTTCCAGTGATGTCATGAACGTTCCAACATACAACCTTTCTACGACGGCATCTTTTACAGTCTCTTTTCAAAACCGTAATAGTTCCAGTTAGTGAACGTGTATATGGTCAGTATGCGCATAGTCACGTGGCTCTACTTTACTTACCCAAGTATTTTACAGCATCTTTGCAACAATATAAAAGTTCTATGCCGTAACTCCGAGATTGTTCACCATCACACCAATTTTATCATCTCAAAGACAAACATACCTTGTATGTTTTATTCAATTAACATTGATCTAGCTTACAAACAGAATTTAACAAGATACAAACACACTTTTTCTCAAACAAAACTTGGCAGAGTTCTTTTTATCCTCCGTGCACATATGCTCTATCATCATTTCGACCAATTCTTTCGAAGTGGATAGCTTAATGATATGAGTATAAGGGGAATTTAGGTGTGTATGAATAAAACTATTTATTGCAGATTAAACCATGAAGTTTTCATGAATTATGAATTGATAACCTTAATAGTCTTTACTCCTTTCTCGCCATGAATACCTTTCATCAAAGTAAAAAAAGATTAACAACGTATATTGCGTTGTTTTTTTATGGATATTTTAACTTACCCAGGCCAAGCTCGATTTCATCTCTTGCAAGATGAAATGAAGGTTCGAACCAGGCAATGTACATGCTGATAAAGTCACTGCTATTGTACCTATGAGGTTATTAAATATCATGCAGATTTCATTTATGATAAATGAGTAGAGGAAAATTCATCGATATAAAACGTTTTGTTATTTACAGGAAGAATGCGGTTATAAACGTAAGAAAGAGCTGCGTGTGGCACGCGACAGTAATTATCTCGATGGTTTTTGCCACGTTTAAAGCAAGAAAAGGAAAATTCAAAAATGATTTAATATCTTTATTTCCTCACCCATGTTTAACACGCTTTTACGCAGTTGACTATTTCATCGAGATTTTTCCAGCTTCAGCCATTGCTCCAGCTATCTACATATGCAAAAACTAGGTGTTTTGAGGTATTTCTTTATTTGTGTATAATCACAGGCATGATCATAGTACAACATTCTATAAAATTTAAAGCGAATATAGCTCTACCATATGAAAAGGTGTCATCTTCACACAAATACGTACAATGCCTATCTGCTCGATCAAACAGCTATCTGCTGCTATGATAAAAATTTCCAAAAAGATTGATTTAATTAGCATTTGAAATGACAAATGAAATTTTCATGCAAAGATTTTAATCCATCAACTGTGACTGATTGCAAGACATAGAATACTTACCCATGCCGACCTTATGAACAAAGGCTGTTTTTCACATGGGCACAGTTTGAATGGACAATTGCACATTATATATGTTTTACAAATTTATGGTGAATATATTTAAACATATGTATGTATGTGTGTTGGTGAGTGTGTGAAATATTTTCATGAATACTTATTTATAAATTCAACATGTGACCATGACAAGAAAAACAAAGACAGAAGGAATGACATAAATGCATTCTCATACTTTTTTTTTAATCAAGGATTGGCCTTACATAATTTCATTTGAATAAAAATTTGTGAGTTTAGTAGCATGACATCATACATGAATTTGACAAAGACTCCTGGAAATTGTTCTAAGTTTGTAATCTACTACCTCATTGTCATGATTCAGAGGTTTGTAAGTGAATCAGGGCCTATTTTATACAAAGTCTTGTAATATCATTTTTGATTTTCCCTTCTTGTACACACTAAGCCCAATTGAAAAAACACAAATATATGTAACAAAATGTAACAAAAGCTTGTATTTACCTTGTGAATAATGACAGTTCCACAAAGACCTCGTCTACCTGCTGTCTTGTCAATACTAGACAAAGCACAGTCTTCATTTACCACAACCATGTCAATTTTATTCCTTCTTGTTTAGCTTGTTCAGCTGCCAAACCAAAGTTTAACCTATAATCATTATATTTATCATCTCAAGCATTTAAACTCATCAATATAATATGGTTGATGCAATTATCTTCCAATATACCTGTCTCCAGTGTAATTCTTTACAATAAGTAAGACACCAGCAGCATTCCCTTGCGAAACCACGCGAATTGCAGCGAGTACAGACTTAGCTGGAGGTGAAGCAAATACACCACCAGATACAACGGCTGTTAGACCACCACAACCTGTTGATTTGGAATGATGATAAATAAGGTAGTTTAACGAAAAGAATGATAGTAAGGTAGTCCACAAAAAATACGTACCAATAAATCCACAATGAGCTGGTTCATGGCCACTACCACCACCTGATATTAAGGTGACTAAACCTCGTTTTCGAACATCCTCGATGTCTCTTCTTATTAGCACCCGATGGCCTTTCAATAACTGTATGTTTTTGTTGGACAAAGTAAATCCTTGTAAAGCTTCGTCGACTACATTACGAGGTTCATTGATTATTTTTTTGCCCGTACATCCAGGACTTATGTCGGCCATATTGCCAGTATCCACCAGTGGTATTCACATACGCCTGCAAGAGGAGACGCTACAACCTCCCCCCAATAGTTGTTTTTATTTCTAGAATAAAGAAAATTATTTGGGTCTGATAATTGATATGTAAATGCCATTTTGTGGGTTGTTCTGCCCACTCAAAAATAAACCTTTCCGATCAATAAATTCTTCAAATACCTGCTTTTTTGACAACAAAGAAAGCAAATAATCATTAATCTTTTGCTTGAGTGAATACTTGTCGGTTGTCGCAGTGATGATTTCAATCAAATAATGATGAAATTAAGTTTAACTTATATCGTTTTTGAATTATTGAAACTCACTTTTGAATTGGAGTGTCACCACTACACACAATTAGAGGTAAATGAACATGGAAAAGCAAGTTTGATTCAAGTAAAACCAACTTTTTCGAATGTGACGAAGAAACAATGTAATGATGACGAAAAATGTTCTAGACTTGTTGTTAAGGACAATCTCAACAACACAGGTACGGCATTAGATTGTGTCAATCGAAACATTTGTGAACAAGCATCGTGTTCGGCCTTAACTGGTGACATATTCCAGTCTTGTGAGCTATCGTGTTGTGATGGTAATTTGTGTAGTCTGGTGAACGAGACGAAACCTATCGAAGAACTCGTTTCAAATATTCCTCTAACTCAAACATGCTCTGTTTTAAAGACATTTCGATTCATGAAGGCCAAGTGAGCCCAGAGTTTGGTACAATTACGAGCAGAACTTGTGGTGATGACGAAAGATGCAGTCGGGTCGTTTTAAAAGATCAGAAAAACATGACATATCAGTCTTCAGATTGTCTTCGTGTCACACACTGTGAAAACCCCAAAGCGTTTTGTAAAAACCTAATAAACTTATCAAATGGAACATTTGTCCATTGTAAAGTAAGTTGTTGCAACTCAACTTCCTGTGACGAAAACACCAAAACGAATAGGACGTGTTATGAGTATCGATCTTTCACTATTCGTGATAAAATCGCTGTGAAAATGCCAAATGAAATGTTTGTCAATACTTGTAAAAATGATGAATTGTGTAGTCTTGGAACATTTAAAGATGGCAAAAATATGACTCACATTAGCCTGGGCTGTATGGCTAGGTCTGTCTGTCAGAATCCTAGTACAATTTGTAACAAATTAACTCACACGTCTTCGCCATTTGTTGACTGTAATGTCAAGTGCTGTCTGGGAGACAAGTGTTACTCTGAGCTCATTCCAACCATTGTATCAAGAACAGATTCTGCAACACCAACAACAGGCCATGCAACACTAACAACAGGTCCTGCAATGTCAACAACAGGTCCTGCAACATCAACAACAGGTCCTGCAACATCAACAACAGGTCCTGCAATGTCAACAACAGGTCTTGCAACACCAACAACAAGTCCTGCAATGTCAACAACAGGTTCTGAAACACCTCCAACAGGTCTTGCAACACCAACAACAGGTTCTGAAACACCAACAACAGGTCATACAGTTACATCAGCAGCTGTTTGTAATATTAAATACCAAGTTTATATAATTTTTATATCTTTGTTATGGTATTATATTAATTTATATTGATCATAATAACTAAGATTAACTTCTTCGTTCGTTGTAAATATATGCAATTATATACAAATTATTTGACATAAAATACTTGTTTCTAACGCCTCCATTGTGTTTTTCTACTTAGTCCCCCTCCCCCCCTCCACTACTCTCCATTTATGGGAAAGACGTCACATCCCTTTGAGATATGGAAAAGTGGGATGTGGAGACCTGTGTCATAAATCGAACATTTGCCGTGGCATTTGGTGTTTGTTGATGTTCTTGTTTTATTTACTCGAGATTGCACTGATCTTCCTATTTATTTCCCCATTATGGTCAAGTGGTATTTTTCAAAGGACAAGATTTTAAACCGCACTCCGTCTCGTTCCAATGGCGTTGACTACCCTACCGAATGTAGATACAGGAGGGAAGGATGTCGCTTCATAATGGACATGGGAAACAAACTGGGATTGTATCCTCTTTGTGTGTAATGGTTCTAAGTTCAATATTATTTTTGGTGTTTTTAAATTGTGGTTTAGATGCTGTCTGATTATAATTATATTTTATTGTTATTTGTCCCATGCTGGATGGATTCTATTTTTCTTTTTTGAGTAATCCCTTCAGCAAGATTTGAAAATACCAAATTGTAACATTAAACAACAGACTTAACCTTGATGAATAGGCGTTATGATACCATGGCTACTGGAGTCATTTATTTTCATAGATTTTATATGAAGCAGTCTTTTAAAACATTCCCACGTTGGGTAAGTGCAAATTTATGTTTCATTAATGCCAGAATTTTCAAAGGTTAAATTTCATTGCATTTTAAAGGTCACAGCATGTGCAAGTTTGTTTCTTGCTGGAAAAGTTGAAGAAACACCAAAGAAGTGTCGTGATATTATTATGGTTGCCAAGAAGATGTTAAGTGAACATCATTTTCGTCTTTTTGGTGATAATCCCAGAGTATGTATTGAAGAGATAATCATTGTATATATTAAACAGATATCCCTCAAGTATGCACTAATCAGTTGATGAAAAAATGTTCAATGCATATAATTTTTATGAAGGAAGAGGTAATGATGTCTGAGCGAGTCTTATTGCAAACAATTAAATTTGATCTTCAAGTTGAACATCCTTATGGAACGCTTCTCAAAATTGGTAAACTTTTAAAAGGTGAGACAAAAGATTTCATGTGCTTTTTTTTCTCTTTGTCATATATTGAGAATTCTTTATTTAATATAGGTGACAAAGGCAAAATTCAAAAGTTAGTTCAAATGGCATGGACGTTTGTAAATGATAGGTAATGTCAGAATCTCAAAGTTTAAATTATACATTTTTGTCACAGCATAAAGACATTTGTTTTCTTTTTCAGTTTATCAACTAGCCTAAGTTTAAGAAAGCGACCTGAAATTTTGGCTATAGCACATTTTAATTTGGCTGGAAGACTTGGTAATTTTGACTTAAAGACTTCAACTGACTCACCTTCCAACAAACCATGGTGGTTTACTTTTAACAAGGATTGCAATGAAAGTGCTGTTGAAGGTATGAAAGGCTACCTTTAATTCATTGTAAAATTTGCGTCAAGAGTGATTTTTCTTTAATAGATGTTTGTAATGAAATGCTGGAGCTTTATGGTTCGTCTAAGAAGGAAAAACCACAGAGAAAGGTTGAACCAAGTCCTTCATCAAGTCACTCAAGTCCTTCAATTACCAATAGTCCACCTTTCAAAAAAAAGGTAGCACTTGCTTATATGAATAGATTAAACTACAATTATGGTTTAGTTGAGATTGTTTTTATAATTTTTGCCAGAGGCTTGATGTCAAAGATGGAAAGCACATGCCCCACTCCTCCTTTGCCTGCCAAATCTGGTGAATATGATATCATCCTGTTGTCCATGGAAAATGCTTGTTTATAGATTATTTACACAATTTACTGTTAACTTTTTCTTTACAGTTTCAAAGTTGACAAGTGTTCCACCACCTCCTCCCTTTACCACATCTACACCATTACATGGTGTTAAGCCCACTAGTGTGGATTCATCTTATCCTATATCATCAAGTAATGCTCTTTCTGGATCCTTAATTCAGCCTGCTATGCCATATTACATGACTGGTAAATTTAATCCTTATCCTGTGAATAACTCCAGTGAAATTAAAAGTACTTCAACAACTCATCAACCCACACCACCACCACCGCCAAATATTCAAAATCCTACAGCTTTTGGTCAATCGTTTGTTCCCATTCCACCACCAATGCATCAAGCTCCTCCTCCCATAGCAGGTCACCCTCAACCACCTCAGTCATTGTATACACAACCACCTCTACCTCACATACCCCGATTCCAAGCCACATACAAAACCTTCATCCTCATACAACATCTCATGGTAGCACCTCTGCTGCACAAACTCATATACCCGCAGATCTTCAACATCCATCAAATCAAGCTTATAATAATAGACTGCCTGTTCTTCCCCCACATAAATTATATCCTTCGATGCATCATCAAGGAGGAATAGCTCAGCCACCTCCATTAATGCCGCAGAATACATTACCCAATATGACAGCAGGTCCGGGAGGTAATAATATGAATTGGCATATTAATAACTTTACCACAAGAGCGTCAAACTCACGAAATATGACGCGAGGAGGCTGGATGAGGTGATTCGTATTCATTTATACGACCATGACGTAATATCTCAAGAACACTGACTAGTACAACTTTTTAGAATGTTGCTTGTAACGATTATCGATTCTTTATGCGTTACAAATTTCGTTGAGAATAAAGTTCTTTTTATAAATGGTTTTGTTTATTTGTTATTTGTTCAATAGAAGATAGTGAGGTACAATATTATCTTTCTTCTTCATGTGGTTAGGCAGTCCATATGTCTCCTCCGCTGTGGCTTTTATAGAACTACCTCTCATTAATAACCAAAAAATCTTTGTCAGTCAAACATATTTGTATTTTATTATTGTTATAGTAGTAGAATGCCTTTCTTATTTGTTTTTTACTTGTTTGTTGGTTACTTTTTTCTCACGTAAATATGAATATATATTTTTAAATGTTTCGTGTCTTTATAAACTTTATCACATATGGAGACGATTGCCTTAATCACAATTCACGTTTCACAAACCCAGTGTACGCATGGCGTACCTGTGTTACAGCTTTTGTTATGATGTAATCGTTTTCAATTGTAGTTCGTGGTTATGTCAGAGGTAGAATTTACTGAAATATGACTGTTGTACTGCGATGAATTTATTTTTCTTGCATAGCAATGATTTTGTGATGAAAACAGTTTGTGCAGCGGTTAATGTTCCTCTTAGATATTCCTCTGTGTTTTTTATTTCAAGCCGAAATTTGTCTGGAGAGTCTAAAGTTAATTTAAACTCAAGTAAAAAGTTTAGAGATGCACAGGACAAGATTGTACCTAAGGTGTGGTTGATGTGCTAATAGTAATTTAACGAATTTACATCAAGACTGGCAAAAATTTGTTGTCTAATTGTTTCATGATATTTTTAAGTTGAGCAAGAGATCCCGAGAGAGAGCTGTTCCAGCAACCAGAATCAGCCGAATTGCTAATTATGGAGGTAGGGTTCTTTTTAAACAAACTCTTGTTTATGTGTTTAAACTATTTTGTATTTTATCTCAAGGTTTGGTTGCCAGTGTTGGAATTGGTGCATTGGCTGAAATGGCTCGACGACAACTTGACAAAGGTTTTAATTGTTGATGCAACCTCGATGGAAATATTAGGTCTCCTATTGTGCATGAATGAAATTAATTTATCTTTCAGATCCAAACCGTGATGGAAGCCCATTTCTTACAGAAGCCAATGCAACCAAAATAGTGAATACTTTATGTAAGGTTCGGGGAGCAGCATTGAAACTTGGTCAGATGCTGAGCATACAAGGTTCTAATGACTTACATAATTATTGTTGTTGTAGCATAACTGTTTTATGCCGATTTTTTTGTCTTTTCCTTAGATAATACCATGATATCACCAGCATTGCAAAAGATTTTTGAAAGAGTTCGAGATGGAGCTGATTTCATGCCATCGTGGCAATTAGAGGTTCTTATTTTTCTCAGGGTTTTATTATTAATATTTTAATATAAATGTAGTAATTGTGTGTAGTTTTAGAAAGTGCTTAAGACAGAGCTTGGTCCAGAATGGATTATGCAACTGGAACACTTTGACATGAAACCATTTGCAGCTGCATCAATTGGTCAGGTACGAAGGTATCCTCAAGGATGGACGAAGGGTTGCCATCAAAATTCAGGTAATTAAATATTTTTGAATGCTTTATTTTGCCATGTTTCACGGTGTTCACGCCTTATGAACATGTTTGCCATGTAGTATCCTGGAGTTGACACCAGTATTGATAGTGATATTGACAATATTGTTGCTTTGTTGAAACTTGGCAACATTGTTCCACCTGGTGAGTGATTGAATCTATTTTGATAATTATGTGGCATGTTTATCATGTTGAATTTTTATCATTGTGTCTAGGTCTTCATTTGGAGCAATTTGTAGATGTGTCACGTCGTGAATTAGCATGGGAAGTAGACTATAACAGGGAGGCAAATTGTGCCAAAAAGTTTAGGTCTGTTGAGACTAACTGATTGAAATAAATTCAATTTCTCTTCTTTAATAGATACTTATAATTGATCTCTAGGAAGCTTCTTGAAAATGATGTTGCATTTTATGTTCCCGAGGTGATTGATGATCTGAGTTCAAGGCGTGTCCTTACAACCGAATTTGTTGAGGGAACTTCACTTGATAAGCACATAGTGCGTGAAAAAAATGTTACAAATAAGGTAAATTTCAAAAAAGCCGAAGTTCTTTGTTTGAAATAAAAATTATTTTGCTTTTATGTATTTTATTTAGATATGTCTGGATATACTCAGACTATGTTTGAGGGAGCTGTTTGAGTTTAATTTCATGCAAACAGACCCAAACTGGTCCAACTTTCTCTATAATGATGAAAACAAAAAGGTAGCATAAATGAATTTTCTAGGTGGTAGTTTTTATTATTTCTGACATGTAATATTGTTTACGTAGATATGTCTTCTGGATTTTGGTGCTAGTCGAGAATATCCAAAACAATTTGTTGATACCTACATTAAGGTTAGTGTTATTATGATAATATCTAGTGTTGGAGAATTTTGGAAAAAATTTTTTTATTGTAGATAATTCATGCAGCATCAGTTGGTGACAGAAAAACTGTTGTTGAATGTTCAAAACATCTTGGTTTCCTATCAGGTTATGAATCAAAGGTATGGAATGTTTTCATAACCTAATTGTGCTTATCATAGTATATTGCAAATAAATATAAAATTCATGATTTTCATTGAATTAAATAATGTTAATTTTTTTAATAAAGAAGTTAATAGTGGTCAGTAATATTTTTAGGTAATGGTCACAGCTCATGCTGATGCTGTTATGATTCTTGGTGAACCATTTAGTTCATCGGAAGAATTTAACTTTGCTACTCAAGATACAACAGCTCGAATACAGTCTCTAATTCCAGTAATGCTTCGCCATCGTCTTACTCCTCCACCGGAAGAGAGTTACTCTCTACATCGCAAGATGTCTGGTGCATTTTTGCTTTGCTCAAGACTTGGTGCTGCTATTTCCTGCAAACCTCTTTTTGATGAGATTTGGAGCAACTATAAGTTTTCAACTGTCTCTTGAAATATAAGAAATTTATGATTTTATCATACATGTAAATAACTTGTGGTAATTATTAATTATTTATAAATTTTTTGAGCAATTGAGTGACTGTGATTAGACCTTTGTTCCGAGTCGTGTTAGTTCAGTCCCGGTACGCCATTCAAAACAATGGCAAGTGTCAGATGTGTCTTCTCTTTCATGATTGTTTTTCTTAGTATAGTTATCTCATGGGCTATGATCATTATGATCGAGTATTATTCTGGACATGGAAAAGAGTTAAAACCTCATAAATTATCAGACAAACCTCCGTTTCCTGGCGGCAAAATGAATAATATATTTTGGCTCATACAGGTGGACGATGGATGACACTTTTAATTTATGATCGTGAATATTAACTATAAAAATTCTGTGCTAAATGGTCTGATTTCAGATTTCAGACATTCACATAAGCAAATTCCGTGATTCAAGTCGTCAAAGAGATTTAAAGATTTTCTGTCAGGATTATATTGATATTTACAAACCTGAAGCAGTCCTTCTGACAGGTGAATAAAATAGAGTATTATCTCACTGCCATCCTTTATGGCCTTAAAAAATAATGTGGTTGCATTTTGAGGGGATATTGTTGATGCTAAAGATAGACTTCAAATTGGCTCTGAACAATATGTTGAAGAATGGGAAATATATCAGAATGTTCTCCTGGATTCAAATGTATTAAGCAAAACTCGGTGGCTGGATGTGAGGGGAAATCATGGTAATGAATTTCATAGTGATTTATCCAAGTGCTTCATTTTTCATTATTCATATGTTCCCAATTATGTTACTATAGATGCTTTTGATGTACCATCCTTAACTAGTGACCAAAATATGTTCAGGTATTTTTTACACAAATGTTTGTAATCTGTTGCTGTTCAATAGGAAGAAATAAAACATAAGTATTTTAGAAAATATTCAGCAAGTGCACTTTATGAAGAGCGAAGAAATTCAAAGTCTTATCAAGTAACAATAAAACGAACTTTGGCATATATTCATTAAATGGTATCGATCAAAACCTTGATCCTGGTCCAAAACGGCCTTTTAACTTTTTTGGAAAAATAAATGAGGTGGGAATAATTTAGAACGTGCATTTGGTGCCAGTGTGTCTTAAATTTTAATGAGCTTCATTTGAGTAGTTACATTTTTTGTTGAAGGAAGATCTATCTGGTTTGGAGGAATTGGTCAAAAAGAGCCAAAATCATAATTTGAGCATTTGGTTTGGTCATCATCCATTGTCTACAGTCTCAGGGGACTTCAGTTACCAAAGAAACTTACTAAAGTATGTTGGATATTGATCACACGAAAAACTATAATTATGCAAAGTAAATGTTCTACCTTACAGGTATGGTGATGTATATTTATGTGGTCACCTACATACTTTGGGTAATATAGTTCCACAGCTGCATGCTTTTCATAGGGATGGACATCTTGAGTTAGAACTTGCTGATTGGAAAGATAATAGAAGGTAGGCAATAACACTAATAGTGGTCTTTTTATTTTAAATTACCTGAATAAAGTTAGGTGTTTTGTAGATATCGTGTTCTTGCTGTTGATCATGATTTGATATCGTTTTCTGATGTAACTTTTGGGAAATGGCCTGTAGTTGTGATAACCAATCCAAAAGATGCCCATTATGGTATTTTGTCACATGAACCATTGAATAGATTAAGAAAATCCACTCATATTAGGTAATAATTAGACAATATGATGATTTACAATTTATATTTACAATTTAAGTAATGTTCATCTTCTTCATAAAGGTTGTTGGCCTTTTCACCCTATGAAATTACATCTGTTCAAATCCAAATTGATGGCATTTTCCATCAATCAACAATACAGCATGTTCAAGGACCTCTTTTTGTCAGCAAGTGGAAACCTGAGCTCTATAGTACTGGACTACATGTCATAACAGTCATAGTTAAAGTAAGATTATTTGTTGATAAAAGTACATTACTATGTCCCAAATAATATTTGTGTGTAACTTGCAATGTGTTTTTGTTGACTTTCAGGATGCTGGTGGTAATCTAATTAATACAAAACACAAATTCTCAATTGATGGTAGTCGACCTGTCTTGAATTTATTGCCATCAATGATTCTTCTTACTGATGGCCAAACTCTGGTTAGTTTATTTTTTGCTCTTCCATTTGTCTGGATGGAACTTCGAGCAATTTTTACTCTATGTATCTATTATAGGGACGAGTCTTCTATTTTGTTTCCTTTCTGTTCATTGTGTGTGGACCACTGTTCCTGAAATGTTTTAACAAATATGGTAACTACTGTTTGTTAGTACACCAATTACATGATAGTGTACACAGTTGTATCTTTTCATCCCTTATTTCAGATCTTCATGGTTTGGGCATATGGCGTGGTTTAACACATCTTATAAAAACCAAGCAAATATTCTATCCTCTTTTTTTCTATGGAGTCTATGTTGCCTTTGGTAAGACTTTCATTTCACCATCTCGTGATGCCATGCCTTCTTTAATGCAAAATTATCGTCTATGACTTCCCACTCACACCCCACCACCCCAACCCTTTTTTAGACCAATTATGAAATTTTAAAATCCTGGAAGGAAATGAAAGAGGGAAGGGAAAGAGTGGTACAACAATTCCAATTCAAAAAGTTTGATATATAGTTGCTTCCTGTGAACAGGTATATATCAAAATGATATAAAAAATTGATGTCTGATAAACATCTTGGAATTTGGTTTTCATCTCATATTGACGCATTTAAACTAGCTAATGACTCATAGAAGAAGAAGCTGCTTGGTGCTTGCTTTTAAAAGAAATTGACGATCTGTGGCTTTAACTTTATCATAAAACTTGTGGGAGATCTTTCAAAGGAGCATTCTTTAAACCCTCCTAGAACTCTTGAACCCTTGGCGCTCATATGCATCCCGTCCCCTTCTGTTCAACCTGCCAACGCCTCTGATTCGCATTTTTGGGATACTAGTTTGCTTAGTGACTGGAATTAAGACAAATCACTCGTAAACTGCAAGTGGGCGAGATATTCTCGCTACAATAGTAAAGTGTTTCGAAGGAACATATTTTTCATGTGCGTGTAACGGCGTCAGAATATTTTTCTTTGAAAATGACCGTAACATTGTGTTTTAGGACCGTGGTTCATAGCTGAGCTAACTAAGGGACATATTGGTGTTGTGTTTCTTCATGGTTTGTACCTTAAAGGAAGGTGGATTCCTGAACCAACAGTCTATGCGTATGGGTTTTTTCAGGTCAGTCTTCATCAATGTTTTACGCCATTTCTGCTATTAATTATCTGTCCTAAATATCTGTCCTAAATATCTTTAGAATGTATTATTTCAACTACCTTTGACTGTGTATCTTGCTTTCGTTCTTGGTCAACGAAGTGCAACTCATCAGAATGGTGTGAAAACAAAGTCAAGAATTCTTACTAATATATGGGGAATATGTCATAACGTATTTATGAATATTTTGCTGTTTTTAACATTTTTATTACAACTCTATAGTAGCTACTCATTGGGACATGCTTATGGTTTGATGGCCTTTTTTGTTTCTCCCGTGAAAACCTGGTCTCTTATTCTTATGATCTATTTGGTTATTAGAGCTCGAACGATATGCTGAAATAGCAAGTTAGTTACGCAGAGAGTTGTGTACTTCACATTTTAATTGAGTGTAAATTAAGTAAATGGTTTGAACCCGGGAGTATCGTTACATGTTTGTAATTGTAGATCGTCCAGGTTGGTATAGTCCTGAGAAGGACTGTTTTTGTTGTTGTTGACTGACGTTTCGACAACCTTAGCGGTAGTCATCTTCAGAGTCAAAAAAATAAAAAAATTGTCGTTGGTAATCTTTAGTATTCAAATCAGTTAGTAGAGAATAAAATAAGCATTGTCGTTATTTGCAGAGTTAGAATTGAAGACTGAGTTTGAGTGTCATGTTCAAAGACGTCAGGATAATGCGGTTTCTTCTCTGCGTGTCGTGTATACCGTAGGGTGGCAAAACTAGGGGTGCGAGGGCGCTGTTCCTCCACAAAAATACCCCAATAATGATGAGTTTTACGAATTAGTTCGTATGGAGAAATAATGAATTATTTTGTTGCTTCTTATATGTTTATTGTGCAGAGTATTTGACCGATTTGGGAAATTTGTTTCGTTGTGTCCCGCAAACAACTATATACTTCAGCTGCTACACCTACCTCTCCATCCTGCCCACATCCTCCTTTGATATATTGTTATCAAGTCGTTTTTCTTTTGTATCCAGGCAAGGTGTGTCAATGCCACGTTTTCACCTGTGAGCATGTCAGTTGTCAAAGCTAAAAAAGTTACAGCATTTTTAATTGAGCATCTCTCCGGCTCTATTCATTTACATTTTCAGGTTGGGACTTGACCATCGTCAAATTTTCATCATTCATCAACTTTTAAGGAATTTTTTTAACGTGAAGTTGTGAAATTCAGAAAGACAGGTACAATCTTCATCGTGTTATTTTTGTAGATAACGGCGGCATTGAAGTGAAAATTTTTGCCATCAATGAAGCAATTGCCTTTTGCCAACGATAATTGCCTTTTACTGTATTTTGCTTTACCTGTCAATTGAAATTGCTCTTTCATTTTGATTTGAATTTGTTGTCGCGCAGTATCTTTTTAATTTATTTTTGGTTTTTCAATAAACTCACGATTTTTATTTTCTTTCAGCAAGTTTTTTATTAAATATTTCGAATCCTTGCAAATAACGATTTGGATGTAAATAATTTTAATATATATATCTTAAGCGGCTTATTTGACTCGCAGGCGACCTTGTTAGCATCACTATGGTTTTTATTTGCCATACTTTGATGGATTACAATATAATATTAAAGTTTAGAGAATGTGCTCATGTTGACCATAGTCGCTTTCATTGATTTCATCTTCCAAATTGATAAAAGTAGCCATTTTTCTATCGGACTTGATTCATTCGATAACATATAATGTATTTCAGACTTGACGATGTTGTAGTCTTTAAAATAATTTTATTCGTACTTTTTTCATACAAAAACAAAAACGATTAGGCGAACACAGGCTCATTATAAGGCAATTTCCAATTATCTCCATTATTAATCAGGGAGCATAAAAGTGTCAATTGTAACGCAATACAGCAAATGTTGACCAATCAAAATTACGCCACAAGACACGTGTCAATTTTAATTTTTCTCTTTCCTTCAGCTTTGAAGAGATAAGACAAAAGAATTGCTTTAGTTTTCACGATAAAAGTCAGGTGTGGAGACATATGTTACAAAGGTACGTTTTGATGTTTGGAGCCGTCTGATCCTGGATAACGGCGACTACCATTCTTGGTTTTCTCATAAGCTGATTAACGAGGTGAATCCGTTGCTACAAACAACGTCTGTGTTGTGTATGTAAGTTGAATATTTTCTGTGTATTGCTGAGAATGTTGTTTTTTTTACAGTCATTTTTGACACATAGTATGAAAGAAATAGTTTTGAATTGCATTTGATATATTGTATGCTTTGACCAATGATCAATGTCCACAAATTTTATGACCTCATTGTATGTTCTTCAAAAAAACAAACTGCTTGTGGGATCATTAAAATCGTAATTTCAGGTGGTTTTCTTTCGAAGTAAAACAATTTCACACGTTTGAATGTGACTCATGATGATCACGAAATTTACCAGAAGCATCATCCTTTCTTCACAAAGAGCGCAGATCTTAGCGTTTCTCATTTTTGATTAAAGTCTCGATATTTTTCACGACTCGATGATTTAATTATTGACACTCAGAGATAACTTTAAATTTTCTAGTAGATTTATTGTAGAAAAATAGAACAAAAAGTCTTATCTTGAGTCAGGAAGAAACGCAAATTTTAGATAGTGATATTTGTATTTCAAGAGTTCATTTTTAGGCGACCAGCTGTACCTTTGCTGTGTTTGAAATAATTCTAATCAACTTATACAATAAGAATATTAATGCAGCTTACAAACCGACCATATTCGCCTCAATTCATTGTTCAACATGACAAGTTTGTTCAACATGACAAGTTTAAACGCACAGCAATGTATTTCTTTGTGTTCGATGAATCGAGGATTTGTTTTTACGTGGTTTGGTTCTTGTAAATTCGCTTCTTTTTGTAATGATTTGCCAAAGAAAGTTTTTCGTATGCAAATTTAATAGGATAATCAGTTCATCTCTCATTTGAGAAGAGCCTCATTTCAACACTGTTCTTTTGCATCGTGAAATTTTTCACTATCAATCTATGATTGTTGAACACCGTTCATGTTCACATTGACGTGCATGTACGACTATATTATCACAGTCCTTGTGTCTTAAATTCATTACACTAGCATGCTATCTACATTTCTAGCGCAATCACAATATTTCACGAATAATTTGAATCAATTCAGCCCAAACTTGATCATGGAATCCGCGTTGAATTTGACGAGTCCCCGGGAAAGTATTGAAAGTAACCTTACCATCAGAAGCAAAAATGACACGTCGGAGCTACCAATTTATCATGGCTATAACACAGAGAACATTATTTCAGCTGTGTTGTCCTTTATTTTGACATGTATTGTGGTGATTGGTAATGGTATGGTTATGCTTGCTTATAAATTCAACTATAAATTGCAAACAGTTACGAACATGTGTTTCGTAAGTTTAGCTTTTTCTGACTTTCTTGTTGGTCTGATCTCAATTCCACTGTGGATCCATTATTCTTTCAAAGGCATCTCAGATAGGAACCTCTATTTGTTTTACATTTCATTCGATATTTTTAACGGAACTGCGTCCATATTCCAGTTAACTGCGATAAGTATAGAAAGGTGTTTCTCTATAGTCGCCCCAGTGCGTCATCGTTCCCTGTCTGTGCTCTCTTATTATGCCATGATATTTTCTGTTTGGTTTTTGGCAATTGTTAGTACCTTACTGCGGTTATTACCTCAAAAAAAGGTCACCGGTGGTGATTGGTACAATATTTATACACTTTTGGTATGTTTTGTGTTACCAGTATTCATTATGATAACGTCCTATACATTGCTGTTTCGAACGGCGGTGAAGAGGAAGGATCTCAGCTTTCGTTCGACGAAGAATCAACAAGTAACTTGGTCAAGTCAGAAAAAAACGATAAAAACACTGCTTATTGTCACTGGATTATTTGTTGTTGCTTGGGCTCCATTTTTCGTTTATATTGCGTTGGTTCGTTATCTACCGTCTGCATTGCCTAGTAATCTTGAAGACCGAACCCGTCTCTGGAGATTTGTGAAGTGGATGCATTATATTAACAGCTCTCTTAATCCGTTTGTTTACTCTTGTCGTAACAAAGAATTTAATATTTCTTTTAAAGTTTTGTTTTGGGCTCTTGTAAAATGCAAAAGCTTTAAAGAGGTGTGTTCTTATATATTTGCAATTATTGTCATATCTATTTTATTCTTTTTATATTAACTGTCACTGTTTGTTTCAGGTGAACCGACAGTTTAAACGACATGTACGATGCAGTACACTTACAGCAAGAAGTTCGTTCAGAGATTTTAATGAACACAGGGGCATGAGACAAAATTACAACGAAGAAGACATTGAACTTGACACAAATGAACCAGAACAAACGCAAGCGATCATTATTGATTCCAATGCAAATACAAAATAAATGCTGCACATGTTTACTGTACTAAGAATTATTTTACAGCACATAAGACACAAAATTCAAAATTATTGTTTTGTAACTTTCATCAAACAGATCATCTTACAACTTGGTCACTATGCAATAATGCCTGAGGACTGGATGCCACTTGAAGTTCGATCTCGTTGAAATTGACCTTTGGTTGCATTAAATATGATATTCGCTGCAAAGGGATTGTTAAAATAAGAGAATGTTCATAGATATACAGTTAAGTATTGGTACCTCTTTAATCGTTCCTGATGTCTGCAAGATTTTCAACATTGCATAAGCAGGAATACAAACCATTGGAAGAGCTGCTATACACCATCCTAACACCTCGGCCCACACTGGATATCTGTATGTTGTCTCATATGTTATCCCCTTTTCTGGATATTTTATCAAGTTGAAGAAAAAAACCGTCTGTAAATAAACGATAACTGTTAAGATGTCACAATGTTTCTTCTAAAGCAAAACTTTCACTTACAGCAACCAATATCAAAGAGATATACTTCCAACAGATCAGCCACCAAGAATGGATTCGTGTTCCCGTTAAATTATAGATCACATTAATCCACCTTCTTCCACCTGTCATTGTTATAATTTATATAAGTACTTTTGTTAATCTCGCTGCCTGTTAAAACTTACCAAAAACCCAGGCCATCACAAATAACTCGAATATCACCACGAACAACAAGCACACTCCGGCAGCAAAAGAATCCAACAGATTAAAGACGTATACTCCACCCTTAAGAAAATATAGTTTAATTATGGATTATCGTTGAAAACACTAATAAAACTTTTCACCTGTGTTATGCATGAAATTCCAAGAAGAAATTCTACGAAACAGACTGTAAATACGATGATTTCTTTGTAGCGATGTAGCTTTTGGGGGTATTTCTCGATAATGGCACTGCAGATTACTTCAACTTGACCGAACTGTTTCGAAAAAAGAATAAAAACTTTATGGAGTGGATAATTCTGTTGACGTATTGTCTTCCTACGTACCTGACTGTCTAATCCGAGCGTGATTAGCATAAAAAAGAATATTACTGACCAAAATTGAGGAATAGGAAGTTTGGAAAGAGCTTCGGGATACACTATGAAAACTAGACCAGGTCCTTGGGATGCAACATCTTCCACTGATTTTCCTTGCAGCATCGCCATATTTCCAACGACAGAAAATATCACAAAACCGGCAAAGATACTTGTGCCACAGTTAACAATAGATATTAATACAGCGTCTCTTTAAGAATAAAGAGGAAATTTGGTTTTAATGATTGCGCGTGTTTCTTTGTGATCTTCAATCGTTACCTATATAAAGTGGTGTTGTTTCTGTTATTGTAACTGGAAAAACCAAGAATAACTCCAAGACCAATCGCTAAGGAATACATGATCTGAGACGCGGCGTCCACCCAAACCTTTGATAAAAAATTACACATATTTCAATTTTTGATATAGCTGAACAAGTTGTTGCTCTCTTTTTATCATCATTTATCTAACTTTCAAGTCCATTAGACTGTGTAATCTTGGTTTGACATAATATAGTACGCCATCACCGGCTCCATCTAACGTAACACCACGAAAGAACAAAATGAGAAGTATGAGATATGGAACTGTCGCTGTGACGTAGACAACCTGAAACATCAACGACATGATATTATCATTGCGGCATCTTGAGAAAAATGATAAACCATGTTTAATGCCTTCAACGCTGAATTGTAAACTAACTTTTCCTGTTGTTCGTATCCCTTTCCAAATGCAAAAGTAGACAAGAGTCCATGCGAGCAACAAACAACCAAACATTTCCCAATTTATATTGCCTGGTGTATCTATTCCATGGGTCAACTGCAACACTTTCTTTCTGTGAGAAATCTAATATGTAGGCATTGTTTGAATTTTAGATAATTTTTTTTATAGACTTACACGTAAAATTCTCTGCTTGACGAAACCCTAGAGGTATTATGGTTGGATTTATTTGAAATAAAACAGTCTTCGTTCCATTTGTTATTGCAGCCAACCCAAGGGAGATTGGATTTGAATGAATTAAAGAAGTAATAACAGGACCAAGCGAGAATGATGTTATAGTAAACTGACACCATAAATGAAATCACCATGTTTGCATAACCAATACCTAAAAATTTATAATTTATGTATGTATCACCAGGATTTGGTAGAAAGCATTCACAATGGCGTCCTTCCCACGTTAATTGGGGCGGATTCATATATTCTGCTTTTCCTGGCCTGAGAAATTATCCATGAAAAATATATTCACAGCGAGTTACCTCCAAATAATGGACAGATACGTTTCCAGGCTTTAATTGCATTCGTTTGCAATATTTGTCCAATGGTCATTTCCATCATAAACACAGGTATTCCAGCAAGAATCAGACATAATAGATATGGAATAAGAAAGGCTCCTTTGTATAAAAATAAGTTTTCAATGAAATCATTTCAGAATAGTTGTAGTCTAAGGGTCTAAGAAGTTTATTTACAAACCTCCACCATTTTTAAAACACATGTAAGGAAAACGCCAAAAGTTACCATAACCCACTGCAAAACCAACACAAGCGAGAAGAAACTCGGCTTTTCGAGTCCATCTTTCGCGCTCTACTTCTCCTTCACACTTTTCCTTAGAAACCAAAACCATTCCAGCGCTATCCTTTTTTTCTACGTCTATCTGTTGAGATGCGATACCTTTATTGCAAATAAAATGTATTGGAACAGTACAAGCAACACTTTAAAGTATTTCGGTGTCTCCCACTTTGTAAATAGGAAATTGTAAATATATCCTATCGCTGATCACATGCAGTTCACGGACTTTAAAAAATATCTCTTTCAAAGACATGAAAGACAATGATTGATTTGAAAATACGTCACGAGAAAATATACTGCATGTTTGTCTTTTTATCAACAACAGGTTTGAGTCTTTGGGAGAGAAGTCGTTTTTCTTTTTAATCATTAAATCGATAGCAGCTATAAAGAGCTAGTAGCAAGCTAGTAGGATTTTCACGCGTGCAATAATTTTCCCTGTAAATTAATGCAAAAATATATTTCATACAGCAATTGTAAAATATCGAGGCAGTTCCGCCACTGCTCAAACTCAGTTTGACACAATGAACATCTACCATCTACCGTCTATTTCACCTTGTAAGCGGTCGACTGCCAATTTTTTTTGCCAACTTTATGCTGATCGTTTAGTTTATAAGTAAAAGAACTAATGAAAAAACCAAGCAACTTCTTGATAGCACTACAATCAACATCTTATAAATGTTATAATACCAAAAGTTGTTTTTTAATTTCTCACACTATTTTTGTAGTGCAATACTCTAATTCTTGCTTTTGTTGCCTTTGATGACGTCATTACAATTAGCGCATAAATTTGACCTCAAAATAACTGGAATAACATAATGTCATATTATTCATCAAATACATTGTTTATTACGAAGGTATTTACAACAATTTGAAACAATTCTGATGATTTATGTACATTTATAGAATTCTAGCAGCCAACACTATCAACAATCCTTTACTTTTCGATTTTTATTGTGAATTTACCTAAAGAAAAATTATTTGAATTAGCAAAAACAAAATGCTCTGATAAAAGCACACTAACTTACACATTGGCATTGTGGTAATTTCTGGTACAACAATTGATTGTATTCCTAAGTTTGCTAAAGCACCACGGATGAGGCCACAAGGTAACGACAAATACTGAAAAAAATAAGATTTTTGACGACTTCTTACATTGAAAAATTCAGTAAATATATAAACACCTGTGTAGCAGGGTGATTGTCATCTTCACCTTCGGATATCTGAGTCAGCAATGCAAATCGATTGTCTTGAAGTACAAATACACCCTAAATATTTTGTACAATACAAGTAACAAAATCAAATTACATTTTTATAGTTTGTATGGATGTCAGAGCTGTGAATAGACTGTCCTTACCTGATGATTTGTCCGTAAATTATCTATTTGTTTTTTATACAAAGCTGTCCAAAAATCCTTACAAATATACTTCATAACATCCAAGTCATCCTTAAACCTTGCCGTTTCTTTAGTAAATCTGAATGATATTTAAAGTCCACTAATAAGTAACTCCTCAATGTATATTGGATAAGAAAATAGTTCACCTTTCCGCAAGTCTTTGACCAACAGTGAAGCCTATGTGTTCTAATACAGACGTGGCATGGTTCTGAATATTACATATTTGAAATAAGACAACGCATACTGATTACATGTACGATTAAAAACTTGCAATTTTCACCTCGTTTTCTTTTCCATGGACCTCTTTTATGTAATCCACAATCTGCATGTGTAAGAATTCAAAAACGGAGTCTGTCTCCGCCATTGTTTGACAAAATCATACGACAAAATAATGTGAATATAACTCGTCTCCCCCTCCCCCGCAGGTTGCAGATAAACATACCATTACCAGACTGTGACACTAGCCTCGCTGTGTTTGTGAATCACAACTTTTGATATCAACACATTAGCTACGTTGAAAATTCAGGCATTGTGCAGACACAAAAAAATATAGGCTTCTGAAAACTTTGCTTGCGAAGTACGAGGCTATCAAAAATTAATGAAAAAAATAATGAGTCCCCTCCCCCCTTCTGAGCAACTTGGCCTGAAGAAAGTGTCTTCCCAAATTCCATACTTCACAAGTAGTGCCAACATGGCAGATGGTGAGCAAGACCACGTAAGCAATGAAATTCGCGAATGTACTCGTCGGAAACTACAATCATTTGAATCAATCCGCAATAAAAATATAAAAGACGTTGATTTACCATTCTGGGATATAGTTGTGGTCACTGCTGTTGATCCCCAGCAACGCATGGCGTATGAACTTGAGATCGAATCCAAAGTCAAACATGGTGAACTACCGAAAGGGGTGATTTATAAGGTTGTAAATGATCCAAGTGGTACGAAGATTGGTAATGGTGGAGCAACACTTCATGCTATTAAACTGCTGGAGAAAGATCATGGATCACAATTTCTTAGTCAGTGTAAAGTGTTGATGCTTCATGCAGGAGGGTTTAGTCAACGTTTACCAAGTGCTAGTGTTCTTGGCAAGATATTTACTGCAGTACCTTACGGTAAGTTGGTAAATGATGAGGATATGATTTAAAAAATGTATAATACTTTTTTGCTCAAATCACTTATTCTCTTCTAATGCTGACTTGTGGTAATTTTCCTCACCCAGACTGCTAAGTGAGAATGTGGGAGAGTTCATCAGAGTGTTGGGGCTGTCTAAAGTTGCATCTGAAGACCAGATGGACTCCCAACTTTGTAATAAGCTTGGAATGCTGAAGCTGTAGCATAATTGCATTTATATGATTCAGTCTTTAAAGTTCATCTACCAAGGTGGTGAACTATATCAAGTTCAATTTTACTGTTTAAACACTCACTAAGCCTAAGGTTGTGCTATTACCACATTTAGCCATTTCCTTCTTCATGTCAATTGTTTTGAAATGTTTTTTCAAAATCCCATCAAAACATTCTAATTATTATAGCACAAAAGTGACAGCATTATAATACTTTATTTTAGGGGAACCTCTTTATCAAATGTTTGAAATAAAGCTTGCATTGTGTATTGATTTTCCAAAGCATATGAATCCTGGCATTTTTATTTCATGTCCTGATATTATGGAGCCATTTTCTTTTGATACCAGTGAATGGGGTTTTCATAAACCAGGAATAACTGCCATAGCTCATCCATCACCAATTGAGATTGGGACCACACATGGTGTTTTTGTTCTTGAAGACAATCCACATGTGCTTGGAAAAAATCATTTTGATTTACTGTCCGTGACCCAGTCAAGTTGTATTCAATTTTTGCACAAGCCTTCCAAAGAAAAGATGCATGAAGCAAATGCTGTTTTTATGGTTGGTGATATGGAGTATATTTATACAGATGGAGAGTTCTTCATGGATTGGCCAACTGCTTTTAAATTGATCAAGCTTTACACAGAATTATCACCTTTGAACTGTGAGATTGATGCATTTGGTGATTTCCTTCAGGCTCTTGGACAAAACAGCAATAAAGATTATTGCAAGAATGTTGCAAATGTTGTTCAGGTCGTTCCTAAACTCATTGAAACCAGGGAAAAATTTTATGATTTGTTGCAAGAAACTCAGTTTAATGTCTTACTTTTCAACAAATCTAAATTTTACCACATTGGTACAATGACTGAATACATTGAATCGTTTTGTGATAACATGGTTATGAGGTAGTATTGCCATAATTATATTGTATATTCAATATATTCCCATCTTTTATAAAATTATGTTATTTTGTTTAGACATGAAATGTGCCTCTCAAACCAAGCATTTGTTCGTTTCAATGGTGCTAAGAAGCCTTTTCAACCTGAATCAACTTGTGTCTTTTCCACCATACTTGATAGTGATGTTACTCTAGGTCAGAGATGTGTCTTGGAATATTCCAAAATTGAATCAAATGTTACAATTGGTGATGGCTGTATTGTTAGCAACATGTTGGTACCTTCATCGTCATATATATCATCAGGGTCTTTTCTTCACACTGTTTGTGTCACAATTGGTAATCAAGATCATTTATTTGTGACAGTTGTCTTTCACATTCATGACAACTTGAAAAAAGTTGCATCAGTTGAAAATATGAATGCACTATCATATTTCAAGCAACCTTTGGATCAAGTTCTTAAGTATCTTAATATCAAATTGGAGGTAACTTAAATTGTCTTATGATCAATGTTTTTGAAAAATCAATTAAAACTCAGTCTTTGTGTTAGGATCTTTGGCCAAGTGATAACTCCATGACAAACCTGTGGCATGCCAGATTATTTCCTGCATTCTCGTCAAAGAAACTGTCCTCATTACATGCCATCAAAATGGTTGATGCAGTAACTGCAGGTGATGTCATTGAAGAAGATACTGGTGAATTTTTTTCTTCAAAGAGATTATCAATGGCAGATATTGTTGCAGCAAAAGATGTGAAAGGAATGTTGAGTGAAAGAGAAGATTTAAAATACACTTTGAAAAAGTAATTTTGATCTCACTTTTATCACTAGAATATATTGACTAGAATGTTAGAAACATTTAACTACATTTTTATTTTTACTTTTTCCAAAGCCACTCCACAAACTTGGTCATTTAAAGCTACCAGTTTACTGACAATAAGCATATTATCTTGGAAGGTCAGACTTGATCATGAATTTAAAATTTCTTAATTGCTTTAATTTATTTATTTATTAGCTTTTTTCCTTTATGTCGACATCATGCATTATCTTACATGCAGTCAATCGTTTATTTAGGTGTAAAATAGTTGAATCTTTGTCCTTTACTGATATCAAACCAGACAATACAAGACATTTCAACTGCCTAAACAACATAAACAAGACAAACATTTTAACAACAATAGTTGGTAGTATCATCATAATTTAAAGATATCTTACTTGAGATTAAATAAAGCAGAAAGATCCCTCACTTCTGAACAATTGCTAATATTCAGCTCTTTAAGAGTTCCCTTTACAGGAAGAAGTTTGTTTAAATCTGTAACATAGCGACAGTTGCTCAAGTTCAAGCTATCAAATACTCAAGACCATCTAAAACCAACAAATCTTAATGAAGCGTAGAAGAAATAAATGATGGAAAAATTTAAATAAACAATTTTTGTACCCAAATGGTCCAGACCACTGTCTGTGATATATGTCCCAGAAGCATCAATACCTTCCACTTCATATTGAGTTTTGGGCCAATCAGGTAAGTTGTTGTAGTCCCAAATATAACGATTAATCTTTGAAAATTTAACACCGCCACCACATCTCAAAATCCATTCTGCAGCAACTCTATTGTTTTAATCACTAAGCAGATGAAAAAGAACTTAAGTGAATTTCAGACATGCAAGATCAATAATACCTTTCAGATCCTACAATTTTCTTTCTTTCTTCATCAACTCTAAACAAAACATGCCAAAAGGCAAAAAGTGATGGCAACATTTTGACTCACAACTAAGCCCATTTGCAAATAAATAACAATAGATGTCCAGATTGCTGTGCATCCTGATGCTGTCAAGTTAATTTGATTACTAGCCACAGTTAGCACTTAGCAAGCTCAGTGTTCCCATTGGTCAGTATAATAAGTATAAGATATGGGCATATTGCTTGTTTTGCAAGTATGACCATTGATTTGTATTGAATTACTCTAGATTGCTACAATATACACGTCAGTGAGTGTAACCTATGAAACCTAGTGACTAACTAGGCTTTTCCTTAAAGTCATTTCTAAATTTTATCATTAAGGAAATAAGTTCTACGCTGCCCCATTACCTATTGAAGATATTATTTACCCACAGATAAAATGTTTTTCTGCTATGATAACAATGCAAAGTTGAGTGTTTCTGTCCTATTTTGAGCCAGGACATTTCCGCAAGAACACTAACATCGAAACATAAGCAGAGTTACGAGTAAATTGTTTAGGATTTTTAAATTCTTAATAATAGTGAGGAGTTTCCTTGAATTCCGTTTTACGGAAATATTATTAAATTTAAAAATAAATGGGAAATTCCTTATTCATAGGAAACTTGAATAATTAATTAAAAAAAGCCATGTGACAAATCTTCTCAAACCAGTGTTTGCAACCATTCTCTTGAGATTTATGAAACAATGTTGCTCGTTCACGTCGGCTGGTGCGAACAATAACACTGATAAAATATTCTTTTGTACCATACTACCATTACCACCACTACGCCACCCACCTCTAGTATTATTTATAATCTCTATGGTTGAGAGACCCCCTGCGAGTTGCTGCGAGCCTGCGAGCAATGCTTGCGAGTCCTGTGATCTCATTCATGATAATGGCGACCGAGAGTGTGGTCAATTCCCTGCAACGCGAGGTCGAACTTGCTAAGGAAGGGCTGAAAAATGTCGATGAAAGCATTAAAAAGCTTACCGGGAGAGATCCGTCCGAGGCTAGGTGAGTGCTTAGCTGATATAAATGATTTCTGTGGTGAGTTGTGGACAAATTTATGTGAACACACTAGACAGTCAGTTATAGTGCCAAAGAAAAACGTGATTACCCCAGCTCATCTGAGTTAAAATATATACTTCTAGAGGACCTGGTGGAAACAGAAGAATGTTGGTGCGAAGGAATGTTGGTGAGAGAATTGGTGGACCTCCAGCAAAGAGATTTAATGCTGGGTTAGGATTTAACAAGTAAGTAGTTAGTTTAAATATTACCTGAATTAAAACGTCTCAATTTCTCCGTTGCCCTGCAAATTTAATTTGTATGATTGATGGGATTTAGTACTGGTCCTCGAGCCAATCGTCGACATTTTGGCCAATTGGAGAGTGATGGAGAAGAAGAGGAGGATGATGGGAAGAAAGTGTGTGATAAAATATAATTAAACATTATATCTATGTTTCAGTAATTTCAATAAATTGTATTATTTAGCCCACTCTCCAGTCTTCAATTGTTGCCAAACCAGGCCCTTCCAGGGAAGCCATTGAAGCAAATACAGACAACAAGACAAAGACAAGGTACTTTATATAAGATATAAACCAGAGAAAATCCAAATACTGTTGACATACTAATGCATGATTTTAGTTTGGCAATACTTTGGGATAAGGATTCCTCAAAATTTTCAAACACGTAATTGTCCTTATGAAAGAAGCAATATACTGTTGTTTTATAATAATTTCTCTGAACAACTTCACATATTTCATTTGTGCAGGAACAAACGAATGTTTGGAGTACTTCTTGGAACTTTGCAAAAGTTCAAGGAAAACAGCACCAGAGAGGCTGCTAGGGTAAATAGAGATGTTGAAATTGCAATTATACTAACTACATATTATACTAAGTAGCTGAGCATTATAGGAAAGAAAACGTAAGCAAATAGAAATCAAGTTGGAAGAGGCTGCTGCTAAAGAGAGGGAAGAAGCATTCCGTAAAAAGAAAGAACTTTTTAGTGCCCGCAGAGAACAAAAACACAAAATTGAAGAATTGGAAAGGAAAATGGAAGTAGCCGAAATGGTATTGTAAAATCCTTGCAATTAATTTAATATTCATTATTGTTAAATATTTTAAGTTTATAACAAATGTCCTTATTGCAAACATCTTTAACACCATTTGAAGTGAATGAGTTATTTACATAGATATAGAATGGAAAGTCAACATGTAGTAGGGTGTAATGATTTACATGTGAAAATGATTGTAGGATAAATGAGCAGACATTTGTCTCAAAATCTCACACATCAACTCAAACTCCTTATCTTCTTGTCACCACACTGCAAAACCAACTACCACACAATCATGCTTTTGCATCTTAGACACAACTTGCTTTCCTTTTTCTTTTAAACTCAACAAAGCTCTTTATATTAAGAAACATAAACCTAAACTTCAACAAATACAAAAACTTAATGCTATTTCCTATTTTTAAATAGTTTGAAATTTCTTCAAGACTTAGCAATTAAAACAAATTTTAAAACCTCTCATTCACTTTTCCCTAATGGTGTAACATGTGCCAAAACAATTGTCATTTATTCAAAATGTTTAATTAACTTTGTGCTATTTTGGTATTATGGAAACATTTTATCCAAATATATTCTTCTTTTAGCTTGAAGAGTGGGACACACATGACAGAAAACTTAGCAAATTTATAAGAACAAATGCAAAGCCACATATCTTCTACCTTCCAGCCAAGCATAATGATTATACTTTGGGATTATTAGAGAAAAATTCTCAACATGTTGAAGGTGAGTGAGGAGGAGAAAATTTATGAAGTAAGCATTTTCTTTGATTAGGATCTAAAACTTTATTCACTAACTTCCACCTGCAGAAGAAATAAAGATCAGACGTGAAGAAATTGTGGAAACCATGGAAAAAAAGGATGGTGGTGATGAGGGACCTGGGGAGGAGTCTATGATTCAACAAGATGTTGATTTAAGTTTAAACCAGTCTGTGTTAGAGAGTGATAATGAAGAGAAAGAGGGGAGAAAAGTTGTTAGTGAGAAACAAAGGAATGTAGTTTTAACATCCAAGGATAGTGAGATTTTAGTTGAGAAACACAATGAAATAAATGAAGTGATGGATAAGAGAGAGAGCATGGAGAATAAAGGTATGGAAATAAAGAATGATGAACTTATAGAGAAGACAGAAAGTTACGAGAATGAGATGGATGTGAAGAGTGTAGAGAAAGAAGAAATAGACAGTGAACAGGTAGATGAAAATAGCGCCGAAAAAATTGTTAAAACGAAGAATGAAGATGGTGAATTGTCAGGTACACAGGGGACCCTTGAGTATCCTAGTAAGAGTGAGGTCATCCCAACTGATCCCAATGAGAACCAGGTTATTCATGTAAAAATTGAAGACCCATTAAGCAGAAATGAAAACTTAAAAGAAAGCGATGAGTTGGTTGACAGCAATGTTTCTATGGTTGGTTCTGAAGTTGGAAATGAAGATAAAAAAAGTGGTCAAGAACAACAAGAGTAAAACAACACAAGACGAGAAATCCAGGAAGAAACAACCAAACTTTCATTTGTTTCTTTTTATATTTATATTTCTTATTATACGCTGTGTTCTTATATTCATTATAAATTACTTGTTTAGCTGATATGTTAAACCTAGTGGTTAATAGCTGTTTAATTGCCATTCGATGATTGTTCTTATGACAATTAAAACTTACTCATAAACTGGTGTCATGTGTTTTTCTCTATGTATTTTTACCGTCAGCAGTCCTGTACTGCATACGATCGTTTGACGGGTACCATGTATGCAGTGCTAACCAATGGCTTTACAAGAAGGTCAATAGTGCGACTTGGTTTGAATGACAGAGTTGGGCTTTGTTTAATTAAGAATCTTGACAACGCATTATTAATTATTATCGCTAGAGTTTAATCCTTATCTTGATCAAAAATTTTGAGATAACGTTGGATAATATGAACGAAGCACCGCATTCTTACCATGATCATACAGCTGGTTATTCCAGTCAGGTAAGCTTTGAATCGTATCACAATTACCGACTTAGTTATTCCAGTTTGTTAGAAGGCTGTGATTTTATTCTCTAGAATTCGAATGCCGTTACTCCTCAGCATGCGAGACCCCCGCTTAAGAAGAAAAGTTCGTGGACAAAACTCACATCAAAAGCCAGACGTTTTAGTATAAAACGTCGAAGAAACTCTTCAAATCTTAGTGCGTCAGGGGAAAATGCCCAATTTCAGCAACATTCTTCGTTATGTGATGAAAAGGGCCTAGAGGTATTAATAATCAATAACTCGTTTTACGATATACTGTGTCGATGTCATTGTCTAAGTTTTGGATGCTAATTTTGACTTGGATTTTTTTATTGATCAGATTTAGTCGAATCTTGCTTCGTATTGAACATTAGTTAAAGTTTTATACATGTTAAACAATACTTTTTTCATATCTTCACCCCAGACAGTTATTTACTGCAATAAGTATACGTACATTGATGTCACTAGGACTACACAGCTTGGTGTAATCATCATTTAATACGTGGATTACATCGGGAAATATCCACAGATCTTAGAACAGCCGTTGGTGATGGTACAACATTATTAAGTCTTGTGGAATGTTTGAGTAAGTTCATGTTTTTGCGATTAGTTTTTGTTGTTGACTTAATGCAATTGCGTATTTTTCCTTCCTTCCATCTTAAAGCATTTGTACTGTTTGCATGATGACTAAAGTGGATTAGGTAATTTGAGTCAGCAGCCTACAAATATTGAATTCATGCATTTCCTGCTTGTTTGATTTAAATAGCAAAGAAAACTGTTCCTGGCGTTAACCGTCAACCAGTTACCTGGTCAGAAAAACTTGACAATATTCAGACATGTTTTCAATTTCTTAATTCCCATGGAGTGCGAATAACTGGGATTTCACCTGAAGGTTCGTTTCTTTGGTTGTCTTTAGTTATTGCATTCCATAGTTTCTTATTCGTCACCAGTGTTCCTCACTCTCGCGATCGTTGAGTCGTTTGAATGAAAAGGATTTCGTGATGATTTGGAGTTTTGTAGAAATCCGTGAAAATAATCTCTAACCCAAACCCTAAAAGTAAAATTTGGCTATGGCTTGCACATTGGTTAAAGAACGGATCAATATTGTAGAACAGAGAATTATTACTCTTATGGAGGAAGACTGGGCAATAAATAGTCAATGGGAAATTGCTGGACTTTCCTGTACAACCCATTTTTACATCTTTCTATCATGCTTATCGTCTTTTCCAGATATTATTGAAGGCAATTTAAAATGTATTCTGAGACTTTTCCAGTATCTTGAAAGACATTTCGAGGTAAACGTATCTTTTTACGATCCGTTTTCCTTGAGATCAGAATACTGTATCAAATATTTTAATGTTTAGGTTAGCCGATATTCAGTGGCTGATAGAAAGTTAGAAACATCACAAAGTCATATGAATGGGCGCATAAGTTCTGGTTACCATAGTGAAGATGACGCTTATACTGATGGGAGAACTACGCCGACAATTGAGGCATTACCAGGCCTCATGAGCGGGAGCGACACGGAGTCTGATTACGACAAGTGCCGTGAACTTGAGCCCTCATTGGTCAGCTAGTTTTGTACATTGGTAGAATTTCTTGTTTGATGTTAAAAAAAAAGTTTCTATAATTGTTACAGCAAAACGAGAGAAGGCCATCGTGGACTTCTGAATTATCTGAGCATTCCAAAGTAGGGATGTCTTTGGATAACATTGGATACATGGTAAGACTGTGTTGCGGGGTCTTTTAGTGAACTCAATGAAGATATATTAAAATCTTTCTATGATTTAGCCCTCCTATCCTTTGCACAAGATGAGATCGTCGGGTAGATTTGAGAGGTAAATTTGTCTATTTCTAATTCTTAGTCACCTTACTGTGTCTAGTCATTGTATTGTATTACCCTTGTTTAGTTACAAACAAAAATCTTCCAATGATGAAAAAGATTTTGTTTCAACATCAAACGTAAGACTTCTCACTTCCAGACAATCTGCCAATTTTTATTCCTCGAAGGATGAGGGGGCACATACTAGGGATAACTATGGATTAGAGCTTGAAGACAACTCATCATTAGATAGAGTATCTCTATCGTCTACAGCGACACCAATACTACCCAATCTATCTTCCGCATCATCTTTTGAATCTCTGCCGCTGGATTTTTCATCTGATGTGTCCAGCGTGGTGGCTCAAGATCGTTTTAAAACATCGTCTAAATTCTCCCAAGGTTTCCAAGGCAAATTATTTAATTAGTAAATTAACGTGAATATCATTCGCTACTTCATTTTCATAAGTAGATCACTGATCTCAATATTTTGTTCATCAGATACTTTCAATGAAGACCGACACAATTGCACCATTCAACAAAAGGTACGGTCAGGTGTAGTCGCAATATCAATTTTATGCACTAAATAATTGTTCAATATTTTTATTCAGATTGATGCATTGAATTCCATGTACGAGAAATTACTCCCACTTGTTGATTCTGGCGAAGACAACAGACGAAAATCAAAAGTTCCTTTGCCAAAACTGGCTATTCTACAAGGTAATGTTTATGTTGAGTATTGACTTGAGTGAGCTCAGTTATTGCAATAATTGGTTTTGGCTGTCAGTTATCATAACATCTTTTTATTGTAATGTATGAGAATGGAATGTAATAATAAGGTGCAGTTATTTAGCACTTTGTCAGGAATATTTCACGGAGCTCTTATACCCGTGTTGATTAGTTTCCAGTTTTAGAAAGTATATCGAGTGAGCGCAAGAAAATATAAAGTTTACTGTCTTAAGATCTCCGTGTAAGGGCTGGCCAAGTGTGCTATATGTGTACATTATCTACTTACTAATATGATGTAAAATACCACTTTTATGAGCACTTTTAGGCTTAAAGTTAAGAGATACTTTATGTCGTTTAGCGAAAAAAAAGAACTCGTACACTAAAAGAATAAGAAATTCAAAGTAAGCCTGTTGACTTTTTATTATTAGCCTTTAGCATTATACGATGATAAATATAAGATGTTGCACCCCTTGTTATCCCTTGACGAGTCTTGTCTTTCTTTTTTAAGATCTTTGAATCGTCGCCTAAATCACATCGAGTCCAACGTCGTGACATTAGCAAGAAACATCGATTATCTCCGATCTCAAATACGAGGAGAATCCAAAGTGAGGCAGGAGTTGGAAAGGATTCAACAAGATATGAACGAAATAAAAGATTCCTTTTACAATATTAACTTTCGTCATGAAGATTTGCCTCGTTCACACAGTCATGATAAACGTATGCGAAGTCTCGATAAACTAAAGAGGTTAGGATCTTTGCATTTTTCGACATTCCCAGTTTAAATATGACTCCAGAATAATATACACTTGAGGGTAATGCTGTACATGTTTACACAGTATATACACAATAGAGCATGGGTAAAACATGAACGTTATTTTTTGGGAAGGGGGGGGGGAGAATATTTATATATTGAGCTCTGCCCTATATCAAAAAAAATCAATTACTGAGCGTTCTAGTTTCACCCCTGCAATAGAGTTTATTAATTATCATGACGACAACAACAACAACATTAACTAAAACAGCAACAACAACAACAACAACATTAACTTTACAGTCATTGATTTCAGACATTTTTAGGGTTGCCTAACACACTTCTCATTTATTGTAATAAAAAACTTACTCAGGCCGGTATATGTCACTTCATGATAAAAGTTTTCAATTTCATTTGCTGTCCGACATTAGATTCTTTGGTGAAGAACCACCTTTAATGGATATTCTCTTGAAGAAGATAGGCTATGACGTAAGTTCTACTGCATGTGAAGCAGTTTTCTAGAAGACAGGTCTCGTCTCAAAAAAGCTGAATATTGTCAGCTTTCGTTCTTTCTAAAATTAAATTTTTATAATGATACTTTTTAGCGATTCATTCCGCATTTCAAAACGCATCAAGTTGGTATCCTTGAGTGGCCTTACATGACGGAACAACGACTGCATAACATGGGAATTCCTTTGGGACCACGATTGAGAATTCTTGAAGAAATGCAGAAAGTTCGTTAAACATCTGATAAATTTAGCGTTTTGCAAGTTATGTCCGCCTCAATCTCAATATAATATCATTGCCGTACTTAATAAGACTTTGCTTGTAGACGATGTTTTTACACTGCTATATTGAACTTATGTATTACATGATCTAAAAGGATTCAAACAAATGTTCCACTGCATAATTGTAACTGCGATAAAACTATTTAAGTTTCTATTTTGAACACATTAACTACGATTTCATGATACTGTTGATACATAACAGTTGTCTTTAACTTAAAGTTAAATATGATCACAATATATCGTACTCGAAAATTTTTTGATTGTTTGAAGAAAAGAACATTTGGTCACTGGAATGAAATAGGAACAATTAACGTACACTTTTTGTTCTTTGCTAAACTCAGGAAAAGTGTAAATCTTTTAAAGAGGTTGATGGCAATCGTTTAAGAAAGATGACTCGACAGAACTCTTTCTATTTTCTACAAGTATAACGCTTTATTGAATTGAATAATTATTATTAACATTGGTATTTTAAACATTATATAGACTTGAAAGAACTTTAAATGTAGTTCTGTCCCAGCATAACGCCAAAGTTGAATCCGAATTTGCTTTTTCTTTTTTATGTTAACATTACCTGAATATGTACTATATGAGAGGGGTGCAACACCCCCTATGCCCCAGTCGCAACGGTCTTGCCAAATGCCAGGGAGGGTATGCAATGATTTTCGCCACACTACTGTGCAGTAAATGCCAGGAATTTTTCAAGAAAATTATGCATTTAATTTTGTGATAGGAAATTCGGAAAATCTTGTTTCACGAAAGTGGAAGCACCAATAGAAGATACACATACCTCTGACACAAACAACTTACAAGTGATAAATTTCGAGTCTCGAAAGTTCAAAATCATGGATCCTCCTCCTCAATTTATGGGCGGTAAGTAATCTAAATCAAATGTGGAATGCCTTTATTATAAGAAGAAATGAAAATTTTTGTTTTATACATAGTGTGCATGAACTGATTAACGTTGTGTTATTGTCTAGTTAATAACAATGTATCGTTGTGTTTTATTATTTCAATTATTATCAAATATGATATTTATTTTGTGGTTTTAGTGAATGCAGCACTGTATGATGTATCATAGTATAATTTGTAACTCCAGAATTCTTAAACCATAAACTGGGCAACGTTGATAATTTTTCCAATTAAATTTAATAGATAACTATTATGGTGAAACAAGGAGAGCGACACAAAAACGGCCTCGCAGAGGTAGGAAGTTCGGAAATTTGTTCAGTGAATGGCGAAAATTGCAGTTAGCAAACTATGTTTGGATTGTGGTTTTCAATGCTATACTTAATACACCAGTTACACAGAATGTCTTTCACATGTAATTTCCTACGATGATTTATCAATATGTTATTATGTAATTTATGTTTACTTTTACATCAGGTCCTCAGCATTCTACTCCACTATTTGATGATACAAGTAATCATGGCATGCCCCAGCAGCCAATGGGTCATCAAGGTTTTGATTCATCGCAATTCACTAACGATCCTATGACAAACATGGCATTTCAATATGGCACGACCTTAGCATTCCAAGGACGAGAATATGTTGATAAAAATGTTAGTTTACTCATGTGCAGTGTGTTAATTTATCCAAACATCATTTATTGATTCGAACGTCATTTTGATTTCAGATTGATAAGTTTGTGTCGACGTCAAACCTTAAGTACTATTTTGCTGTTGATACTAGTTACGTTGGACGTAAGCTTGCTCTTTTGCTCTTTCCATTTTCACACCAGGTTGGTAATGTACAGTTTTTCAAAGAAGTTTTCCAACTATTTCTCCTTATCTCTATATTTGTTGCATCTTAGAACTGGTCAATAAAATACAACAAAGCAGAACCAATTGCTCCACGTTATGAAGTCAATGCACCAGATATGTATATTCCTGGTAGGTCACTGATTTCAAAAATTCAGTGGATACCTTTCTTAGACAAACAATAAATTTAGTGCAAGTCATTGATAGGTGTATCTCTATAAACATTTTGAGATGGATGACTATCTAGAGCTGAGTATGATATCAACAATCCTTCAAACCTAAGTAAAACCAAGTTCTTAGGCATAAAGTGGAGATTTGGGAATCGGTTGAGATTTCACAATCAATCATTGAAATTGACCAAACCAATCAATTATTAATTTAATCAGACAAATCTCAAGCTCGGCCATTTCAGCCTTTGTTTTGCATTCGTCAACAATTCTTAGAAAGGCCCAGAGAATTATCAAAGCAAAATTTCGCTGCATTTTCCATCTTTATACTACCTTCTATTCGCATAATCCCTAAACAGTGACGTTCAGATGGTCACATCAAATTTTTCATAAAGTGGAGATTAAAATGTGAGGCTATTTTTCTAGTTATGGCTTTTGTTACTTATATTTTGGTTGCTGGTCTAGTCATGGGTATACAGGATAGGTGAGTTTTGTATTGAGAAGAACTTACTTATGTTTGACATGTTTGTGAATGTAGATTGTCCAGATTAGTAGAGTTCTGAGAAGGACTGTTGGTGTTGATGTTTACTGACGTTTTGACAACGTTAGCGGTAGTCATCTTAAGAGTCAAGACTCACTTCAGTCTGAAGATGACTACCGCTAAGGTTGTCGAAACGTCAGTAAACATCAATACCAACAGTACTTCTCAGGACTCTACCAAACTGTACGATCTACATCCACAAACATGTAACGATACTCCTGGGTTCAAACCATTTACTTTAGTACTTGTGTTTTCTTAACTAGTGATTTTAGAACTTAACACTGATGTACACAGATGAATAAAAAGCGCAATACAGAGTGTATCGTTGACAATTTTGTGCACCTTAGAAGACGAATGAATTTAGCCAAATATCTCATAGATTTGTGCTCGAATGTGTAATTTAAATCGTCAGTTTGGTCTAACACAAAATATAAACAGAAAAATCAACCTCACAAAACGGAAGAGCGGTTTGCATTATGAACGGCTTGTACAAAGCATGAATGAAAGATGTTAGAAATCCATTTTCATTTAATGAGATGAAAGTTTTGGTCTTAGTTTACAATGTATGAAAATTCAAAAATATTTGATGAAGAGTAAAACCGCCTTTCAGATGCGTGAACTTAGGTTATTTTTTGTTTGAGCAGTTTCGGTGGGAAACTTCGGCTCCTACTACGCTATCCGACTGGATATACCAATAGCAAGCTTCAGCCATAGAGCTGGTACGCAGGGATTGTGCTGTTCCTACAACTTACTGACATCAGCCTACGATGCTATTTGACGTATACTATAGATATATATACTCTTTACTTGCTACGCGAGCTATTTACTCCAATCAGACGATTTCTCTGATAATTTGTGACTAAGGAGTTAGTTATTTCCTGAGCAGTGCAAGGACATCATCAAGTTGGTTGGTATGACCTATCCTTGGTAGAGTGGACTGCGCTAGATTGTACATCATTGGTGAACCTAGCATGTACATCTCTGGTGATCCTTAATATGTACATCACTGGTGATCCTAGAATGTACGTCATTGGTGATCCTAGAATGTACATCATTGGTGATTCTAGCATGTACATCTCTGGTGATCCTTAATATGTACATCTCTGGTAATCCTAGAATGTACATCATTGGTGATCCTAGAATGTACATCATTGGTGAACCTAGCATGTACATCTCTGGTGATCCTTAATATGTACATCTCTGGTAATCCTAGAATGTACATCATTGGTGATCCTAGAATGTACATCATTGGTGATTCTAGCATGTACATCTCTGGTGATGCTTAATATGTACGTCACTACTTGTTTACATTGTTAAATTTTTTTAGCTTTTCTCCAGAGCAACTTGGTATTACAGCAACATCAGCATTTCTTTGGTCATTTGTTGAAGTACTTGCAATTATGTTATCATTTTATGTCTGCAGTGTCATGGCTGAAGTAAAGGCCTTAGACCTTGTTGCTTTTTGTGGATATAAATATGTTGGGTATGTAAAATATCGAATTCTGTTATTAGATATAGGTTTGAATCTGTTATTGCTACAATTTTTTATTGTGTGTTATTTCAGTCAATCTTATCGTTTATTTTTTCTTTGTTAATGTAAATGTTTGGTTGCGGCATTTTTTCGCCTTTAATTTCGTGATGTCGATGTATTATTAAGTTCATAAAATTTTGTGAAGTTCATTTATCAACAAATTAAATAGCAAACTTAGGAGAGCGTTCTTGATACAGGGGGCGTGCTGGCCGAGTACGAAAAAACGAGAACTTACTGTGGGCCCCCTTCTCATAATGGACCCCTTACATTACAAATAAGAATTTTGTAAGTTTAAAATTTAATAAATACACTAAAATTTGTAAATGAAACTTCTGTGTAAGTTGTATTCTACGTATATCGAGTTTGTTTGTTTCAGTATTGCAATTGGGCTTAAATGTTGCTCGTTTTGTTGTTCTTCTTAATGTTCCAGCACGCTGCTGACTTGAGAACATTGAAAAAATTACATTCTGTCCATTTGTTTGGTCTGGATAAAGTATTTCAATTTCTGGCTATATATTTCAAAAATCGTGTAATCGGACATTTTGATGCACTTGTTTTTTAGTCTTTTCTATATCTTCGAAAAAATTTTGCGATTTAAAAAGTATTGCTTACGTATTTTTTTCTGCAGCAAGTTTTATCTGTGTAAATTGCCATCACTTAATCTGTGTAAATTGCCATCACTTAATCTGTGTAAATTGCCATCACTTAATCTGTGTAAAGTGCCATCACTTAATCTGTGTAAATTGCCATCACTTAATCTGTGTAAATTGCCATCACTTAATCTGTGTAAATTGCCATAACTTAATCTGTGTAAATTGCCATAACTTAATCTGTGTAAATTGCCATAACTTAATCTGTGTAAATTGCCATCACTTAATTACATCAATTGCTTTATTTCATAGCATAATCTTAACATTGCTTTCTGGCTTGTTATTTAATTCGACTGGTTACTATGCAGCATTGCTTTGGATGAGTTTAACCACTGGTTTCTTTTTGGTAAGAATAATTGAACATTTATTGATAACTTGTTTTCTCGTCTCATCTCAAGTATGAACTACTCTGAGTGTTTTTTACAGGTACGAACTCTGCGGTTGATTATTTTACCTGAGGCTGACAGCATTGGACGAGCAAGTAAACGACGAATATATCTTCTTTTGTTTATTGCTCTTTTACAGCCCCTTCTCATGTTTATTTTAACAAGACATTTGAGACCAATGTACGTAGAAGTAAACTGAACTATAAATAAATAAGAAATGTGTACGAAACCAACAAAGACAATAAGAATATTTTACTTTGGTAGAAATGTAAGTGTACTCGCATAATATGACAGTATGATATAAATAAACGAGAATAAGTTTTTCCAGCTCAAATATCTGTATCTAATTGGGACTGAGTTTCTCCTACAGTGGTTGAGAATTATATAAATATAATTCTTATAGTCTTTTTGTGAAAATGTGTGATAATGCATGAATTAGAGTCTTTATATGAAAAAGTGAGAATATGTATGAAATTGCGTAAATTATAGTCTTTATGTGGAAAAGTAAGAAAATGTATGAAAATTTGTGAAAATGCATGAACTATAGTCTTTGGCATGAAAATGCGTGAACCATAGCCTTTGGCATGAAAATTCGTGAACTATAGTCTTTGGCATGAAAATTGGTGAACTATAGTCTTTTGCATGTAAATTCGTAAACTATAGACTTTCGCGTGAAAATGTGTGAAAATTCTTGAAATATAGTCTTTTGCATGAAAAATCGTGAATTATAGTCTTTTGCATGAAAATTTGTGAAATATAGTCTTTTGCGTCAAAATTCTTGAACTATAGTCTTTTGCATGAAAATTCGTGAACTATAGTCTTTTGCATGAAAATGCGTGAACCATAGCCTTTGGCATGAAAATTCGTGAACTATAGTCTTTGGCATGAAAATTGGTGAACTATAGTCTTTTGCATGTAAATTCGTAAACTATAGACTTTCGCGTGAAAATGTGTGAAAATTCTTGAAATATAGTCTTTTGCATGAAAAATCGTGAATTATAGTCTTTTGCATGAAAATTTGTAAAATATAGTCTTTTGCGTCAAAATTCTTGAACTATAGTCTTTTGCATGAAAATTCGTGAACTATAGTCTTTCGCATGAAAATGTGTGAAAATGCATGAATTAGAGTCTATATGAAAAAGTGAGAAAATGTATGAAATTGCGTGAATGAAATTGCATGAAATTGTATGAATCAAGTGAATGAAATTGTATGAAATTGCGTAAATTGTCTTTATGTGAAAATGCAAGAATTATAGTCTTTATGTGTAAAAGTGAGAAAATGTATGAAAATTTGTGAAAATGCATTAACTATAGACTTTGGCATGAAAATGCGTGAAAATGCATAAACTATACACTTAAGCATGAACATGCGTGAAATGCATGAATTAGTGTCTTTGGCATCAAAATGTGTGAAAATCTATTTTGCATCAAAATTCGTGAAGTATAGTCTTTGCATGAAAATTCATGAACTATAGTCTCTTTCCATGAAAATTGGTGAACTACAGTCTTTTGCATGAAAAATCGTGAACTATAGTCTTTTGCATGAAAATGTGTGAAAATGCAAAGACCATAGTCTTATGCATGAAAATGTGTGAAAATGCATGAACTATAGTCTTTGGCATGAAAATGCGTGAACTCTAGCCTTTGGCATGAAAATGCGTGAACTCTAGCCTTTGGCATGAAAATGCCTGAACTATAGTCTTTGGCATGAAAATTGATGAACTATAGTTTTGCATGAAAATTCGTGAACTATAGTCTTCGGCATGAAAAGCGTGAAAATGCATGAATTAGTGTCTTGGCATCAAAATTTGTGAAAATGCAAAGACTATAGTCCTTGGCATCAAAATGTGTTAAAATGCAAATACCACAGTCTTATGCATGAAAATACGTAAAACGCATTATCTATAGCCTTTGGCATGAAAATGCGTGAACTATAGTCTTCACGAAAATGTGTGAAAATACATAAGCTATAGTCTTTGGAATGAAAATGCGTGAAAATGAACACTATAGTCTTTGCATGAAAATGTAGAAACGCAAAGACTATAGTCTTTTGCATCAAAATTCGTGAAATATAGTCTTTGCATGAAAGTAACGAACTAAAGTCTTTCCATGAAAATTGGTGAACCATCTTTTGCATGAAAATTCGTGAATTATAGCCTTTGGCATGAAAATGCCTGAACTGTAGTCTTTGGCATGAAAATTGGTCAACTATAGTTTTTTGCATGAAAATGCGTGACCTAGAGTCTTCGGCATGAAAATGCGTGAACTACAGCCTTTGGCATGAAAATTTGTGAAAATACATGAACTATAGTCTTTGGAATGAAAATATGTGAATGTGCAAATGACTATATGTGCAAAAGACTATAGTTCACGAATTTTCACGAAAAAACTATAGTTCACGAATTTTCATGCTAAAGACTAAATTTCACAAATTTTCATGCAAAAAACTATAGTTTACGAATTTTCATTCAAAAGACAAAATTTCACAAATTTTCATGCAAAAAACTATAATTCACGATTTTTCATGCAAAAGACTATAGTTCACGAATTTTCACGCAAAAGACTAAATTTCACAAATTTTCATGCAAAAGACTATAATTCACGATTTTTCATGCAAAAGACAATAATTCACGATTTTTCATGCAAAAGACTATAGTTCACGATTTAACGCGCAAAAGACTATAGTACACGAATTTTCATGTGAAAGACTATAGTACACGATTATTCATGTGATAGACTACAATTCACGAATTTTCATGCAAAAGACTATAGTTCACGATTTTTCACGCAAAAGACGAATTTTTATGCAAAAGACTATAGTTCACGAATTTTTATGTAATGACGAATTTTCATGCAAAAGACTATAGTTCACGATTTTTCACGCAAAAGACGAATTTTTATGCAAAAGACTATAGTTCACGAATTTTTATGTAATGACGAATTTTCATGCAAAAGACTATAGTTCACGAATTTTCATGCAAAAGACTATAGTTCACGAATTTTCATGTAAAAGACGAATTTTCATGTAAAAGACGATTTTTCATGCAAAAGACTATAGTTCACTATTTTCAAGAAAATGTCTATAGTTCACGAATTTTCATGTGAAAGACTAGAATTCACGAATTATTATGCAACAGACTATATTTCACGAATTTTCATGCAAAAGACGATTTTTCATGCAAAAGACTATATAGTTCACGAATTTTCATGCAAAAGACGAATTTTCATGCAAAAGACGAATTTTCATGCAAAAGACTATAGTTCACGATTTAACGCGCAAAAGACTATAGTACACGAATTTTCATGTGAAAGACTATAGTACACGATTATTCATGTCATAGACTACAATTCACGAATTTTCATGCAAAAGACTATAGTTCACGAATTTTCATGTAAAAGACGATTTTTCATGCAAAAGACTATAGTTTACGAATTTTCGAGCAAAAGACTATATAAACGATTTTTCATATGATAGACTACAATTCAAGAATTTTCATGCAAAAGACTATAGTTCACGATTTTTCACGCAAAAGACGAATTTTTATGCAAAAGACGAATTTTCATGCAAAAGACTATAGTTCACGAATTTTTATGTAATGACGAATTTTGATGCAAAGACTATAGTTCACGAATTTTCATAAAAGACGAATTTTCATGTAAAAGACGATTTTTCATGCAAAAGACTATAGTTCACTATTTTCAAGAAAATGTCTATAGTTCACGAATTTTCATGTGAAAGACTAGAATTCACGAATTATTATGCAACAGACTATATTTCACGAATTTTCATGCAAAAGACTATAGTTCACGAATTTTCATGCAAAAGACGAATTTTCATGCAAAAGACGATTTTTCATGCAAAACACTATAGTTCACAATTTTACGCGCAAAAGACTATAGTACACGAATTTTCATGTGAAAGACTATAGTACACGATTATTCATGTGATAGACTACAATTCACGAATTTTCATGCAAAAGACTATAGTTCACGAATTTTCATGTAAAAGACGATTTTTCATGCAAAAGACTATAGTTCACTATTTTCAAGAAAATGTCTATAGTTCACGATTTTTCATGCAAAAGACTATAGTTCACGATTTTTCATGCAAAAGACTATAGTTCACGATTTTTCATGCAAAAGTCTATAATTCACGATTTTTCATGCAAAAGACTATAGTTCACGATTTTTCATGCAAAAGACTATATTTCACGAATTTTCATGCAAAAGACTATAGTTCACGAATTTTCATGCAAAAGACGAATTTTCATGCAAAAGACTATAGTTCACGAATTTTCATGCAAAAGACGAATTTTCATGTAAAAGACGATTTTTCATACAAAAGACTATAGTTCATCAATTTTCATTCAAAAGACTATACTTCACGAATATTCATGCAAAACACTATAGATGACGAATTTTCATGCAGAAGACGATTTTTCATGCAAAAGACTATAGTTCACGAACTTTCATGCAAAAGACGAATTTTCATGCAAAAGACTATAGTTCACGAATTTTCATGCAAAAGACGAATTTTCATGTAAAAGACGATTTTTCATACAAAAGACTATAGTTTACGAATTTTCAAGCAAAAGACTATATAAACGATTTTTCATATGATAGACTACAATTCAAGAATTTTCATGCAAAAGACTATAGTTCACGATTTTTCACGCAAAAGACGAATTTTTATACAAAAGACGAATTTTTATGCAAAAGACTATAGTTCACGAATTTTCATGTAAAAGACGATTTTTCATGCAAAAGACTATAGTTCACTTTTTTTTCATGAAAATGACAATAGTTCACGAATTTTCATGTGAAAGACTAGAATTCACGAATTATTATGCAACAGACTATATTTCACGAATTTTCATGCAAAAGACTATAGTTCACGAATTTTCATGCAAAAGACTATAGTTCACGAATTTTCATGCAAAAGACGAATTTTCATGTAAAAGACGATTTTTCATACAAAACACTATAGTTCATCAATTTTCATTCAAAAGACTATACTTCACGAATATTCATGCAAAACACTATAGAATACGAATTTTCATGCAAAAGACTATAGATCACGAATTTTCATGCAAAAGACTATAGTTCACGATTTTTCATGCAAAAGACTATAGTTCACGAATTTTCATGCAAAAGACTAAATTTCACAAATTTTCAATAAAACACTATAATTCACGATTTTTCATGCAAAAGACAATAATTCACGATTTTTCATGCAAAAGACTATAGTTCACGATTTTTCATGCAAAAGACTATAGTTCACGAATTTTCATGCAAAAGACTAAATTTCACAAATTTTCATGCAAAAGACTATAT